AGAAGAAGAAGAAGAAGAAGAAGAAGAAGAAGAAGAAGAAGAAGAAGAAGAAGAAGAAGAAGAAGAAGAAGAAGAAGAAGAAGAAGAAGAAGAAGGTCTGTGTGGGAATGAATGAAGATCAAAATGAATACGTGATTCCTCGCCCGAGGGATATGTGAGCGAACAAATAAAGAAGCGAGTTAGGATCCCGGGCAACCAAGTAAAAAGCCATGAATGAGTATGGGCATGACCATGGCCCGATGGCCCATGAGCACGAGTATATAGTTATTGTCCGCCGCCGCGGGAGAGTACACCTACTCTGTCTCTCTCTGTCTCCCTCCCTCCCTCCCTCTCTCAACCTACCTACTTACCTATATAGTATTTATCTATATTTTTTTTTTTCTTTTTCGTGACTTTTTGACTTTTTGCCCCCTTTTTTCTGCGCTTTTTGTTTTTTTTTGTTTTCGACGATCAACACCCACCCACCACACCACCGCATTCAACTCAAACACAGGTTGTGAGCCTGCGCCGGATGCTCTATGGCAGAAAGACATTTGGGGTGGGGGGCGGGGAGTGTTTATTGCTTCTGATTGTGACCGACAACGTTCAAATAGCCACACAGGACGTGTCAAATGAACCCCCCCGGCTTCTATCGAGCAGTAACATAGCAGAATCATGCTTCATTGGCTTTTCGAAGAAAGGGCCATCTAGAGAGTTGTGGGAGAAACTCATGTTTTGCTACTGTTGATGTTGACACCTCTCGAGAGAGCGCACTGTGCTGAACCTGTATGATACACATGGATAACTAGTCAAATCGCACAGTATCTGTTCTGTAGAACATTCACTACAACATTGCAGCCCTAAAACACACATCCTCTCATCTATACCCCGGTGGTGCGTTCGAGTAACTCTGGAGCGGAATACCGCCCTCACCGTACAATGGTGGAGGCGGTCCCTGGGGCGGCTCATACTGTCCCTCGCGAAAGTTCATTGCTGCGGGCGTATTCATGGGCGCCTTGCGCATTTCCTGTCGCCTCCTGATCATGGTCCATCCCCCAACAACGAGAAGCAGAAAGAAAGTCGCAATGCCGTAGATAATCATGCCGCGATGATTGTCGGCGAAATTGAAGCCTACAAAAGTGTTGACAATACCCAGAAGGATGCTCCCAGGACCAAGAACACGGTGGCCCAGCATGATCTTGGCCGGTGCGCCGGTCTTTTTGTAGATGCGATGACCGAGAAACCCGATAACCCAAGTCGCGACAACGAGAGCGAAGACGACGAGTCCTAAAATTTGGTGGCCAGATGTCAAGTTCGGTGACTGGAGTTCAGGTTAGTTAATTTGGAAGCAGCCATAACAAGGTTCCAAAAGACTTACCAGATCCTGCCTGATACTGAGACCGATTCCAGCAGCGGTGCCCACACAGACCATAAGCAAAGCGAATGTTTGTGTTGCCCAGTGTACTACAACATTGTTGAGAATACGCAAGAGCAGGTAGCCAGCAGGGAAGACGATCAAAAATGCAGAAACCATGAGGAAAGCGTGGAAAGCAATACCCGCATTTGCGTGGTCGCTGTCGAAAGGACCGTCATGGAAGTCGTCATCGGTGGTAGTACTTTCAGATACACTGGGAACCCCTCCAGTCCCAGTGGCATCCCTGAGATTGAGGTCGAAATAGTTGTACTCTCCGTGTTGGCTGATGGAAGCCGAGACGTCATCCGATTTCAAGCTTCCATCTGGTCCCAATGCCCATATCATGTCCTGATCGTCGCTGTCAACATCAACGCTGCCACCATCCCAGCTACGGCAGCCTGTGCATTTCGCGTTGACAACAAAGACATCATTGATGATGCCACTTCCCTCCAGCACATCGACCTTTACCTCGTCCGTGTGCTGTGGCATCGAGTGTCCCTTCCCTAGTCGAGGGCTGACCGTGACATTTTTTCCATTCTCCGAGGCGTATGTAACAAATATCAGTGAATCCTTCATCCTGCTTCCAAATCCAAAGGCTGCCCATTTCTGGGTCGAAGGCGCAGAGAAGTGGTAGAAAAGGGTGTCGGTACTATTGTCAGGGACATTGACCGAGACCGTGACATTGTCGTTCGATCTGGGAGACGTTCCCATGCCAATGTACGTGGCGGAGGGAACAGCGGCCTGTGCAGCATCTACCAATGCTGAGAATAGGAAAGTCAGCTCGAAATTCTGGAAGGGATTTCATGGCGCTGCTGGAAAAGACTCACTGGTTAAGAGAAAGGCGGCAGCCAGACCCCGTACCCGGGCATGGTTCGATTGTGACATGGCCGGTTCTACGGGAAATAGACGTCGTAGAAGTCGGAGGAGAATGGTGCAGCAACGTTTCTGTACTTGGAGCAGAAATCCAAATGACCTCCGAGGATTCAGGCGAAGATGGCCGCAAAATACTCTGCGAAACGCGTCGGGTTCTGACCGGCTGGGGAAGGAGCGTCAGAAAGGCGAACAAGGAGAGTCGACGTCTTTGCAGGCGGCAAGAACGTCTTCTTTGGAGCAGAGAATGTTTCAGGCTTTGTGCAACCTGGGGACGACGAGGGCGTCTCGATCGCTCCGTTGATCAGCCGCTGCCAAAACACTTGTACTCCGTGCAATGACAGCTGCGGCCATGTTTACACAGTGGAGTAGAGTCCCTTGCCCCCAGAGCCAGGGGATGTCCTTTTTTTGTGGCTGTGCCTGGTTGGTGGTGGTGCTTGAAAAACCCACCGGGCACCAGATTGCATGCCTATCAATCCCAATAAGAGATACCGATTTCCCGCTAACGAACGGCCTCCGAAAAGCTTGGGGCGTTTTTAGGAGCCTCAGCAAAGTCGCTTAGGCTTCATAGCCCCTGTCAGCCCCTTTGGAACAGACACCTTCAACCAACCACAGGCGTTTGAATTGTCAACGCGCCTCGTACAGGACATTGTGGGCGCCACCAGCGCTTACTATACACCAAGCCTCCCCAGGCCGCCAGATTCTAGATCGATGGGCCTGGAAATAGATTTTGGCAGTAGCCATTGCTTCTCGCTTCCCCTTGGTGAAGGAGCGCGAATGAAGTCTGCTTGTCCGTAGACGATTGATGCGTATTATTCTCGGAGAAATCGATTGTTGGGTTCTGCTTGCAAGAATCTGAGAAGAGTACACATCGAGAATTCCATTCTCAGAACCATTCTTCCTGGACATTCATAAAAAAGCGTTGAAATGGCTCCTGGCGGCCTGCGAAATCGCCCAACGAAGGAGACCACCCAAACTTCAGAATTTCATTAGTGGAAAGCGACAATTGTCCAGGCGTCAAACTCGTATCACTGGACCCATCCTGTGAGAAGGTCCCAGCAGCTGTTGCATGCATGGCCGTTGTACCTTGGGGCGAACCCGAAGTCATCGGCTGCACTGGCACATCTGCCGAAAAGGGCTCGTCAAGCCCCATGCTGAATGCATCCAACGTGAGGGAAACCACGTTGTCGGGATAGTCCTGTGTAAACGTTTCCACTGTTGTTGAGCTTCCTACGTCTCTGAAGAAGGTATCATTTTCTGCCGCCCGAGCGGCCTGTTGAGCCTTTCTTAGCTCTTGGGCTCTGGCCATCAGATGCCGCAGTGGTTTCCATAACATGCCCCTCTGGAACTTGGAGTTCTTGATGACTCTCTCGTCGTATACTGCTTCAACCGCCCTCCATGCTCGGTCAACCTCAGGGCCAGGTGGTCTGGCACAAATTTCCGACAGCGCAAATGCCACCGATTGCCATTGCATGTAAGTACGGAAGAACCAACCCCATTTGGCCGTCTTTTCGTTCTGCTCCAGTAAATGCGTGAACTCAAGCACCTCTACGGATGTGATGAAGACACGATCCCGGACTTCCTGCGGCAACAATGCGTCGCCTGTCGGTGAGCCAAACGAGCGCGGGTGGTGGATGGATAGCCACATCTTAGCTAGAATGAGTCGCGCCACTGTGGCCGCGACCCAATGTATGGGCACGTTGGGGTCGCAGTAATGAAGATACTTCTCCTCCAAATGCCGATGACATTCGTCGATCATCTTTTCTTTCTGCTCCAGGGTCATCTCTTGCGTCTGACCAGGCATTGCACCCGGAGCGGTGAAATTGAGCCGCCGTGGCAAGATGCTGAGCTCCGAGCGGATCAGGCAGAAGGTCATTTCAGTAGCAGTCTGTCTTTCGGGCGGGTACTCTTTCATGCCCGGATAGATGTCATCATCATTGTAGTTCATGGGAAGTTTGGTATCGTAAAATTGTTCGCTGAAGGTAGGGTCTGTGCCGTGATCCTCCGCAGCTCTGTTATCCATGAGAGACAGGTGCCACCATAATCGTCGTCTCATCTCTGTGTCGAAGGGGCTGAGTCCGAAATTGGTCCCGTCGCGGTGGATGCCCAGTGATTGCGCCAAATGAATTGCAAGGCCTCCCAGAGCCCATACTGAACGAGACTCGTCAACGTGCCTCACAAACACCAGAAAGAAAGCAAATGCCTGCAGACACATCAGACTCGAGCTGTTAAGGAAGTCCGCCCGAGCCAAGGCCTGTTCTGTCGCGAAGCGGTATCTCTTGAGTAGCAATTCCTTATCCTCGTCCAATAGTTGTCGGCACTGTTCATGGGTCATGCTCACCACTGCCCCGTAGTATATGGAAAACAACAAGGCTTCCGCAGGTCTTGACACTCGATCAAGACTGCTCGCCGCATTCATCAAAATGGTTCTGGCGGTTGGGCGATGAAGCATGCGCACCACCGGGTCGACATTCTCCTTGAAGACTTCCCACAGGATGAATATCTGGCTGGGACTCGGGTGCAACTCTCTCAAATCGAGCTTGATGGAGGAGTAGCCAAAGAGGAAGCCTTGATGGCTCCCAGTCTGGCGGTCCTGCACAGGCGAGTTGCTTTCGTCCTCCTCATCGGTTGTGGACAGATCCAGCAAGTCCTGCATCTCGGCGATCTAGATATAGTGTCAGTGTGAGGGGGGCCCGAGATTCCAGAAGTCACGCACCTCCTCACTCATGCCTGTCCAGAATGTATTGCTGACGTATCTGCTGCGATCCTCGTTTATCACCAACCGACCTAAGCTCTTATCGATCGACTGTCTTTTGGAATCTGAGCGCTCCGAGCTTGGCGAGTCGGCGACGCGAGTATCAGCGAACGAGCGGGCACGAATGTCTGCCGTCCCTGCCACAGTCGGCGAGACAATGCCATGCTCATCTACCTGAGCACCCAGGCTGTTGACGACGCCTTCCAGTCTCTTCAGCCGTGCCAGGAGCTCGGCATCTGGTGGCTTCCTGGATTTTCGGGGTGCCCTGCCCGGCGCAGGGAATATACATTCTATCCCAGCTCTTACACAGTTTGCGCATGGATCCTGCTTGTTACACCGGACTTTTCGTCGCCGACAGGTGATGCAACTTCGTGGATTCAGGCGAGGCACAGGAGGTCGTTTCGAGTCATCGACAATCGGGACATCTTGGGTCGACCGCGAGGCGGGCTCGTCTGGCACCGAAGATTCCATGGCGCTGGCCGCAGAAGGTTACATCAAGGTCATCGCGGTTGGCGCCGTTTTGTGAACGTAGCTCAGGACAACACCGTGGAGCGACGGCTGCGTAGAAGGCCTTGTAATAGTCCAAAGGGAGGAGGAGGAGGAGGAGGAGGAGGAGGAGGAGGCGAGCAACACAAAGACGCGGCTTCGTATCGGCCTTCGTATCGTGTTCAAAGCAATTACTACTCATGGTTGTCGATGGGGCTAATAAAATCGTGGGCGAGTGGGCCTGATGTGGTATGCGGCTTATTGTATCCCCATTATGACCAGTCGGGCCTCACTAGCCTACGATCAGGTACTTGTATACCACACCGTATACCCACCCCAGTTGGTGTTTTACAGTAAGTCTGGCTGCAGAATCTTGTACCTCTGTCGAAGTTCTTCTTCATCGCCCCCGAGCAGATATGAGATCCGCTTGCACTCGCCTACAGTCTGCCACGCATGACACGAGTAATGCCATGTACTGAAGCAACTTGCTGCCACCGGCCGTAAGGTCGTGGAAAAAGAGGGGCCTCTTCGAACTGGCCGACACAACCCCCCCCAGTCGCTCATACAGCATGGTCTATGTTTTTGTTCGTTGACAACGCTGCCATCGCGGATTTTTTTCAGTGAGGACTACCCGAATCAACCGGTTCTACTGCGCAATGGGTGTATGCGCTCATGGAAAATGAAAATTCTCCGTAAAGTGGTTGTAGAACAGTGCAAACAATGGGAGTTGACCCGTGGGGAGGGCGTCGGTCTGGTCACGCTCGCCCCTCTGTATCTGGTGTCATGTATCGTAGCATGTCGGCTCCGGTACCTTCTCAGCCGAGTCCCCGTAATTCTAAAGCTTCTGGACTGGCCGAGTCACCGTGTCCTGAACTGTTTACTGGACGCTTTGCCATCTGATGGGCGCAAGGGAGGGGCTCATTCGGGCTAGCGGAGTCTTTACATTCTTGTTGACAGGGAAAGGAAGTTCGGTATGAGCGATTTATCAGCTCTACTACGAGTGCGACCCGGATTCGTTCAACTCATTCTGCGGCGCAAACAACACCTTCCAGCCAACCCAGAGCAGAACATGACAATAATGTTCTCTTTCAGAACGACGTCAATCGCGGCTCCCTATAGTCCTTGCATATCCAAAGTAATGACACCGTCCCATCAGATCAAAAAGGCAACATAACCAAACGATATCCGCGAGTGCCCATTCTCCCATGCTCCTCAAGTGCATCGCAAAACTGAATAACTCCAACACCGCACGGTGGCGACACGCTCTTGATGCGTACCTGCAGCTGTAGGCCCAGGTGATGATCCCCATGCCCCGGTGTCATGCGATTACTCACGAACTATGAGATCTCAACAGCATCTAGACACCCAGTCAGCGATATCCCATTTCAGCTAGACCATGATATTGAACGTACACTATTAGCAACCGCAATCGGATCAGGATCACCGTCTGTGGCTGTCGATGGGCTCGCAGCACTGCCATGACTGACAGGCCCAGAGGTCGTGAAAGACCTTTCAGTGAAGGCAGGTCTCAGAGAGTTCGATGATGCCGCTTCGGCCTTCCTCGCGGAAGCTGCTGCTTGCTGAGAAGCTTGATTCGTCTCACTGGTCGCGGTTGACTTTGTTCGCGCATGTTTGTTGAACATGTCGGTCACCCGATCTGAAGCCACACGCAGGATGGTTTGCATCAGCAAGTTTTGCTTCAGCGGCTTGGAGAGGTACTCATCCATCTGAGCCTGGATGCATTTTTCGCGGTCTCCCAGCATAGCATGTGCAGTCAAGGCCACGATGGGCGTTCGTGGCAGGTGCATCTCTTTTTCAAACTGCCGGATCTCGCGGGTAGCCTCGAATCCTCCCATGACAGGCATCTGGACATCCATCAGGACGACATCGAAGCGATTCTCCTTGACAGCATTGACCGCTTCCAGGCCGTTGCTGACGACCGTCACTACGTGGTTGTATTTCTCTAGGATCTTGATGGCTACTTTCTGGTTAACTTCATTGTCTTCAGCCAACAAGACATTGAATGATTTTTTGTAGTCTTTGATGATAGGGGTGGATCTGCCTTCCAGTGCTGGAATCATGCAATTGCCGAGGTCGATTAGTTGGCATGGAGTCGTCATGTAGGATGCAATGCCCAGATCCAAGACGGTCTTCAGGTTGATGGACACGGTCGAGTTCAGTAGCACCATGGGTATGTACTTGAACTTGTCGAACTCTCTCAGCTTGTAAGCCGTTTCGACCCGATCAATGACAATCACGTCGTACCCGTCGACAGATCTGGCCTTCTTCTCATACAGCGGATCAGGTATGTTGAGCTCGTCCTGCACGACAGAGACGTGCAGGCCGAGCTCTTCAATCATCACTGGGACTTTCTTGAAAAACGCCGACGTGCCCTTGTCTACGACAAGAACCTTATGCTTGCGGAAAGGGTACAGCTGCGAACTGATGACGCTGATGTCTTCAGTTGCAAATTTGACAATGCAAGAGAAATGAAACTCGCTTCCGTGGCCAAAATCCGAGGTAACCCAGACTTGACCGCCCATCAGGTTTACGAGGCGTTTGGAGATGGACAAACCCAGCCCCGTACCACCAAACTTTCTCGTCGTCGAGCCATCTGCCTGTTGGAATGTGTCGAAGATAAGGTCCAGCTTATCAGACTGTATACCGATGCCAGTGTCAGAGACAACAAATTCGAAAGGAAATTCGTCGGGGGCACAGTTAGATATGAGATCTTTGGACTTTTTGATGGTGACCTTGACCTCTCCCTGATCGGTGAACTTGATGGCATTCCCAACCAGGTTGAGGATAATTTGTCTCAGCCGGAAGGGATCCCCGACCACATAGTCGGGGACCGAGTTGTCGACGTCAAAAGCCAGACAGAGTGTCTTCTCATTCGCTTTGACCGCTAGTGATTTCAACGCATTGAAGACGGTGCCTCTGATGGTGTACGGAATAGCCTCGATCGCCATCCGGTTCGCTTCGATCTTGGAAATATCAAGAATGTCGTCAATGATGGTGAGCAGACTGTTGGCCAGATTGTGGACGGTGTTGAGCATTTCGCGCGAGTGCGGCTTCAAGTCGTCGGTATCGAGTGTGAGCTGCGTCATGCCAATGATGCCGTTCATAGGAGTCCGGATCTCATGAGACATGTTGGCCAAAAATTCAGACTTGGTTCTGTTGGCTAGTTCGGCTGCCTCTCGAGCTGCCGTGTTTCTCTGAATGCTGTCTCTCAGGTTGGAAATCATCTGATTGATCTTTCGCTTCAGTTCGTCCATTTCACCCGAGGCTTCCACACTGATCAACTTGGAAAAATCGCCTTCGGTGGCGGCATCCGTGATCTCTCCAAACGCGCGCACTTGGGCAGTCAGATTCTCGGCCATGGTGTTGACGTCCTCAGTGATCTCTTTCCACCGCCCATTCACGTCGTGAACATTGGCTTGTCCGCCCATTTTGCCATTGACACCTACGTCCCGAGCAACTCTCCTCAGTTCATGTGCAAATGTGGCCAACCGGTCGACCATATTGTTGATGGTGACTTTCAACGTAAGGATCTCGCCCTGAGCTTCAACTTCGATTTTGCGGTCCAAGTTTCCGGCAGCAATAGCTTGGGTGACTTCTGAAATACTTCGTACCTGGCTGGTCAAATTCGAAGCCATAGTGTTGACGTTGTCCGTCAGATCGCGCCATTTCCCTTGTACGTTATCAACCTTTGCCTGACCGCCAAGTGTCCCGTCGGTACCAACTTCTCTCGCAACTTTGCTGACTTCAAAGGCAAATGTGTTGAGCCTGTCAACCATCGAATTGATCGTAACCTTGAGATCCAGGATTTCTCCTTGGACATCAGCGGTGACTTTCTTTGACAGGTCGCCGTTGGCGACCGAGGTTGTGACCGTGGCTATCTCTCGCACCTGTGTTGTTAAATTCATGGCCATGCCGTTGACGTTTTCTGTGAGATCCCTCCATGTCCCTTCAACATCATGGACGGTGGCTTGCCCACCAAGGACACCATTTGTGCCGACTTCTCTTGCAAGATTGGTCACTTCCTGAGCAAACTGTTGGAGCTGATCGACCATGTTATTGATGGTAATCTTCAACCGGAGGATTTCGCCCTTGCAATTTGCGGTCACTTTTCGAGTAAGGTCACCCTTAGCCACTGCCGTTGTGACCGTAGCGATATCTCGGACTTGGGTGGTTAGGTTATCTGCCATGGCGTTTACGCTTTTCGTAAGTTCGTTCCACGTGCCCTGCACCCCTTCAATCTGAGCCTGACCGCCCAGGACGCCTTCCGTGCCGACATCTCTGGCCACCCTGGTAACCTCAGTGGCGAATGTCCTCAGTTGGTCCACCATGGTATTGATGGTATGTTGCAACTCAAAGATCTCACCTTTGGCGCGGCTCTGCACCTTTTGGCTTAAATCACCACGTGCTATAGCTTTTGTGACTGTCGTGATTTCTCGGACCTGATCTGTCAGATTTGCGGCCATGATGTTCACTACATGCTTGGTCAGTATCGCATCACAGGGCACGAAGGACATAAAATACCGTTGTCGGTCAACTCTTTCCAGATACCATGCACTCCACTTATCTGGGCCTGACCGCCCAATATCCCTTCGGTGCCGACCTCCCGTGCGACGCGAGTCACCTCGCTTCCGAATATTTCCAATTGATCCATCATGGTATTTATGGTTACTTTGAATGCAGCAATTTCATCGTCCATTTCAGTTGCTTGAATTTGAACGCGTTTGGACAAATCGCCATTGGCGACCTGAGTTATGATGCCACCGATCTCACGAAGCGCCTTTTGGAACGCCTCATTTGCTTGTTGATGTTTGCGTAATTCTCTTTCTAGAAGCGAGACATCTTCGTTCTCCACCCGCATAAATGCTTGCTTTGCCTGCTCTTCAGAATTGCGAAGACCACGGCTGATCTCTGCAATAGTTTCACGCTGACTCCTGATTTGTTCGGCCTGTTTCTCAACGTGCTCCTTCAATATACTGATATCATCCTCGCTCACCGTGGCCGCGGAAGCAAACGGTTCCCTGGTGGGAATTTGCGCAGAGCGTTTGGATTGGGGGGGAACAAAGGTGGGTCGTTCAGACGCGGCTGCCGTCGAGTCAGTATACGACTCGCCAAGAGGGCCGCGAGGTTCGGAGAGCCGCGACCCAGGTGAGGCGGGACCTTGGAATTCACCTGGCGTATCTGGCAGAGAGCGGCCAACAACGTCTGCTCGCGACTCGAGGTAGTGTATCCTTCGAGCCAAGGCTGCGATCTCCGCCTCGAATTCATCCTTGGACGGCGTGTCTTCCCCGGGAAGGCTGTAGGGTGGAAGTTTTAAGCCATTGGTATGTGAGGTTTGTGTGGTAGAGCCCTTGGCCAACCCACGAAGAATGGCCGCAGCAGCGAGGAATGTCTCGTCCGGGCGAGACATGGACGGTATAGACGTCTCTAGGGATTGTTCCTCCTCATGAGGCGTCGAAGCGACAGTGTCGTGGCAAGCGTTGTCAATGTGCCAAAGGGCTCGAGTTTTCGGCTGCGTCCAGCAGCGGAGGCAAAACGGCCGCAGAGCCACTTTGCTCAATGGGAATCGTAGGGTCGCGGGTATGTCGAAGAAGGCTTTGAATCGCTGGGTACTCGTTCTTCAGGCGGAAGAAGCCAGTCAAGGCATTGGCGAGGCCGGGTACACAGGCGACGACGCGGAGACTGATGCGAGCCTCGACGCTGGCAGGACGAGCAAGAGGAGAGCTAGGTAGGATGGTATGCGATGGATCAATCTCCGAAAGAACGTAGGTCGACAATGCACAATTGGTAGGCTTGGGCACGTAGGTGGGATGCCAAACTGCGCTAGGCGAGCCGGGTGACAGTAGGGGGGCGTGGGAAACAGAGACGCCGGGATGGCAGAAGGGCGAAATGAGGGTGATTGTAGATTGATAGACGGAAGGGCAATCACAGAAGAGATCTCAGATCACCGTCGGCCTACAGGTCCTCCACGGCAGGTTTTGGGCCTCGATTAGGATAGAGAATGATTCGAGCAACAGTAAGAAACGGAGTAGAGATGATGGCGCAAGCGAAGGTCTTCAGACGTGTCCTGTGGTTTGTTTGTAGGTGGGGAGGAAACCTACTTAGTGGCCTCCCTACAGTAGCTTTACGTACCTAAAGACGGCACTGCAGGCTACGAGTACATAGCAGCCGTGCGCGGCGGTGATAAGGGCAAGGGAGCCCGCTCTCACACCCTCACACCCTCTCTCTCCTGACAGATCACCGCCCGAAGGGGTCAGAAACTTCAGCAAAGGACCCTTTCTTTGGCCGCCCCCGTAATTGAGCTCCCGGTTGAATATTGGTCTTAGGTTGGGCGAGTCAAGCCGCAGTTAAAAGACAACGCAGGGGGGCCAGCGGGGCTGGTCTTCACCACATCTCCAACCAGCTGCGGTCGTGGCCCGGGTTTTCCATCCAAATGTCCTGACCAGTGGCGAGGACCGTGGTGTGGGAGGACGCATGTCACGGATTCAACGGGTATGGACCGTGTCTGTGAGAGGACCGCCACAGTGGATGGATTTTTTGGATTTTTCCACCAAGCACAGATGGGAACACTACGTGTACTCGTCTGAGTAGACTATGAAGGTTTCCTGGGTTCCTAGGAGAAGAAGAAGATCGAGCGAGACGGGTCAGAGTGAACTGAATTGTAACTACTGACGAAGAAGTCGAGGAATGTTTATCATCCCGAACAGCCCCATCTATCGGGTAGTCGAGGCATTGGATGTTCGCACACCTAAGTTAGTCCCCTATTAGGCGGTGCTCTGTATATGGCTTCTCTGTCCTCGTCCTCGTCCTCGTCCTTTCCATTGCTAGTGACTTGGTTATGCGAACAGGGAAAATTAGCTCGAATTTCTCTGTGATTGATTCCTCCTCCTCCACGCAGCGAGTCTCCCTAGTTAGTTAGCCGCCCTGCACCATTTCGTCATTGCTGTCTCCTCGATGCGCCACTGCTTCACTGTCCTCGAGGCATTCTTTCTTGGTCTCCTTGAAAGGTGAGCTGGGTGGTCATGGGTTGTGGGTTATGGCACACTTCGCTTCCTGCGCCGTCCATTCGTGTCATTGTATACAATACCTGCTTACACCGTCCGCATTATTCTCACATTTGCGCACGTGGCCTACCAACGCCTTCTCTACACTCGCTGGCTGGGTTAAGCCACTGACGACCTTGTCACACCTTGGTAGCCGTGCGGGAGTGGAACTTTACGAGGACGGTTGTGCAGCACCGGTTGTACTTCAAACTAAAAGTCCCTCCGAGAAAAGTTATTGCCAACGTCGTATTGCCCGTGCATAAGCTTTTGGGTATTTCAGACAGCCGGATTAAAACAGGACACAACTTTTGGACCCTTGTTTAAACTACGAGTAACATTTGTACCACTTTGCACAATAATGTCACGAGTTGTTGGACGGAAGAGTCGTCAGCTCTCCAAGTCGGCTATGGGCTATTAGATGCACAGGAATGCAAAGCCTGCTTGCGGCACCCACGTCCTTTTGTATTCTCGTCTTCAACCTTCCGTGCCCATGTATACAACATCACCGCGTGTCTAGCATTTCAAGCAGGTATTTTGACAACTGCATCTCGCCATTATACTCCCTCCGCCCGTAAAAAAAGCGTGGCTTCCGGAAATTGGAGAGCCCATGCCCGTACAAGTACTATCCCTGTCGGTTTTTGAAACTCACATCTTTTACCCCAGCCTTTGGGCTGATGCCAGTTATGTTTCAGATCTGAGCTTAAGAGCGCCAGATCGTCACGCAAGCGGGAGCCTGGTCCTGATCCGCATAATGACGCAACCTGGTAATGAGGTTGTGCTGACAGCGCCATCGCATGATGGAGATCATTTGGATTGTATCAGTCCGACAGGGTGCTCCTGAGTCCCTGGGGACCTTGGCAGATTGGTGGGCGTGGCCAGCGCCCTCCAGGAAGCGGTCAATACTCAGGCGATGGGACAGAGGGAGCCCAGTTGCTGTAGGCGGAAGAACAACTCGGACATAGAGAAGACTTGGTATATGGTAATTAGGGAGAGTCTGGCTTAAGCGTGCAATCCTCGTTAAGGCATGTGTATTTCAACTCTTCATATTAACTATATCATCGAAATCATTTCGTCGTGGCTGGCATCACAGAGAAACGGCTACAGAAGGTCACGTAAATCTCGCTCAGAGGCTGAGGCCCTCTAGAGCTTCCAAGAAACCTGCAATTGCCCCCGCTCCAAGCAAGCCCTTGGTAGCACTCTCTTTGAGGTTTTGCTTCGTCGATTTTTCTTTGGCATGGCGCTTGTCGCCGTCACCTCTTCCGTGTGATCGCGGCGTCGCGCTATGTGAAGATAGACGGGAGGGTGACCGTGCTTGCTTACCGTCTTGAGAGACAGGTCGTGGTGGCAAACCCATCCGGCTCGTTGGTTGTTGCAAGTATCTTGACTGCGGACTTGATGGTGGTAGGTATGGTGAAGGGGGGTGTAGTTGAGACTGAACTGGGTACTGGGGGTATACGGCATTCCCATATGTCGAGTAATTAGAATAGGGATTCGGCGCGTTGTTGGCTGTATGTAGGGCAGGGATGGGCGTGGATAGGCTGTGGTGTCCCATGTTCTGATCCGGAGATGCCCAAGGGCGATGCCCAGGAGAATGATAGGCCGGGGAGAGTAGGCCGGATGCTGTCGATTGACCTGGTGTTGCGGATAGAGGCCTGTTTGTGTTGTTTGCGGAATTAGATGTCGCCCATGTAGGAGGTTGGACGGTAGTATGTGCATGCGTGATTGGAGCACCTTCGGGGATCGATATCCTGCGCTCTTGTACGTGTCCCGCGCCACTACTTCGCCGACGGGGTTTGGGCTTCGCAACGTCTGCCTCTGACGCTGATGATTCGGAGCTGGAATCAATGACATGGTGCCGAGCAACTCTTCTTTTAGAGCTGGCGCTTCCAGGAGAATCCTCGACATCGCTGCTAGCAGCACTCACACTAGGCTGGTAATTCTCATATCGTTTCCTCCTCCGGTAGGCCTCATGTCGTGCTGCCGAAGAGTTGGGTTTTCTCCAATCTGTGGTAGTTCCCTCAAGATAATATCCCCGAGAAATGTCATCCCGTTCTCGGAAACGTTCGTGATAAGGCATCTCTTCATCTTCCTCATTCAGGTGCTGCACCGACGGCGCGTACCGTCCGCCAGAGTCACGTTGATGTCGCCTTTCCCTGACTTCACGCCAGTTGGTCCAGCGTTCGAGGAGGGGATCAATAGCTTGATCCGAGACCTGAATCATCTCTTTCGGCGAGCCCTTGATTTTGTGGAGAGTCTGATCCAGTTCACCGAGAGAAAACACCGGGAGTTTGATCAGCGCACTCGAGGGTGCATATTCTGGCGGAGGTGGGTCGTATGTGGAAACCGACTCATTTGTTGACACCAGCTTCAATTCATCATCCTTGGCTGCCTCGTTATCGATGCTGGCTCGACGATCATCTTCCTCTTCTCTCCTTGATGCTTCAAAGACACGGTCCATCTTACTCATCTGCCAGTAGCGAACAATGACAGCGTTCTGTGCCTCCAATCGTTCTTGCTTGATTGCTTCCGTCTTCACTGCGACTTCTTCGGGAGGATCTCTACAACACGGCTTTGCGTCAGAATAATGTCTTCAAGGAGTCAGGGAGACCACGCACCTGCGGGAAGTGGATGCCATGAGTTGTCCCAGCTGGATAACCTGCAGCATGACTGCCAGGCTCAACTTTAGACTCTCCAGCTGCGCCATTAAGTATGTCACTCGGTTCTTCTTGAAACACCATCTGAATCTCTGCTGAAGACTGGGTGTAGCATTCCCGTCGCTGGATTTGGTGCCCAAGCGATCCAACATGTCGTGGATTTCATCAAAGACTCGAGTGCCCTCATCCGCTATTGACCTCGCAGTCTCGATTGCTTCGTTGGAATGGACTGAATCCGCCGCCTGGAGGACCACGCCGGTTTGTTTGAGCATCGTGGAGAATAGAGTCACTCCCTTGGATATGCCGTGGACTTCGAAGCCGGCATTGACAATCTCACAGCTGATGGCGTTGAGAATGAGAGACAGCCTGAAACCGGCCCCTGCGACCCCGAGGATTGAAGCGATGGTGCCTGCGACGAACGGATCAGACCGTGACTCGAGGTGCCTTGTTAATGACGTACCTGTTTCGGCCATTTTGACCATCCCAAACTTCAAGGTGCAGAAACGTCCAACGGAGAACACGGCATCCAAGAAACACCACACCAAAAAATCGAACGAAGTCGTCAGACGTCAAGCGACATTGTTGGAAGGAAAACACGACACGAGTCGAGGCGAACTTGCGAAAGTGAACCGAAAACACGCCACAAGGCTGATCCAGGCGCAGCGGGGAAAACGGCGCAGCTGGAGCAGATTTGGGGGTGTCTGCATGACGGATGGCCATGAACAAAAAGCCCCGGCCTCTCACCCAAAAATCCTTATGGGCGTCAGCGCTCAGAACTTACCTCTGAAGGACACAGAATGTCTCGGAGGGAGGGCCAGCGTATGACAGATCACAGATAGTGACCACACAGTCATCATCTCAGCAGGTGTGGTGACGCAGAGATTGTTTTTCGAAAACCCAACCCGTGTCAAGAATGAGCCTTCCGGCGACGATTGCATTCGTTGCACCATCTTCTATACCCCATCTTGTATCTTGTATCTCGTGTCGAGGAAAAGAGGAGTAGAAAGTCTTGTCTGGCGGAGCGTTCCATGGAGGGTATTTCTACGGTTTGGTGCTGGCTTCACCGCCAAATTCTCGTAGCATGCCTTACGGAGTATCATCTTACCCACAAAATTGGGCTATGGGGATATTCATGCTGCAAAGATGCCACTCCAGCCGTGGTTCTCTGCTTGGCTTTCCACAGCAGCACTGATAGTATGTACCTTTCAGGGTTCACCAAGCTCAGTCGGGCGTGTACCTTGAGTTCATAGTCGAGCAGTGGCTTTAAACCTAAGATACGAGTATGTGGTTTTGGCAATACAAGATTGCGTCGCAGCATCGCGTATAGTTTGGTATGGCGCCTTTTTGGCACAGGTGTGCATTTGTGGTCAGTCCCAACACGGACACCGACGGGCACTGGCTATACCTGGTGGACGTCAAACTCGCGCATTGGCAACCATGAGCTGAACGTGGTTGAGTTTGCCCCCAGTGCCGCCATAGTCTTTGCATTGTATGTTGCCGGTTCCTCTCTTCAAGGGTATCCCTATGGACCTCACTGAAGCCTTCGGGCAGGAAGGATGTCGAGACCCCACGGAAACAGTGTCTCGGAAGGCCCAGGGTACTCTCTCCTTGTACTCGTACAATGTACTGTACTTACTGTACCAGGACTCCGTACTGAGGCGAATTTTGGTGGAGCTCGCCTAGTTCGCAAGAGGCCAATCTCGAAGGGAGCGGGAAATTCATCCTCGGCGCTTGGGGACCGGACTCTCAACTGACAAGCAGCGATTGCTGGTGGTGCGGGTGGTGGTGGCGGCGGCGCATCCAATCGACGCTTCTTCTCGACGATGGTGCCCTCCACTGAATCAGCCTCCAACTGGTAACAGCATGGCCGATATCTTGCGTTTTGCCAGCGGCCCCGGGTAACGAGTAACAACAACAGCAGCCTCTGAATAACACCACAACAGTGGAGCGCCCCTAGTGAGCCTGGCCGGAAGAGGTTTGCTCGCTCCTGGGCTACCAAAGACTTCACGGCGTTCAAAGTTTCCCACAACGACCAGCACTTGTAAGAGATCTTTGTTGTGTTGGAACACCTCGTGGCTGTAAAATAAGTTAGAGCGGTGGCATGAGACTTACCACTCACGGTGTCATGCATAATGTCGGGGATCTTTGATTGAACGGGCTCGACAAGTCCAGGCCTTGTCGGCCACCTGGCGGCTTACCCTGCTTTAACTTCCGCTAACTACAATAGTAGGTGTTATTGAGATCCGAAACCGTGACAAAAGGTGCCTGGGAAAAGCCACGTCCAGAAGGTACTGTAGGGACTATGGTGTGCTGCACTGGTCAGTAGTCGTCCGGCTTTGGCTTTCCCCGGCTAAAACATTGCCATCCTGCTGTTGTTCGGCGAACCCACTCCCTAGGGTTGTCAACCCTTCGACCCCGGCGATCATCGCCATTATTACTCTTCTCTGCTCGTCTTCAATCGCTCTGCCCAGTACTGCCCCGACATCAGATAGATGGTGGTGGTCGATATCACGCTTCTGTTGCTGTCTTCTCGATCGCACTCCAACTACAGGGACAGTTCCTATTCGCACCGCGAGGTACGAGTATAAGCCCTGGATTCGAAAAGGACTCGACTCTTCTTCCTCACATTCCTCCGGCAAGCCCTCTTTACCGCACCGAGACCGATCGCCGGTCGACGCGACTTTGTCCTCACATCAGGCTCTGTGGCAGCCCATTTCTCACGCCTATAAGCATGCAAAGGTGACACAGCCAACACCAAAGAGAATGGACGTGGTTGAACATTGAAGTTTGAAATGCGAAGGCCGTACCAGTCGAGCCAGCCGCCATTATGCGGATCTCCATACGGGAGCAACTTGCGTTGCTTGTTCTCTTCTGCTCTCTCACTTCGGTGATGGTGCTTGCGCTCGCAGTCTGGTTCCAGAACTACAACTTCATCAAGAGCATCCGACTGTCTGGGTTGTCATTAACGGCTTCTCTCAAAGCAGCTCAAATTTCGAATTCCCTCGTTCTCTACCAGTCGCAGGTGAATGCGGTTTCCACGAGGATCTTGATCCAGAGCGCTTTCGGGAGATATTACAATGGTAACACGTCCGATGACAACTGGGTGCGCTCTCAAAGCGATCTGCAGGGTGCCCTGGCGGACGGTTCCCTCCTGGTGCAGGCGTCACTGTTTCCTAACGTCGGCGAGGGTGGTTCGAATACAGCCGATGCGCTCCTCAATGTCACAGCAGCCGGGCTCTCCCCCGTCAAGCTACCCTACAAGTACACCAATGGCTCCGATGTCTATCTGGGCGATCCAGGTCCAGGATACCCGCCTTCACTGTATCCCAATCTAACCTACGGCGCCAAAGTTTCGGGGAAAAATTATTCAACCGTGTCATATGATGGTGAAACCATAAGTCCAGGGTCACCCTTATTCATAGGTCCTATGGCTATCAATGAGTCGTATTCGCTCTTGTCGGTGACGGTTGCCATCATCAACAACACGTCTCGGTCTGATGTATTGGGGTGGTTAACTGTCCTGGTCAATTGCGAAATGCTCTATAATGTTCGAAACTCGCCCGAGGGTTTGAGTTCCTCAGGCGAGATGCTGCTTGTAGGTCCAGATACCACGTACAACTATTTCGACATGAAGATACGAGGTTCGTCACCGGAACAAGCGAGCAACGAATTGGTACGATTTGTGCTCCCTCCTTTGAACAACTCTGTACCCGACCACCGGCATCAGCTTAGAGCAAGTGTTGAAAACGCTACTATACCGTTCAAGATGTCATCATATCCAGCAGTTTTAGCGGCGTGGACGAAAAATAACGATGCGATCAATAACGCCGGAGCATATATTTCCACCCACAACGAGGACAACCACAGGGTTTCCGTAGGATATGCTACCATCTCCAATACCCTGGTCGACTGGGTTGTCCTCGTGGAGCGGTCCCATGGAGAAGTGGTTGCACCGATCAATCATTTACGCAACGTTGTCATTGCTTGTGTTTTTAGTGTCACTGGATTTTTACTCTTCGTCATCTTTCCAGTCGCACACTACTCCATCACCCCCATTCGACAGCTGTATGCCGCAACAGCGAAGACTGTCGAGCCTTATCAGCCCGACGATGCCAGCGCCTACTCTAGTTCAACAAGCGGTCCAAATGCCGACGGGGTCGAAGACGTTCGGGAGTTGCCAGATACGACTCTTGCCAGGAAAGAGGGCTTCTTTGGTGCTTTTTCCAAGCGCTCAAAATCCCGGCCACCTTCACAGACTTCCACCCCTCGAAGGGGTCGCAGGATTTTCAGAATTCCGCGGAAGGTACCCGAACGCAAACATTGCGTGACCGATGAACTAACTGATCTAACCCGGACTTTCAACGAAATGTCAGACGAGCTGGTCATGCATTACGAACGTCTGGAGGAAAGAGTAAAACAGCGCACTGCAGAGCTCGAGAAGAGCAAAAAGGCTGCAGAGGCGGCTAATCAAAGCAAGACTTTGTTCATCGCGAATATTTCGCACGAGTTGAAAACGCCGTTGAATGGTATCCTCGGACTGACTACAGTTTGTATGAATGAAGACGATCTGGGGAGAATCCGCTCAACCCTCAACACAATCTACAAGTCTGGCGACTTGCTCCTCCATCTACTCACCGACCTCCTGACATTCAGCAAAAACGAAGTTGGACAACAACTGTCTATTGATGAAGCCGAATTTAGGCTGAGCGACTTGAGCACTCAACTACTCCCGATTTTCGAAAAGCAGGCTCGGGAAGCTCAAGTTGACCTCAAAGTCCTGTTTTTAGGCACGAGCGATGCATTTGGCGATGCTTCTGACTTTTCTGGCGACAAACTATATGGTCCTGGTGGTACAGGCCGCGTTCGAGATATGTGTCTTTGGGGTGACAAAAACCGAATTTTGCAAGTTCTGATGAACTTTGTCAGCAACAGTCTAAAATTTACGCCGCCACATGGTTCCGTGACCGTTCGTGTCCGCTGTACCGGTTTGTTCGACCACGAGCTCAGTAGAGCAGGCAGTGCTCGCAAGTCATCTCTCAATTCGCGAAAGTCGAGGAATTCTAGTATCAAGAAAGTTCGCATGTCGGATAGCTCACTGTCTCCTCAAGATAGCGTCGACCAAGAGAAAGGTCATACCAATAACAACGCCTCAATTGAAGAATCGAAACTCAGCATCAACGTAGCAGGTGGCACGACACACATCCACAAAGTTGCCGAACGGCAAAGGTCCATGTCGCCACCACCCATCAACACAAAAGATCTCAGCTTCGAATTTGAAGTCGAGGACACTGGCCCGGGAATTCCTCCCGAACAACAGAAGAAAATCTTCGAACCCTTTGTCCAGGGCGATTTAGGCTTGAGCAAGAAATACGGAGGCACTGGGCTTGGGTTGAGTATTTGCGCTCAGTTGGCGGCACTCATGGGCGGTGACATCTCCTTAGACAGCGCTGTCGGTGTTGGAAGCAAGTTTACTATGCGCATTCCTCTGCGGTATGTGTCGGAGCGGTCACCTTCAATGGCATCCTCGACACACCGGTCCCACTCAAAAGCAAGCAGTCTTGTTGGGCAGGCTTTACACGATACTGGTGACATTACAAACAACCTCAACGGCTCTTCGACATCTCTCGGGTCGACACGGAATGATTCCCTTGCCGATGTACCAAGAATTGTCGGCTTTACACAGCCATACGTGGCGAAAGAGAGCAAAAGCGAGTCCCGAGAGGCAAAAATCAACGAAATGAAAAAGGTTGAGAATGAAGCCGTTGAAAAGGGTCGGAAAGTTCGAGTGCTTGTTGCCGAAGACAACAAGGTCAATCAAGAAGTCGTACTCCGCATGCTCCGCCTGGAGGACGTTTATGGTGAGTTTCCTCTACCGACCTGTATGATATGTGGTTCCCTCTAACATAAGCAGATGTGACCATTGCCAAAGATGGACAAGAAGCTTTCGACAAGGTCCGAGAATCGATGCACAGCGGAGCACGATTCGATTTGGTCTTCATGGATGTGCAGATGCCGAACCTTGACGGTATACAGTCAACGAAACTGATTCGTGAAATGGGATTCTCGGCTCCAATTGTGGCATTGACGGCATTTGCTGAAAAGTCCAACGAGGACGAGTGCATGGCATCTGGGATGGACTATTTCCTCGCCAAACCCATCCGCAGACCGGCCTTGAAACAGGTTTTGAAGAAATACTGTGCGACTATACCAGAAGAGGAAGGCGAAGGCAGCTCAACGGCCGTACCTCGATTAAACACCTCAACAGCAGTGAATGGTCACCCTGTGCTACCCTCCAAGGTCAACAATGGAGATGTACACGTGATTGACCCTGACGATGTGTCTCCATTGTCATAACATGAGATGAGTTTGTCTCCCTCATTTCTTCACCAAAGAACAATGGTGTAATCCCCTTGGTAATATTTTTTTCCTCGCAAAACAAAAAGTCATATCGTGATAAGGGCGGTTTTGTCATTCGGCGCATGATTTGGTGGAATCTCTAGGATTGCTGGAAACAGCACGCACACGAAAAGGATGGAGAAGCGACGGCGCATGGCGTGACAAGTTATTGGAAGCTTGGATGGCTGGCTCGACTTTTTACGTTTGAATGTCCAAGACCAGTAGGTAAGAATGAAATCTGGGAAGACGTCCATGGATAAAAAAAAAGCTTCTTATGGACGAGTTGGATCTGCGAATCTACCGAGCACTGGGGAGGAGGAGTTGATGATGCTTTCTACGGTAAAGCAACGATCACATTCTGAGATGTATTGTAAATGATATTGTCTCCATACTTTCCAACACTGAACTAACTCTAGAGGCGTGTTTCGTACTTGATGCGTGACCGGGGCAGGTCACTCGATCCGTAGGGAGTAGGGAGCCATTGCAATTGTCAAATCCTACATGTATGATCTGGCAAGGAAGCGGTAGACTTCAATCTGGGCTACAGGTAACTAGTTAGTTCCCCTGATCGCCGCAGTGACATGTGCAGAAGGGGCCCCCGATCGATGGATCGATCGACAAGCCAGCTATTGTGGGAGAGAATCGAGATCCGCCGCCTGGATCGACCAAGTAGTCACCTGGAGTCGGTGACATCATGATCGCTTCCTCTCTGTTTTGTGCCTCACCAGGCTGGGTGCAAGGGGTGTTATTCATTGTCATCTCGGTCCACCGGACTTCTGTCAAAGTTGTCATTGCTCCTGTGCGTGGCTGGGAGACGCGCATCTCACTTTGATGTTGGTGGTCGCCGAGCTGCCTTGATGGTCTACGACTCTGACACGCACCCTGCGAGGATCCCCAGAGAAAGCACCTCGGGCAGGGTCGAGGCCCCGATCAGATGTTACAAATAATGCCACCAGACTTCAAGCGGCACAGGAGGGCTGATTCGGGCTCGGGGCCGGCGCCTGTCGCTGCTGCGCGCTTGGAAAAGAGACCACGCACGTCTCAAACCGACCATCCTTCTCCACGCTACAAGGACTCGGCGAACGAGGTCAAGTACGGCATTGTCCTGCGCAAATACTATCCTCCCGAGATGACGAATGACCGGGCGCGCGAATACATCGCCGGCAGCATCGAAAGACCCATCGAGACGCTGAACAAGGCCGTACAGGAGACGCAGACGGAGCGCGACAAGATCCCCGTGAACAAGTGCGTGGTGCACTGGTTCAAATGCGACACGCGGACGTCGGACAACAAGGCACTTCATCTCGCGAGCGAAAAGGCAAAGACACATCGGATCCCGCTGATCTGCCTCTACCTGGTCTCGCCACAGGACTTTGAAGCCCACCTCACAGCACCCGTCCGGGTGGATTTCATCCTCCGCAACCTCCAGGCGCTCAAAGACGACCTGGCCGAACTCGACATACCCTTGTACGTTGAGACGGTCAACAAGAGGCGGGCATTGCCGTCCAGACTGATGCAACTGTGCGACGGTTGGGGTGCCCGGCACGTCTTCTGCAACATGGAATACGAAGTGGATGAACTGAGACGAGACGCGTCCCTGGTGAGATCGTGCTTGGATCGCGGCATCTCGTTCAACGTGGTGCATGACACCTGTGTGGTCGAGCCGGGAAAGTTGTCCACGGCAGCTGGTGGGCAGATGTCGGTCTACAGTCCGTGGCACCGCAAGTGGTGCGCGTATCTGAATCAGCATCCACACGAACTGGAATGCTACGCGCCGCCTACCCAGAACCCAGCCAACACGAGAGCAAAGTATGGCGAACTGTTCACATGCCAGATACCGGAAGCGCCTGCATCCAAAAGCCTCTCTGAAGAGGAGAAGGGTCGGTATCGAGCGTTATGGCCGGCAGGAGAGCGCGAGGCCCAGGAGAGGCTGAGAAGGTTCATCCAAGACAGAGTCGGATCTTATCATGACACGAGGAACATCCCTTCGGGCAACGGCACGTCCATTCTGAGTCCGCACCTGGCAGCTGGAACAATAGCAGCGCGCACGGTAGTGCGGGAAGCACGAGATGCTGCGCCGAACAAGAAGTTGACGGACGACAGAAAACAGGGTCATTCGATGTGGATCGGAGAGGTGGCTTGGCGGGATTTCTACAAGCATGTTCTCTGCCACTGGCCGTATATTTGGTGAGTGCGTGTTCGCATAAATGGGAAGATGACCCTTCTGACGACTTTCTCCTGCAGCATGAACAAACCTTTCAAGCCCGAGTACAGCAACATCGAGTGGGAGTACGATCTTGAGCAATTCCAGAGATGGACAGAGGGCAAGACGGGCTTCCCCATAATTGATGCCGGCATGCGACAGGTGCAACACATGGCATACATGCACAACCGGTGTCGAATGATTGTAGCATCGTTCCTCGCCAAAGACTTACTGATAGACTGGCGCATGGGGGAGAAGTGGTTCATGGAACACCTGCTCGACGGGGACTTTGCGTCGAACAACGGAGGGTGGGGGTTCAGTGCCAGCTGTGGTGTCGATCCGCAGCCGTACTTTCGCATTTTCAATCCCCTTCTTCAGAGTGAGAAATTCGACCCGCAGGGAGACTACATTCGCAGATGGGTGCCCGAACTCGCCGAGATCAAGGACAACAAGGGCATCCACGACCCATACAACCGTGGCTATGAAAAGGTCGCAAAGGCGAACGGGTATCCAAGACCAATGGTCGACCATAAGACCAGTCGCGAGAGGGCACTGGCCCGGTATAAGCAAGGAATAGGGAGGGGGACTGCATGACCCGACGGAGGGGGAAGGACTTCGTCGTCGTCGTCAGGTAGCTAGTAAAGGGGGGCCGTAGCCTGGAAAGCTGTCACCCTTGTGTGCGTTGTCTTGTCTTGTTGAAGGGCTGTCTGAAGCCCTGTCCCTCCCCAAAGTGCCACAACGTCCCTTTTCAATGTTTCGGGGGAGATTGCGTCGCGCGCCGTAGAGTCTAAAGAGATGAGGCAGGGTGCATGTGACTTTGCCGTGGTGCAAAGTCCAAGGAGCGATTGTTTGGGAGCGTCGGCGTCGACGTAATGGGGGGACTGGTGCGTGCGTGGAGGTTTGGAAGCTCATGCGAAGCAGGCCCATGTTCTCGCGTATTTCTCCTCGCCCCTTGGGCGCGCATCAGATAAAAAGCCACGGAGCCAAGAGGCGCTTAAGTCAACCAAGCTTTGCAGCCCCAAAGCTTGTTGTTGCTGGTGCACGCGGCGCTATTCGCACAAGCGGCAGGCCACAAGTGCAGCCCACAGGGGGGTTGCCAGGCGGCCCATAGGCGTAGCCCCGTTCCGGAATCGGAGGGCCGTAGGGAAGTCTTGGAAGTGACCAATTCATTACCTCGTACCTATGTAAGGATCATGAAACGACCTTTTACCTGTCGTCGGAGGAAATGTAGATCGACCGTATCTCCTGGAGACGAGCATCACCATGACATGTTTGGTTCCCCCTTCATCGGGTCGTGTCAACTCGTGGATTGTGTGACAGACTGGGTGGGCAGAAGCACGCGACGCTACTCGTAGCCCATTCTTTTTGGTGCAAGTAGGCTCCGGATTGTTATCCACAAGCCGTGTGCAGTGGCCAGTACCCACCAGGACGGAACAGAGGTGGACGGGCATTGGGATTGTACGCGTATGCCATGGTTTGAGCGAGGGGAGGACGGGTTGTCCAGGAGAAGACCAGAACAGAGTACACATGGCCATGATCGAACCTTGTATCGGGTATAATAATACTCACCTGTGTATCACGCAGACCTGATCCCTCCAGGCCGTGTTGAACACCTCTGCAAAGAATATCGCTTCCCTGCCCACTGCCCAGTCCTGCCAACACGAGGCTATTTCCGCACTCCCGGGCCTTATCTCAGGGAACGCTCCGGACGCTATTCCGGGGGCTTTCGTCACTTTTCGGCACCATCTCCAATCAATATATTGGCGCCTCGCTTGGATTCAGCCGCAACTGCACCGCCTTGGAATAGGGCCACCAGCTTCGATTTGATTTCCAGCAGGCTGCGTGTGCCGTTGTCCTGCTGTACAACCTAGCAATAACTATTGTTCACATCACTTTTTTCCGCCTTGTATCATTTCCTTTGCGACTTTCCAACAACACCACAGAGTCCTAACTGAGCTGATTCGGATCTGCCGTCGCCGCCCGCCGTCGCTTGATTCCCTTTCATCTCACACGACCAAACATACTCTTCGACAAGCTAGCCTCTGAGGGACTGCTCTTTCTGTTCTCCTTGCTGGGCAAGGACCCAGCATCCGGTTGACAGTTCTTGGACGCCTCTCTTGTACTTTGCAGTGTACAATGCACTCCCTATGACCGGAGAGAAACGCCATGATCCTTCGAAGCGCGGTCCGACAATGCCTGGCGGTCGTCTTACTAGTCCAGCTCCTCCTGCTACCCTTTGTGGCGTGTGACGCCGACTTCCTCGATGTTCGAACGAACCTGGAACGAGACCGGAGCGGGAAAAGAGGTGATCCAAAGGACAAGTACTTCCACGAGTCGACCTTCCACCCGCACTACGATGGACGGTTCGCCGCGAAAGAGATTGGCAAGGAGGAGCGGCTGCCGCACCTGACGGCTCTCATGCAGACGTTCCTGGCGACCATGGCCGACATTGGCGCCGAGACGTGGATCATGCATGGGACGCTGCTGGGCTGGTGGTGGAACCAAAAGATCCTGCCCTGGGACTCGGACATCGACGTACAAGTATCGGAGCACACCATCGCCTTCCTGGCAAGGTACTACAACATGACCGAGTACCATTTCAAGCTGCCTCACGTCGAAAATGGCCGGACGTATCTGCTGGAAGTCAATCCGCATTTCACCATTCGCGGGGTCGAGGACAGACTGAACGTTATAGACGCACGTTGGATCGACACCGAGACGGGCCTTTTTATTGACATTTCGACGGTGCGCGCCAACTACACGGCGAGGGCCGAAGGTATAGAGGGTGCTTTGATGTGTAAGGATAAACATCATTATCTGGTATGTTTCGATCTCTTCCTTCTTTTTTTTGACGTGGTGAGACTGACGAGAACTCCTGTTTTTTTTAGGAACGAGACATATTTCCACTGCGTGACAGTTTCTTCGAGGGCATTCACGTCAAAATACCATTTGAATATGCATATCTGTTAGAGGAGGAATATGGGGCGAAATCTCTGACGTTGACCGTGTTTGAACAGTAAGTGTGGGCCGACGATGTCACCAGCTTTTAATCTCTTGTTGCATTTGCGTCTGCTTCTGATGTTGAAAATTTGCATTTCGCGATCCGTTGTTTGGTGTCACAAGTTCCATTGCTTTGGAATGTTGATGACGATACGCAGCACATGGAGAGGCACCGCCCGTGTATTTGCTTTTTGTTCGTGTTTCGCATACCAAACCATACTTATGTTGTGAGTTACCCACAAACTGACAGACATATTTTCCAACAGCCACGAATTCAATCGAACGAGCAAGCTATGGGAACCTCTTCCTCCATCCCCACGGGGTTCATCGAGGCTGCGACCGCCGAGGAGGAGACCGCCGACCCTAAAGAAGCCGCTGAACGACGTTGTATGAACATGATTGCAGTTGTACTCGTACTATTATTCATTTGCATAGCGATCGGTGTCAGATCTCGCTTTTTTGTGTTTGTATGTGTGTTTGTGTGTGTTTTAAGCTGTCGCTGTCCACCGAGACAGGGAGAACTTGCGGAATGGGCGACCTTGTCCTTGTGCTTGAGGATGAGTAGCACCCAACCCTCGGTGATGCGTAGAATTGACTCCGAGCTTCTGGAGGTATATGGGGGGATACGCCTTGAGCACAGTGGCATCCGCCGTTGGATTTCTCGACAAGACGACCGACAGCATATACAGCATTGGACTTTGTCCGGGCATCCTCGTCACCCAGGCGCTTGAGCAAGACATTCACATCCATCTGCGAAGTGTGTGGGCATGACTTGCAGCATCCATTCTACTGGTTTCTGCGTGTGTGTGTGTTTTACAGGCGGTGTTTCCGCCCTGAATCAGAAAGTGAAACGGCTCAAAGGTATAATATTGGTGATTGTGAACAAACAGAAACTCCCAAAAGAAGAACAGACAGACACCAGGCTGGTCGATCATCATGACAACCTTGACGACTGGATTCATATGTAGCTACCCCTGCTCGCTCCCTACCTTGGTAGTTTCATACTCGATCTGTCGAGACAGTATACGAGCGCTAAGGTATATATATACACGTCAATAACGCGGTCCATATGACAGAGTACGATAAATCCAAGGCAACGTAGTGTACCTTTGTAGCCGGCCTAGGTGTTTACGAGGTCAGATAGACCAGGTCATTCAGGTAGTCAAGTCAACCTTGCTCCTAGGAACTCGCCAGCATGTCGTATGGTGACGACGACCATGACGGCCACGACGACTGAATGGCCTCGTCATATGCTCGACGGACTCGACTTGACAACAATAACGACGTCACACTATCTCGTCGTACAGTCCGCTCGCCTACCACCTTTCACGAGGTCACAACAACTTCAGCCCCACAGCAAACAGAGCAGAATAGGATAGGATAGGATAGGATAGGATAGGATAGGAACTGGATTTCATGGGCGAAACGACGAACGGAGCAGAACAGAGGCAACCAACCTGTCGTCACTTCGGCCATCTATCATGCACGCGAAAGCACCGCTTGCCCAGCAGTCAAACACAACGGTGAATGGTACCTGTATGTATGTATGTATGTATGACTAACGCAAACTCGGTCTCGTTCTCGCTCTGGCTCTGGCTCTTGTCAAGGGCACCCACCACCCTTTCTGTGAACCGTGACCATGGCTTTGTGATGGTGGCAGAAATGAGAAATGAGAAATGAGACACGTCTTCTAATTCCACTCATCCGTATTTCACCGTTTGTCAAACCTGTCTGACCGTCCCCCTACAGACCAGGTATACCTGATAGCTAATAGCTACTGGCAAGTGAGCGGCAGAAGCAGGAGAGTATCGTTGTGCTGCAACGCAGGATACCCTTCAATCGAGATCGGGCGACGACAATTGAAGAGAAAGATGGTCACGAGGACAAACCCCATGCACAGATTTCAAATGCTCATTCCTACCTTACCAGAGAAGAGTAAAGGAGGGGGGGAGGGGGGGAAACGCAGAGGGATTCGAACCGGTTGGTTTTTTGTCTTCTTCCTCCTGACGAGAAATTTGCTTCTTCGGACACTGCGCCCGAGCAACCGTCATTGCTGATCCGACGAATATCTCACCAGGCACGGTGTTCGTGGGTACCTACCTACGAGGCACCAGAAACGTCTCTTGGTCGCTAGCTCCTTACCGCTTGCGCCTGGGGGCTGTGATCGCTGGAGGTGAGCTTGCAGACAGCAAGGGAGGCAAGGGCGAAAATTCGAGATCGCCCCCTGTAACCCCCGATGGTTTCGAGGATGTGAGGCCTTGGTCTCGCGTGATGGAGCCATGAGGTGACCACCGAATGCCACCCAGGGGGCCCTCAAAGTCGCATGACGTGTCAAATGACACGATGCTGTAAATACCAACCCTATTAAATCACCTGCATGCAAGTCACAAAAGGTAATGGGCATCCCAAGGCAAGTGAATTCAAGCGATATCGCCATATCCATAGCAAAGGTGGCACGTCCCTCCATAACATGGAGGAATGATCCACGAGATACAGGATCAGCAGAGGGCTCCCGACGTCGATCCTCTGCATAGCATACCTCCAAATGGTTCAGGGAAAGGAAGTAATAGAGGGGATATCGTCATGACAGACAGGAACGGCGTTCGAGAACGCAAGAACAATGCCTCCACAGCACAATATAGCAGAAAGATCCTCGGACCACGCGAGTTCGAATTGTAGCAGAAAGAAACATTATCTCTATCCAAGCGACGTCCTGCCATTCAAAATCAGTTTCCAAGGACCTGGTGTAGGGTACTCTGCACCGGGTCCAGCCCGGTGTCGTGAAGAATTACGAGGCATGAGTGGTTCGCTCTGTCCATGAGTCACTTGGGTTTGATTTGAGTGCATGGCAAGAGAGGTCTTGTTTGGACTGGAAGTCCATCGCCTAGCGGACTTGCTATGTTGGGGAGTCGATTTAGAGTTGGGGACATCCTCAAACCAGTCACTAAGCATGAAATGCTTCAGATCGGTACGGCGCTGGATGAGAGTGCCTTTGACGACCCCTTTTATGGCTTCGACGTAGGCCGCTTGTTCTTCGGGAAGCTGTCTCAGCTGGTAGAGTAGATAGGCGTCAACCAGTATGTTAGGTCTGGTAGAGATGTTGTTGGTAACATAATTGAGGATTTGGCGATAACCCTGCTTTTGGCCACTGGGGATGAGATGGTTGCTATCCTCAGAGTTCTCATTCACTTCTGATACATCTTCGTTGTCTGGATTCCAGATCTCCGATCCAGGCATTTCTTCATCGACGGAGCTTCGTAGCTGGTCGTCAGGGATACTCACTTGGCGGTCAGGTAGTTTTTGCCAGAGTCGCAAAAGCTCTTCTTCAGCTTCGTCAAGGCGCTGGATGAGCTCTCGCTTTCTTGTTTGAAGCGTCTCTAGTATTGCTGGCTCGTCTGTCTCAAAGCCCGCACCATCAGCTGCTAGAAATTCTTCTTCTTCAAGTTCCATTAAACTTTCAAGAAGCAAGTCAACGTCGCCCTTTTTGGACAGGAAAAGCCGAGCATCCATACTTTCATCGCGACGTATATCATTCTGAGAGATCTCGGAACCTTCTTCGCCGTCTTCGCCGTGTGGTGATTGCACGACAATGTCCTGCTGCCGTAGAAATTCCAGAGAGTCTTCCGCCGCAGGTCCAAAGATTCTTGAGCCCTGAGACACGATCTGGTAGCCTTGTTGGATCAAGTCCTCGTCCTCGTCCTCGAGCTTCCGTTCAACTGCTTGCAAATCCAACAGCGCCTTTTGAAGGTCGGTGGGAACACGAGCGTCAGAAGACGATATGAGAGCCTCTAGCTGTTCAATGACCCTTTCCCGCTTTGTAAGCGTATCTCTCCGGACGTCACTCGCGGTAATCAAGGCGCCAGTGTACGAATCAACTAGACTGTTAAGCTGCCTCCATGTGACATCCAAGGGGTCTGAGGTTTGCGTCTTGGTCTTATCTTGACGAGCTTCTCGATCCGTCAGGGCCAGAGCCGGTTCCGCCAAAGTCCAGCCTTTGTTGATGCTCTGGGTCTTCACAGAGGAAGCACTCGCGGCGGGACACATTTCTTCAATTTCCAGGCCTTTCTCTTCCACGGCCTTGCGTTCCGTAAACAGCTCTTCAGCCACTGGTCCAGATCCCATTCCCAACTGAGAGACGTCTACGTTTGTACCTGGGGAAGAGGTATGGACATCTCGCTCCGGCGGTACTGCCGGGATGCCCCCCTCACCCTCGTCTCCGTCCTTTGTAGGCCTCGAAACATCTTGTCCCTCTTTCCCAGGGCCGGCTTCATTGGCCAATCGAGGCTGTTCGCCTATGGGACTATGACACGCAAGTTGGTGTTCCGAAGAGATCTCAGAATGGATCGTGACACGTACCTTTTCTCTGGTGATACGCCGGCGTTATTATTTCTGCTTCGAAATGGCCACATAAGTCAGCTAGCATGGTAACAGAAGGCGTGCAACAGGTGCGTGCCCAACTAAACAGGACTGGAGCGGCTTGAGAAGAGAGGCAGCCATAGATGGCGGACCCTCAGTGCGAAAGAGATAAATAATAGGGACCACGAGCGAGGATCGCGCCCCGGGGAGGCAAAGGTTGGCAATCGACTGTGAGCTACTCAGTCCGGTGCGTGCCACGGTCGGCCCGGGGGCGCCTGTTTCCGCCCGTAAGTTGTAACACCACTAGGTGCAACCCCCCCTGCAAGAACGTTTCCCGGGCCTAACCGAAGGGGGAGCATCGCTAATGTACGGTTGCTACAATAGTACCTAGCTTCCTGGGCAGCCACTGCCCGCGGGCGCCGCCTTTTATTGGGAAAGTTCAAGCTGGGCATCCCTGCAATCTTCTCACCCTCCATCTCACCATCCCCTGCTCGCTAGCCTTAGCACACACCGTCGGCCTCTCTTTCTTGATTTGCTTTCTATTCACAGCTTTGGAAGAGGCGCACCAGCAGTCCAAAGCCATCCTGCAACGTGTCTCCCGTGGTGCAGACTCTTGCATTTCTAGCTCTCATTTCACGTTGTCGCGTCGCTAACCAGGCCTGGTTTTGGATCGAAGCTCTCCAATTGAGCCCTAACTTAGTGCGGTTTGTAGCATTTCCAAGATGCAGAACATGCTGGCATCAGACTATGGGGATGTGGTTAGTGAGCCTGTGAGCCGCATACACACATGGACCGAGTCCTCCCAGGCTCCCAATACTATATATCTTGCTCGCGTTAGGTTCACTGTTGTCTTTTGCTTCCGTGCTCAGTGGCTCCGCCGGGTAATTGCACACCTCATTGGAGCCCTGCTTTTGATTTCAATCGACATTCTTTGGTTGTCCTGTTGCTTTTCCCTTCTGAACCTTGGTATGATATTTGGTACATGCTCTGACTGGAGTCTGGTTTGGGCTACATCAGCACTGGGTCTGTGCTAGGCTGATGTGAATAGAACTGTTCATCCGCTGGCAGGTTGCAGGATGCCCTATCACCACCGGAGGCCGCCCGGTAATCCCGTCGCACCAAGAAGGTCTGAGGTCGACTCCAGCTCCTCCACCTCCAGTGGTGAAGATGCGGGCCGCAGAGAGAGCTGGCAAGCGGAAGAAGATAGCAACCATCTACCCAATGAACACAGCGCGGGAGCCAAGGGAAAGGCAAAGGCGGATTCTGACGAGGATGCCCAAGGTAGGCGCCTCTGAGTTCGATTGCAGCTCGCTAATACGTTGGCCTCTACAGGAGTGCCATCTCAAGGCCGAGCTGTTTCTGAAGCGGTTTCGCTTGGCTTCGGAGGTCTAAGTTTAGGTGACAACACTCGCATGGCAATAGAATCATGGGCAGAGAACCCAGACCTGGAAGCTGGATTCCTTACACAGTATCAAGACCTGTTCAACACGGAGCAAGACTTCACCTTTCTCCTCGCCGCCGTCCATTATGAGCTGCAAGGCGATCTCGAACTGAAAAAGGCGTGTAGCCGAATATATCTCCTGGTAAGGAAGTACAAACGGCTGACAAGTCGGGAGAAAAGGGAGTTTTTGGAAACGCTCACAGATGAGGATGGTATATACCAGCAGAATGGGACCTTCAAAGAGCTGCTCGGTGAGATTCAACAAGTCGCGGGCCCACGGAATAGAAACGCTTACGTACCGGATGACACTTCGATACCTTGGTCTGTGGAGCAATGGACCTTTTCGCCACCACGCAACCGTCATCACCGTCAAAGTGTTCACAGCCAGTCTCTCCCCAGCGTCGAGGAAGGACGCCAGGGCGAGCCAATCCCGACCTTTATGACTCCCCTCCACGAGGATTTCATTGTCAGAAACAGCAGTTTCTTCTGTACGGGACGCGTTTTTATGACACTTTGGCATGAGAACGCAACAACTGGCAATCGGTATCTGAGAGGTAAAGGGGCATTAGGGACCTCTACAATCTCTGGCATCCACAACCAGAGGGTGTTCAGCCACATTAGGCGTTTTGCTGTAGTCAGAGAATGCCATGGGTTTTCGTGGGTGATCGGGGTGAACACTTACCGTGGTCAAGGCCTGAAGAGACCTGGACTCAACAACGGCGATATCCAGGCACATGCCATCATCCACATGGCTCACACCAGTCCCGTCCGTTTGCAAGGAGAGCCAGTAATGAGAAAGCGATCAATCATGGTCGACGGAGGAGAAGACCGCAAGCTCGCGCCGTCAAGCCGCATCAGATTTGACAAGGTGTATAACTTCGAGCATAATGTCAAAGTCAAAGACGTGGGAGTCATCAGCGCGCGATCAATGCCCTTCTTTCGTCAGTACTGGAGAGACGAAGTCGGTGCAGCAAGCCAGGCGGCTGCAGCGCCGCGGCAATCCTCAGCACCATCATGAAAGTGATTCAGAAACACTTTGTTATCATACGTTTTGGTTGCGAGAGTCTCGTCGGACTCTTGTGACTGTACAGGTGTTATCGGAAATGAGAGCGTGTGGCGAATTCCGTCTCTCTCTCGTTGATGAGCGTATAGCTGTTTTGGATACAACATTATGTCAAACAGGACCCGGCGGATGTGGGTATTGAAGAAGAAGACGTTCTCAGATCGATGTTTTAGTATAGCTGTGTTTGGATGAGGTCGACTCATAGTTCTTGGGCCATTTGCTTTGGGAGCAGTGGTTGGTTGCCTTCTTTGCCATTACCGACCTTTTAGTCTGTTACCAATTTACCGTTCACATTTGAAATGTCGATAATCCACATACGGCCTCCGTAGAAACCAGCAATAGTCCGTAATCTCCGTGGTGCCAAAGGACGCGATCCGCGATCACTGATCCGTAAAGTACAATACATGTAAGAGCTAGAGGGACTCTCGGGCAGCAACCGCCGATCGGCCTCAGCCTCGTTTGCAAGAGCCTTCCCTGGGCCGAGATCAGTGGGCACCTCGAGACTGGTACCTCAACCACCACAAGAGCCACAGAGACGAGACCGATCCAGGGTCGCGGACTCGTAATTATTACCCTATATAGATCCCGCAGAAGGCTACGTGGCCAACAAACCGGTGGAATGCTGCGCTCGCTCCTCTCTGCGTTGAAGTAGCTGCTTCTTTCTTTAGCCAACGGACTCCAGCGGAAGAGTGAGGCACAAACATTCAGGATTAGAACACGATGCCATCGATCCGAGACGGTGGCTATCAGGCGCCTTTCACCCTTGACGCCATGATTTACGTCGAATCTTGAACGAAGATTCACAGATTACCCTTGCCCGATAGTCATGGATTGTCCCCAAATACTGACGCGTCGTCCCTGATCAATGGAACCTTCCTTGACTTTCATGACTGACGACTGATTCATAGTCAACTAGTTTCTCGAGTGAGCGAGATGCAATTGGCGATATATCAATTAATCGAAGTGGTTGGCGGTGGAATAGCGGTGAGTGCCCAATGCGAGGCAGCGAATTTCTGGACATTTCTCAATAAATGGCCAATTGGAAACCGAGACTCAATAATCCTGCGTTGACACGACGGGCATTCTTGACCGCTGTAACTTGACTGAGCCTTACTTCGCTGGAGGTAATGCTTACGTGTTGATGAGACAGATGTCCATCTACTCAGCAAGCTTGAAGGGCTGCTGGTGGAGTGGGAGATCATGACTACGTGAAGTTCACCGGTAGGGCTCATTGTCGACAACGAACTTTCTAATCAATACTGTATGCTGATTCAGAAGGTGACCGTCGACTTGACCGGTCAAGGCGTTGTTGCCCGAGCACGTAGATGACATGATTCGACGCCGCCGCAGTCGTCGACAGTATTTCCTTCGCAGTTGCTTCGCACCGAGATGCCTCAACTGCGAATACCCTGTGCTCTTCCACAAATCTTCATGAGCCCATCCCGGTCTGACAAGCATCAGGGGATCATGCTGACCACGTCCAGCATGGAGCGGGTGATACAGTGCCCAGCATGATGTGGTTCTATTTGTCTCGAGGCGAAAAATATAACCTAGACACAAACTGGGCGCCGTCTGCCAGCCAAAACGCGTGTCTCTCCTCTTCGTCCATCAGCCTCATGCAGCCGAGTTCAGTATTGTGGCATCGGACGACTAGCAAACAAAGGCGCCATGCGGCTGAAGGCCGCCCCCAGACAGGTCTCATGTCTGCCCTTGCAAGGCAGTCCAATTGATGGCACAACGGAGGCACCGAGATAGCCGTTGCCATTTGAAGAATGTCTCGAAGTGGTGGTGGGTGCAAGGATATCAATCTCTGAAAGGGTTGTCCAATGAACAAGTGACATTGAGGTCGCAGCTACTGTAAGCGATTGGAAGACAAACAGTGTCAACACCGAGCATGAGGGCCAAGCGAGGGAAATGCACTTTTCCCGTTATCACAAGACGCGGCATATAAAATACTGGTTGTTCCACCCCTGTCAACTTCATATGCCGGTACTGGCTCTGACCAATAGATGGTAGACCCAGACCTACAGTAGACCTAAACCAGAAGTTCAGAGCGTACAAGTCTTATGAATGTCAAAAGGTCGACTCTGACGCGTTCAATGTTTGCCACCTCACACGAAACACGGCACAGTTACACAAGAAGCCGGGAGAACGCCACGCTCCTTCTCCTTCCCGGGGTGCCATTCGTACGTTGTGATATCACATCATCCGTGGAATGGATAGGTACGAAAACTCGGCGGTCGGTTCGTGAAGCGCGCGCAAAAACCAAAAAAGGATGAGTCTCAGATCTTTGAGGACGAGCGTCTAGCACAAAAAGTTACGTGTCTCGCGGGGGAGTGAATGAATGGCTGGCGCCTTCTTTTCGTTCCGCGGCTCTTTGTTCAAGAGGGCAAGATTTGAAAAACACGGGTTGCGGCACATGGTCAGTTTTTGAAGCACTTTCAGCTCTCAAGCCCATCGAAGGGAGGGCCCAGGTACGTAGGCGATGGGGGTGGGCAGTCCGGACTCGCATTTGTGTCAAAACTTGGACCCGGATCCCGGTTGGATATAGACTGCATAATGCACGACCTACATTACCTCGTAGAAAACGAATGCAAATCACTCACATGCACGGGCGCACAACATGACACCTCCTGTACCGTCCCCGGGACATACCCCTCCCCTCCCAGGTGGATGCCAATTGACATTTCCGGAGAGGGTGTGTCCGTTCGACCACAAATACAGTTGATCAACAGCGCACGAATGCATTTCCAAACCCCTGTGGGCGCTGGATACGGGATACGGGATACTGGATACTGGTCACTGCTCAATGGTCAATGGTCAATTGTCAATCGGTGACGGGTAACTGGTCAACTGGGTTCCAAGGATCCCCCAGTTAGGTGGACTAGAGTAGAGAGATGATGCCGGTGAGAATGGGCCTTTGATTCCAAGTACGGATACGGAGTATGTGGACTCGTAAAAGGGGAGTCCCCGGGATTGCAAGGGGGGGATGGATTTCTGGGTTCAGTTGCGGTCACAAGGACAATCCTGCCTTCGGCGCGGCGGGTCGTGGTTGGGTGCGCACGGGGGGTTGCGGAGGACCGAAAGACGGACGGACCGATGGGGACTTCTTTTTTGATGCATGAAAGCGCGGCCGTGGGGGACTGTTTGCCTTGCCCGATCGGGCATCGCATGCGGCTCTGCGAGAAAGAGAAAGTTTACGACGAAACCTTGGTCGAGTCCTCCTCTGATTTACCCGATACCGAGGAGTCTGCTAGAGCTCGACAGCCCAGAGTCCGGAGCCAAAGGATGAGCGACGACGACGTGTTCGTGGACGCAACATCACCACTGACCAACTGACCACTGACCACTGACCACTGACCACTGACCACTGACCATTGACTGGTGAAAGGTGACCAGGATTCCACAATACTTTGTCTTGTTTTTGTCTGACGGTGGGAAAATAGCTAGTTGCTCAGATCACGCAAGCCATGAAAGAAGAAGAAGAAGAAAAAAACGCCACTCGCTACCTACTTATTACTCGACCACCACAGAAAGAATACGACGTCCCCAGAGGGACTGTAGTAAAAGTTGACCCTGCGATGCGATTCCAACATCCCCTACACTCGTCCTCTCGCTCACTCGCGGTACTCGTACATACTTTCGTTGACGTCGTCATGATCGGTAAAAAAAAACTCTAGAGTCAGTAATAATGTGCCTGGCCAGATCGAGTAGAGATCCACTTCATTACAGGTCTGCATTATTATTGTACACTCCGTATCCAGTAAATGAATGGATCCCACTGAGCGGGCCGGAGGCGGGAAGGACAACTGGAGTCGGTCACATCCGTCGAGCTTAATTGAACTTTTGAACCGGAAAAACAAAAGTCACCGACATATGAAGTTCATCATCATCACCAGCACGAGATTGATTGCTCCTAATCTATGATATGCAACACCGTCATTGTGTGTTGGGACGATTACTATGAACTACATGGGTCTTCAGTCTCAAGGTCCTAGAATCACCCGAGCTATGTCGTCGCTTCGGCGGACGACTGTGGAAGATATGACTCCGTGCCGGTGGATTAACTGGCGGTGGAGATGAGTCCCCCGTTCCTGGCAACCAATATGTATACGCACTCTTCCACTCTGATCCATAGGGCTTGTTGGCCATCGGAAGGCCGACCTCCCTGGACCATACATCTGTCATGTATCTCTTGATGTCTACGTACGAGAATGTGTTGTCAAGGTAGTGCTCAAATGCAAATCGTACAGCCGACCACCAGGAAGCGGTGAAGTAATGCGAGAGCCAATTTGAAACGATACTGACGCTGCTGTCGGGGGGCTCCTCGCTCGAGATGGAATCAGTACAGCTATCGACTTCCAATGCCGCAACCGACATGGGGAACATGACAACACCAGCATTGGCATGAGGCGACTTGAGGCGGTCCAGGACTGGATGGAGATCATCTTCCCTTGCCGCATAGTCTTCCGCGCGTAGTTGGAGAGTCTCGTCACCATTGTCTCCGTAGCTCCGTAAGAGCACATCAGTCTCACGGTTAGAAAATTGACCCAGCGGAAGCGAATTTGTCGTGGGTGATTTAGGACGGTCCGTGGCGAAAGGTTGAAATTCAATGGCACGTATCTCCTCGGATATCAAAGCGAGGCGGTCCAATAACTCTCTGCGCCGTTGACCATACCTGGAGAGGAAGTCTTGCGACAACGCGGTCACTGGCATACCAGCCTCAGCCCGCATCTTGGCGTCTTCTGCAATTTCCTCATATTCACTCTCCAGTCGTTCAAGATGGAGAGCCATTTCCTGTTCCAAGGCCTTGAGAGCTGCCACCTCATCCTCCAGACGACCCCTGGTCTGAGGTGGGTTTGTCGTCATGGTCATGGTGATCCCATATGATGATAGTTCAGGCAGGACCTTGGGCGATGACCGTCCATCGCTATCAGACCATTCGGGATCCAAAAAAGGCTCCCCCCTCACGTCCTCGTACAAGTTCTTCTCGACTTCCTTGAGCTTCCACTCGGCTGGTATCAGATCGCTCTCGAACCTATCGTGATCCATATACTGCGCATCCATTTTCTCAATGACTTCTTGCAGGGCCTGCAAGTCTGCTGTTACATCGTGTTGAAGTTTGATGTCTCGAATCAGCCTTCGCGTTATATCTTGCAGGCGCCTTGCACTCGCTTTCACCTTGTTTCTTTCATCCCTGGTGCGAAGCCTCAGTGTCAGAGCACTCTTCCGCAGTTCGTAGAGATGCTGGAAGGCGTGGAGGAATTGTACCAGTTTCCCCGCCTGCGAAGCCGGTGTATGCCCAGCTAGTGCCTCATCGCCGTGACTTGATACATGATCTTCACGTTGGCCCGGATACCCGAAGCTGCTGCTTCCATTGGATCGAGGTATGTTGAGCCAGTCTGCAGCATATTCACCCCCAACATTTGCTTGCATGTCTTCTGGGCATTCCATTGATACTCTAGAGGAAGGATTTGCATGATTGCCATGTAGTATCTGGAAACTGGCCTCAAGACCTTGTCGTGATGATATCTCTAGGCTATGTGAACGACGAGAGGATGGGATATCTCTACATGACGCGTCAGTCTTCTGGTAGGACATCCAGGAAGTCGTACTATCTCACGGGAGGATTTCAGCACGGGAGGGCAGGACGCGATGTGTAGCGTCGTGATTCGGCCACTGGGCCATTGAGAACGACCACTGGCTTGTTCCATCTGCAGCTCGGCACTCGATCCTCAGCTTGTGTGAACACTACCCGGGGAGGGACAGGAAACGAGAAATGGAAGGACAGTGAGCTGCTGCAGGACGCTTCGGCAGGGATACAGTATAGCATCAGGGTGGTGCGACAGACGCGACAAGTGGGATACGGTTGCAGCCAGGGGACATGAGATAATGACAGCCAGGCAATTTCAGCAGATCCGGTGACCCAGGCAGGTAACCAAACGAGATTCATCTTTTGTGAACCGGCAAGGGGGAGCTGTGGTTTCCCTTCAGTGTCCGGCTCCGCCCCGAGTTTGACGCCTGTGGGCAATTCGCGGGACTTTAACCAGGTAGGCGCTTCTGTAAAGGGAGTGTTTGGATGATGTTACTTGAACTTAGCGTCCCCCCCCCGGCAGGACGGCATGGGGGGGGGGGGGGTTTCCTCACTGGGCTACTGTACTAACTACTCCGTGCAACACTCAAAGGTCCCTGGTAGGTAAGGTGCCCGAAGCCCCCCGGCCCTATGCGACCACAGGAGCCCATGTAGTCTCTAACTAGGATGGCGCCTTTGCATACTTATTGTAGCATGCCTCGTGTGCGTCGGGCCCCAGAAGCTGCGCACTTTTGTTCTCTCCCAATCCCCAAATCCCCCCAATCCCCTTCCTCATCCTCACCCACCCTCTTTTTTGTCTTTCTCGTTTCACATCAAACGTGCATCCTGGCCATCTAATACTATCGCTCTGTTTGGCTGCTGTGTGTCTTGTACCACGGGCATGCCCAGCAGTCCGATCCCTGTCCGTCAGCGCTGGCTTCATTGTCGTAAAGCACTGTCTGACATGCTCGATTCCTTTTGACAACTCTGCAGCTGACCAGGGCCAAAGCCGCCGGGAAGTGCTCGCCTCAAGCCCCGACACGCTCTATGTCCTGTGCAGCGGTCAGAGTTGGATCGATCAGAGCACAAGTAGGTCGACTCAGCTGACGCCTGGGACGAGTAACACGTCTTGCTACTCCCCCACGCTAACGCCTGGCCATGAGAACACCGGCTCCAGAGTCGTGGACGAGCTGCCGTCGACTATCACTACTGCAGGTGCAAGCGCACCAAGTATGCGCCGTGATTGCCTGGGGTTAGGATGAGCAACGAGGAATTCGATTATTTGGCTCTTGCAAGATGTGAACCCTGTGCTTCCTGAGGGGAACGGGTGATGCTACTCACCCAAAGCGTCCCATATGCTGGTATGCGACCTTGCGGCTCAAAATAATCGAACTCTCTAAATAAGTGGACATCCTCGACCCGAACACCGTTTCATAATGCCTGTGCCCGAGATATCACTCTGATGGAGCCTAATCGAAACGACCGGAGGAGATTCGCTGATGGAACTTCGGCAAGTGGTAGTATGGCCGGTGGGACATTCACACAATAGTATATGTTACTAATCGTGAAAAGACCGATATCATGTCGAGACGGAAGACACTAGAGGAGCCGTCCGCAGTAGAACTGCGAACCCGTACGTTGAATCCCCTTCATGAAAGTCTGGAAGATATGTTTCTAACAGCGCAAGGCATACCCCAAGAAACGTGCTGCCGAGCTCGGCTCATCCTGGCCTTCCAAACTCTGCGGATGAGCCATTGACATCAAGATCAATCCAAAGTCGGTATGGAAACAATTCATGTCTTTGGTCTGGCATGAACCTAATCCATTATGCAGCCAGGACGACCGACGTCATGAAACGTCATACTATCCCTCTCCTCCGCAGGATCGCACCTATACGCTGGCAAGAGGTAATGACAGTTCTCGTGCGACAGACCGTTATCACTGGGACTCTAGCCGGAGAGACGCTGGAGAGACTGGGAGTCGAATGACCAACCCATCAAATACTTTCCCTGTTAGGTCGAGAAACTACCCGTACGAAACAGAACGACAGCAGTATGAGGAACTCGCCCCTGAAAATCGTAGCAGTACGCATGGAGAAGCTGCTCGCCGGCGGTACACTTCATCCACCAGGTCGAGTGACGACCGCTCCAAAACGCGGGCGCCATATGACGAGCGACTTAGGGGCGAGGATCTGACCACCGGTTCTAGACAGTCAAGGACCGTCCAGACATCGAACGCCAGCTCGACGACGGATTCTGGAGCGGCAGCATTTGGACTGAGAGGAGATATCTTGGAGTTCGTCAACATCCCACTGGGAAGGTTTGCTTCAATGAGGGATTTCATTGACAGTCACCCCAATATCTTGAGGGCGAACCTCCAAACCCTCTTGGAAGCTGCATCACGGGCCAAAAGTGCTAATAATATCACTGTGGCAAAGCGTTGTATACAGCGAATCGTACTTATTCGGGCCTGTAAAGACGAAGCCTTGGCACGAGATCGTTACTTTCAGAAATTGACTAGGCAAGACTCGAGTGAATTCAAAAAGTTTCACCAGGCCTGTGACCACCTCGAGGAAAGACTTGATTCTGAAACTCAACCCCGACAGGAAACTCAAGCTACAAACACTGGATATCCTGCTTCTGCCCAATACTCTTACCAGACCACAAGGCCTCCCACGTCATTTCCCGCGTCCGCTTCTACGTCCACCCGGCCATCCCTTGACAGATATGATTCACGCAATTCGACACAAGCCTTTCGACAACAGCAAGACACAGTCGATGATATGGAAGATCCGGAAGACCCGGAAGATCCAGGATCGAATGATAGACTTCCTCAAACGACGGGCACTTTCTATTCCATGCGGCCCGATACCAATCCCACACAGCGAGAAAGAGGGTTGTCGGTACGGCGAAGGCAGAATCAGTACCCCCCTACGGCAGACGGTGGAAGAAATGCGCAGTTTCGTACTGACAACACAGCCGACGCAGAGCCGGGCACAAGCAGGCTGGATTCCAGATATAAACTGCGTACGGGCCGTGATTGTCGTTCGTTTTTCGTTGCTGGAAGAGTGATCTCGATCATTCATTATTCTAGCATGGGGGCTCAATCTCCATCAAGCCAGACGCCCATACTTGACCAGTATGGCGACCCTATTCACAGCGGTCCACGACGAATGATCATCGTTCAACCGCGTCAAGGATACTCTGTGTGCGTCCCAATCAGTTCTCATGGCCGGAGAGGGATCGGCAGCAAGAAACTTAATCAGCGTGAACAGCAAGCCCACGCCATTGTTTATCCTGAAGGCACAGAAGTCCCATCTTCCCTAGATGGCGAGCCGGAATTTGAAAAACAACCAATTGCTGTCCGCTTGTGTGGAGATCAGACACTGAACCAATTTAGCCGTATTCATTTCGGGAAATACCATACAGTCGAACATAACGTCAAAGTTATGGATGTTGGCCGTGTATCCAAGGAATCGATGCCTGCCTTTGACGCATATTGCAGGCAGGAGCTTCTCAGAGGATGAGTCGCGACAGCACTGTATCATACGTGTCGGTTACCCACTCTATCCGACCTCCCCGAGGTTTCATATATCATATGACCTCTTCACGTTTGCCTGGCTTCAGCCTGGCTGATATTCTACTGGGTATTAAATGCACGACTTCAGTACCTTACTGTTATGCACACGGAGCCACGTTGCACGTCGACTAGTTGAGCCTGCTGGCATCCCTGGGTACACCAACGGCATCACAAAAGCTGCAGACCGCCTCGCAGCTTTGGCCTACCCGGCGGATTACGTTAGGTTCTCTAGCTCCCGGACGTGCAGCTTCGCGCTGGCAGATCGGTCTTGTGCGTGTAAGTCGGGAATTCAGCTTCGGGATTTTCATTCGGTTCTCCTGTTTTGGTGCTTCGGTGGTACACGACCGCCCTTTTTTCTCTTTGACAAATTTGGAACTTTTTTTTTGTGAATTTCTACTTGCCGGTTCCCTTGGGGCACTGGTGTCAAGCAGGGCTCTTGCGTGACAGATCCTTTTTGTGGAGTGAATGTCTATGCTATGGCGATTTTGTTTCCGACGTATCACGACTCACGATGGGGTATACTCGTGTGCAATTTGCATCATGGACAAGTATGCCCTGTCGAGAAATGACGACTTGACGACCCCTTTTCATATCTTTTTCAACGTCTATCATGATGTAGCATTTGGAAATACGAATTTGGATTCATCCGGGATTTTTAGGTGGCCATCCGACAATTTTGAAGCTCACCGTCTTTTTCTCCCACTCCCACCCTTTCCCTCTCGTATTCCAACTTAGTGGAGCCGCAAGATGGCAGCTGCTCTGGTCAAGGCCGTACGGAGGACCACAGCCAAGGATCTCGATTTTCGGAAGAGAGCAAGCGTTGGGAAGTCGAACACGAAGAAGGTTTCGGTTGAGACCGCACTCTCGCACTCTACGGGGCCTGAGCGACAGTAGTAGTAGTAGTAGCTAGTAGGTATAGGTACCGGTAATGCGGAGGAGGCAGACGGGCATTCTCAAAGGAAACGAATCCATCGGTGCCGGGAAGTCACCCAGGTAATGGTGGCTCGTCATTCGGTTTAGTCCCACTACCAAAGTAACCTCCTTTGTAAGCGAGGCGACGACGCGAGGCAGGACAAGGCAAGGCAAGGCAGGGCGATTAGTGTACGTATCCTTTTCCTACCTCGTACTCACTACCACGGATAGGTAGGTAGGTACCACTGTGCCATGTACGGTTCTGTCCAGCAGGTGGTTGTGAATTACGGCGTTGAATATCCACTTCCAATTGAGACCAGTTAAGTATCTACCCTCACCTGTGTATTCCGTACGATCTCCCCAGTCTTCGCTTTCGTGTATGCTACCTACCTACCTACCTACCTACCTACCTACCTACCGAATGTACGTATTTACCTGCTCAGTGCCTGTGTGGTGTTTGAATCAACGAACCCTGTCCGTATGCGCAGTTTCATTTCGTTTCCTTTCGTTTCCTTTTCTTTTGTTTATCTCCAGTTCATAACTTTCGTGATTTCGTCAAACTTACCCAAGTACAGAGCAAACCCCAACCCGATCAAATGAAAGAACGACGTGTGTAACGGACTCGAAAGACCGTGATCGACCCTCTTGTCCAGTTCGACCGGTTTCCCGAAATACGAACAAAACCCCGTCTCCATCAAGTGTCGTCACTCGGCAAGGAGGGGATGTGCATCTTGCCGAGACCCTCGCCACTCCGTACCCATTAGACTTTATAAAAGATGCAGTCACATTGTCCATCTCCCTCCCCTAGACAGACGCCTTGCTGTTTACGACTCGGGGGTCACTACCATGACACGTTGTGACAGACCCCGGCATTGTCTGAAAACAGCCTCATTAGAAACCCGGCGAATCCGTGGAACAAAGATACCCTGTTGCCTCCTGCGGCAGTTATGTTTGTGAAACTTGAATAATGACATGGCTCCTCAGCGGTGTAGGAACCCTTTTACAACATGTCGTCTTTGAGGTCGCTCTGGGCGTCGCCTTCGCCTCCTAGTTCGCGAACCTCGGCTGTGTCCCAGCAGAAACCGGTCAGGTCCAGCGTCCAGCCTTGGAACTGCTCTTCGAGATATTCAATCGTAAGCGGCTTTGGCCACGATTTGAAGGTCGATTCTGACGTCGGGTCCTTGAGCATGGAGTCGTAGGACTTGAACGATACGCGGTGATGGGAGATGTTGTGCCAGGAATCGTCCATGTCGATGTGGAGCTGAGATCCGGAAAACAGCTCAAACCTGAAGGTGGATCCGTGGTCAGCCAGGTAAACAGAGAATGGGCTTATTGCATGCAGCATTGCCAAAGCCCAAACACGAAATAAGGAATGAAATCCGATGACCCGGAGGGTTTGCGGGACAAAAGAATGCGGACAATGTACACTTTATGACCTTGAACGGAAATCCAATCCAGGCCCAGGAGTGTGCATGTACCGTTGGTATGTTGCCATGGAAGGGAGCCATGGCATTGCAGGATGAGATGGCCAAAACTTACCCTATGTACACTCCGTTGTTGGTGCTGCCCAAGCTGATGATTGTGGCGCCAGGTGAAGTCTTGACCAGGTAGTAGATCTCACAATAAGGGATCAGGTCCTGGTGGTTGGGATACTTTGGGAAAAACGGGAACTTGAGCTATGAGCAGGGGTGATGGTCAGTTGGTGACTGTCACTTCGGTTGCTGCGCTTACAAAATGAAGATCCCTTCCTTTGTTTTCTTCAGCCTTCACTTCCCAGAAGTGTCGCAAGACAATCTGGTCAGTCCGTGAGAGGTTGCCGATGGTGTTGGACGGGAGGGTCGACATTTGATACTGAGCTGGAGGTCGATTCGCAAAGTCAAAGCTTGAATTGGTGTTGGCTGACACGGGTCGAGAATGGTGAGAGCCTTGGTGAGAACCCTGGTGAGAACCCTGATGAGATCCAGCCGTGGTTCCATTTGGCATCATCGGAGCGTGAGTGAGTGGAGGAGTGAATGATGTTGGCGGCGACTGAGGAGATTCGCGATTGTGGATGGAGTTGCTGCGAGAGAAACGGCGCATGTTGAACAGAGATGGCATGGTAGAAAGGGAAGAAAGGAGGAAGAAGACTTCCCGAGAAACGAAGAACAAACAGCTTTACTAGTCAACTCAAGGGAAGAAGAAGCTGGCGAGATGAAACACACGGAGTTGGCATCAAATGAGAAAAAAGACGGTGGCAGGTCGAGTGAAGGTGAGTGAACTCGATCGACGTCGATAAGGTCGATAAGGACAATCGGGTATAGCTTACGGACTCCGTCAATGCAGGCCCATCACTTGGCGCCACTAAGTTAGGTAGTTAGCCCAGTTAGGCGGGGTGATGGCCCCCATGGTAGGCTCGGGGAAGGCCATCCCGCCTGGCGCCCGCCTAAGCCCGTCGCTGGAGAATGCCCATGGCGGCCCCTATAGCCTATAGGCTGTCGGTGACTCGCTGGTACTCAGTACTCAGTACATACTTGTTGGTGGGAGGCTGTACGGAGGACCATAGACCGTAGGAACCTACGCACGGTGGGCTACAGGTTGCGTAGAGGCACCAGGCTCACTAGGCCAGATTTCTCCCGACTCTACTCTGCCACTGACACTCTGTTCTCGTCGCCTATGAACATCAGTGTGATTCACACAGATTTACTACTTTGTATGCTATCTGAGACCAGTTCCGGAGTACCATCTACGGAGTGCATACATTGATACATCGCCAACGCACCATGCATCGCCGACATTGTGGCCTTATTTACCAACGTCACATCATGTCGGATCTCCCGTTTAGTCCAATGCTTTACGTGAAAACTCGATCGTCAAAACTCCCAGGAAGTGCAGAAACAAGGCATGTACCTTGGCAATTCTTGTATGAGTGAGACACTGCCCGAGGTCTTGGATTTGCAGCGAAACGTCGGTGGTGACTTGACATCAGAACGCGAGATCAATGGTGGTCTCTAGGGTGTTGGTACCTCTGACACTCTAGCAAACGGACAAGCAGCCGTTTTTTTGGCAACCTCCCACAATGTACATGTCGTTTCCCTTTGATCCCGACTCTACATGGAAACGGAATGGAGAGACAGACGCAACTTCAGGTGTGGTCACCACGGTTATCCTTCTTTCAGACGGATTTCCCAATCAAGCATGTCGGACTGACTTTTGACCGCACGCTCTGCAAGTGGACTCTTGGTTGTGTTGTCCACTAGAGCTTCCCGAGCCTCGAGTTCTTCCTGAGATGCTCGCTAGCTCACGGGAAAACCAGCGCGTGCTCCACCATCGGCCAGTCAGCGAGCACGCGGCTGAGCTTTGGTCCGTGAGAAATGGTGCAGCCTGGAAATTGCCGACCACGAAATTGAGAACACCAAAGCCACGACGAATTACCATTCCACTTCGCCGGCCGAGATACATCTGATGCAAAGTGTGAACTTCACTGCACAGCTGCCAGCTTGTATAAAGGCGCCGTTATAAAACCATAGACAGCATGCCTCAATCCGAAGGCAATACTACACTCTGCGACACATCAGTCCATTTGAAATCAGCCATCAGATCTCTGTCCACCACAACATGACTTCAGCGGCAAAGGCAACCTCCTTGCGCGTCGGTATGCTTCTGGTACCACCCGTACAGCTGCTTGACGCCTCTCCCATCGACTTGTTCGGCATGCTGTCACCTGAATATCTCAAAGCATGCGGACTACCTCAACCACTGTTAGACCTGGCCATCCCTGTATCGCTTCATTACATCAGTCAATCCGGCCCAAATTCGTACGCATCAATGACCTCAGACGCCACTTTGCCCGTCACCGATTCTCTCACGTCGCCTGGAGTACAGCCGGGACAACTAGACGTCTTGCTCATCCCAGGCCCAGATCCAAGTCTCGTCCCAGATGCTGCTGTCGTCGATTTTATCCGTGCGCATCAGAAGAAGGGAACGACCGACTTCCTCGTCATCTGCACCGGGAGTTTTCCCGCTGGCTATGCCGGATTATTGGACGGGAAGAAAGTGACGGGCCCGAGGGGGCTAGTCCCCAAGCTGAAACAAAAGTTCCCAGCAGCGAACTTTGTTGATCGAAGGTGGGAAAGAGACGGACGACTTTGGACTTCCGGTGAGTTAGTTACGGCAGAGACTCTACCTTTCCTCCCTCTCGTCATCTATCTACATATCGACATACGTCCTCTACTGAAGTGGGGTTCTTGCCATGCTAACCATCTTCGTTGCATTCAAGGGGGAATAACCAATGGTCTTGACCTTACGGCTGCGTACCTCCATCACAAAGTCCAAAAGGAGCTTGCGGACCTGGTCTGTGCGATGGCAGATGTCGGTGACCGGTCCCAAGACTACGAGTCAGGCAAGGCAGGAAATACGCTATGGTGGATTTGGCTCGTACTGCGATCACTGGTCAAGAGCAAACCCAAGTCTAACCAGGGCAAGAAAGAGACCTGAGGAGCACGAGAATGGGAGATTGTATGAATCTTGGATTGCACTTTCAGATTGTGTCTGTCTTCGCATCGGAGTCTGTGTTGCGTATTGTCCTTGTCTTTCTTCGACTCGACTCTTAAAAGCCCCCCGTTGCGACTGCAGTTCCTTGGATCTTATCTGATGCCGATGAATCAAATACCGTTCGTGAATGGTGAAAACCATCCCTCCGCCTCCCGACAGATAGTTTCTCTCTCCCTCACTGCCCAACCTTTCTAGGACTTACGGCCACACAGCCAACCTCGAACGATGAAGTCACCTGCCGGGTTCGCCCTCAAGGACTCGCCTCTTCGTTCGGCCATACGCCGTACTGACCTCACGATCACCTGTATTGAAGCTTTCCCGACGAAGAAGAGCCCCCCCTCCCCCCAAAAAAACCGCCTTCGGTGGCTGAAAGAAATCCGAGCGACAAGCAGAAAGTCCCAGGGAACATTTAATTCACTTGCCATTTCTCCTACCACAAACACTGCACCTCGGAGGCTCGAATGCGGACCTGATCTATCTGATCTGAGGCCACGTCATGCTTGTTCTGCAGGTGTCGAGACACATACGTCACGCCGAGCGCGGTGTACTCGCACAAGTAGCAGGAATATCTCTTCGGTGGCGGTCTGGGTCTTTTCCTGCCGTTGCCACTGTCCTGGGTTTCGTTGTCGGAGTCGCGTTGCGTTCGTTTCAAAGATCCAGTCTGTGGTTGATGGTTGGCAGCCCCTGCAGGCGGTGGTCTCATGTTGGCCACGGCGACAGTTCTGTTGTCCTTGCTCCCCGCAGGTTGATTCTCACTTGTGTTATCCGAACCCACCACCAACCCGGGTAGGGAGGACATGGTAAGGCTTGGGTTCACGGTGAGGTTTGGATTCTCACTTCGTGGAAACTCGACCATCGGTCCGTATCGAAGCGCCAGCAAACCGTGGTATGCGTCGACTTCCCTGGGAGTGTACTGTCTCCATCGGCCCGCCGGTCCTGCAAAGGTACCTCCAAGAGGGTGCTGCACCGGTCTTGGTTGAGTTGGCAGACTCACCGCCTGTGCTCCTCCAAGGGTATCTTGTTGACTGATTCCACCATCTTGTTGACGCTGTCTAGAAGCAGGATTTTGGCCCTGCCTCTGTCCAAGTGGCGGCTGCGCGGCGTTGGTTCGACGTTTCTTAATGTTCGGTGTGCTTCCTTGATCTACCATTTTGCTGATTCGGTCTCGGATTGGACTTGGTCTGTGACGGATATCGGAATGATTCTTGTGCAAGTTTTCGGGTTTCCTCCAGGAGGCGAACTCGAATATCACTTTCGTAGCTGCCCTCGAGGACGGTCGCACCGCAAGCAATCAACTCGATTCTTCAAATTGATGGTAAGTTTGAGATTGATTTTGATGGTTGATGTCAGGTTGGTGGATGGTGTGTTGTTGAATCTGTTCTCAACTTCGCAGGGAAATGAACTTGTCTCTCGGTGAGAACGGGAAACCAGCTTGAGTCTGCAGGCTTTTGCCAGAGGAAGACTAGCCATGGGCAAATCTCAATCATCAACAGTGAATGAGAAATCCCATTGTGAGTTGAGAAGGATGACAATATTTTTCAGCGCTGCTATTCACCATTGTCCATTGCTGTTCAAGGGTACTCATTCACAAGAGACGCAGGATCGCCAGTTGTTGGTGACAAGCGTGGTAAACCAAAGGTTTGACATCAGAGGCTTCCAGGGAATGCGAGGACAAGTGTCCGCGGCGTGTCCAGTATCCATGATTGATCAGCCAGTCATGGTGATGTTGAATAACGCAATACAATCATCGAGGTCGAAGAACGACCGCAAAGACCGCTCATGTTCAACACGTTCAGGCAAGTCGATCGTTGTGCCTCGCATCATGCTGCGATGAAACCACTTTGGAGCTGGATCTTGTCCGGATGACACCTGAGTCGCAGGGTCGTCGTCCGAAATTGGAGGAAATCACCTCGAGTGATATCGCGTGTTGGTCAACCGGTTGTTGGGGTTTTGACACTTTCTTTGAGCCGTCACAACCCAACCAAGGATTGATCCGTCGTCCTCCCGCTCGAGAGATTTGCAACAAAGATTGAGGACTTTCTTTGTCTTCCACAGACCAACTTCGAGCTGATCGATGGTCCTCCCGCTCGAGAGATCTGCGATTTGCAACAAAGGTCGGGGGTCACTTCTTTAGATCTTTTCAGACCAACTTCGAGCTGAGCGGTCGTTTTCTGGCTTGAGAGGTCGCCTAGGGATGACCCCGGAAGAGTCGGCCCCGACGAACTTCACAAACCAGCTACCATGAAAGCGCACCCGACCCCCTTCGTCTCACACCTCCGCCCTGGCCGAGCTGGGAGGGTGGAGGAGTGTCGACGATGTGGAAAAAAGACTTTGATATGTCAGTTTGGTCAACGACAAGTTGGGAGACGACGACGGATGAAAGACTTACGAGGTGAAATGGATCTTCAGGACCAGGACCAACATCGGGCGACCGACAACTGTTGAGAGCAACCGCGGCCAATCTGTGAAATAACCCGGCTCGGGAACCGAAACTGTCTGATGTCAGCGTGGTGACGACGAGATGACGAGATGACGCGACAAGGACAGAGTTCATACACATACACACATGCATGCACGGATCAGAGGCTTTGTCGTGGCCTGTGATCAACAAAGACACAACGTCGCCAAGGGGTGCTCACGAGCTGGCCACAAGTGAGCACCCCCTTACGATGCGTTTGTTGTGAGGATGGCCCAGAGCCGTTGAGTTGATATATATAATGGTGGTGGTGGTGGTGGTGGTGAGAGAGAAAGACGCTGGGATCTGGAGGCGAAAGAAGGCGGGTGTTTATATGTTTTGTCGACGCGACACTGGTGAGGCGAACGTTGTCGCGAATTCAATCCATCCACACCGCCTTCCCAATCATGGCACGCAGCAAAAGGCAGCGTGATTCTATACACTTGTTTACCACGGTGAAGCTGCACTGCTGAACTTGGCTTTACGACTACACCCCACGGACTGCTCGTGCAGGCAGCAGTGAGGTTTGTAACGCCCAGGTGAGTGGGTGAGATCAAAGTCACGACTTCACGTCAATCAACCAAGGAAGCGAGCAAGCAGGCGAGGTACGGAAACTGTACTGCACTGTAATGCTTTGTATTGTATCGTTCTCAATTGACAGGAGTCCCATACGATAAGGAATCCGGTCATCCCATCCCTTCCCATCTGGTCACTGTCGGTTGGGTGAGAGGTCACGCTACTTAAATGGTGTCTGTGGTATGTGACCACACCTGGAGCGAGATACTCGATGCATATGCCTCAACCATTGCACAGCAACGATCTGTCTCACGACATGAAATTTGGTGGAAGTGGAGGTGACATGTGGTACATGCAGGCATTCATCCCACTTTGTGCTCCTGTTCGCCCTATCCCTGAGAATGAAAAGGGTAAACAAGACGGCAGCAAAGCCTCGGTATGCAACCTCCTTACCTTTAACACACCTCTCTCAAACCTCTTGAGTACTGCAAGACCTTTCCTCACACACCTCTCTCGGAACAAAACTTCTGAACCTCCTTGTCCAACTTTTCTCTCTGCATTATAGCATTTCCCATAATTTCCTTGACTGCATCTACCTCGGGACCCAGACTTTGCATCATCGCAGCGTCACCGCCAACTTCTTGACCCTCATCACCTTCAACGATACTCCTCAACCCACTTTCATCGTACACTGACTCCATGAGATCCATCACCGCAAAGAGTTGATTAGGTAACCAGGTGACGATGGGACTTCCACCGGTGGCAGTCGGATGTGGGGTTCGCTTGATGATGTACTCCCTCGCAAACATCCAGTGACGCCAGCGGAAACTGCGGACATGGTCCAGGAGTTTGAGGTATAGGGTAGTAAGAAGAATAGCAGGGCTCTGGACAGAACCAGAGGAAGACGAATCCTTCTGGTTGTCGACATCAGTACTACCACCACGACAACAATACTTTCTGACTCCAACTTCGCCACTCTTGCTCATGACCCAGGCCAAAAACTCCCGGTGCGGCTTGGGCCGGTACTGTCGAAAGTCCTTGAGGATGTCCGTGAGCGGGTTGGTCGGCATGGGGATTTCCAAGAGGTGGTCGAGCAGCGGGATGATGCTGTCGTTGGCGCCGGACTCGCCCCGGAAGTAGAGCGGCTTCGAGTCGCCGTACCTTGTGCCCTGGTAGATGACGCCGTTGGGGAACATGGACTGCGACGTGATGCCGAAGATGAAGGTGCGGTACGAGATGTAATCCTTGGGCAGCGAGTGCGACCACATCTGCTCCATGTGCTCTTCGATGCGCTTCATGGCCGCCAACATGGTCCGAAACGCCGAGATGGCGGCGTCAGTGTCGGACGGGCGCTGCTCTATCGTGCTCAAGAGGTCGGTTGCCCCTTGGATCAGGGGTCCGGTCTCCTGCACCATGTGGACGTGGGTCAGGATGAAGCCGGCCTCGGAACTCTTGGGGTCCAAGCCATGCTCGAATGCCCGGATCAGTCGCAGGTTCTCGTACAGGCCGGCGCCCAAGTTGGGATTGACGAGGTGATAATTGTACAAGGCGTACGACGCGGCGTAGGACATGAAGGGTGGAATATCAAGGCTAATGGGGAAGAAACACATCAGTATGTTAGTTAGGTTTTCGTATCTCTTACACACGCACACACACACACACACAAACAGCAAATATTGTCGGGGTCTTACATATCAGCCGCTTTAACAAGTGGTGCCGCGATGCACCTAGGCAGAACAGGTCTACCGAGTCCGTACCCGGCGTTGTTATCCTTGGACCAGGTTTCCCAGCACGGTTCCAGCAGGTACGCACTGGCGAGAAAGCTGTAGTCGCGGAAGAGAGCTGTGACGGCCTCGAGGTCGTACGCGGATTCGTCGTCTGCGGCGCGTAATTTTAAATCGTCAATGTGCGACGTGAGGTCTGGTAACTTCCCGGAGTCGATCAGAGGGCCGAGCTGGAACTTGGCCACGAGACCAGGAGTGCCGTCGGCCTTCACTATGGGCATTTCGTCCAGGATTTCGGACATCGCGTCGAACTGTGCTGGCAGTCGGCGGAGTGGAGGGCGACATGGTAGGAACCCCGTCGTCGTCGTGATGGTGAAGGGGTCGGTGGATGCAGGGATCTCCTCGGCGCTGGAATTGAGGTGAGGGAATAACCTTGTCAACGGAGGCAGCGGCGGCGCGTCTGCAAGGTAAGAAGACATGATGAAAGGGGCGTACAGGTCCCACTAGCACCACTGCTGCTAAAAAGAAGAGATTTTGTCAATGAAAGATTTCGCAACGACGTGCCAAGTTCGCCTTTCGTAACTTGGGGCGGTGTATCTAGACCAGGGCAAGAAGAAGTCTCTCAGCTGGATCTGGGGGCACAGCGTCCATATATACATCATGGCCGGTTCTAATTCCGGCCTCATGCCCTCATCAAATGGGTCCGCGAGATAGGAGAAAAGCGACACGGTGAGCGGGGTTATTGAATCAACAATCATCCCAAACAATATTGTTCCCTTGCCATCTGGTCAAATGACACTGGTATGCGTCTCCAATCTTGGTTACTGGAATTCTTCTTGTTAACACCTAGTTCAAGGAGCAGACAGCCTTGTCTTGGCACGTGATTCAGCATTGCACCGACATCACAGTAGCGGGGGCCATGGAACGATGAACTTAGATGGTCCGAATACCGCCAGGAGTACCATGTTGCTTGTTGTAGTCGTTGCCCTCAATTATGTGGCGATATTGTCAAATCCAAGAAATTGATTCTCGCAGCAGCATCGTGTTAGCGAGTTGTCGACCCCCCAATACGCAGATTGCTTCAAAATTTTGCAGAAGAGATTGTGAAAGGAGACATGGAGAAGCCCACCCTGCCCCTCGTCGGCCGTTTTATTGTTGAGTAATGAGAATCTTTATCGTGCGCCAGACACAAACGGTCGCTTCGTTGTGATTGCTCTGGCCGGAATATCAGCGCGAGCTTAGAGCCTGACACGTGACTGGCGGATCTGGGCACGGCAGGACTTGATTGGTTGAGGCCGGAACATTCCGGCCTCGATCGAGTCACTATCATTGGCAGCAGAAGAACCGTAGCAGATCATACTCATGCCAGTTCAAACGACATCAACGCTGGTTCTGGGCCCAGTATGTCCGCTGGTCTGAGACCGTGGATGGAGCATTCGCCGATAAAAATGCATCGATGATAAGACCCTTCTGCATCTTTAGGCGACGGGGTCATAGGCGTGGAATTGCGAAGCACATTCGACAGCCTCCCACTTCGCTGAGGCTGCCGCCAATCCGGAGGGTCAGGCTCGCTTAATGGACGGAGGATGTACAGCACGCGGCCCCCGTTCAGAGCACAAACCCAGTCTCCTGCTTCTGCCATTGATGAAGTCCGAATGGGCTGGCATCGGGGATCACTATTGAGCGACCGCGAAATGAGCCTGTGGGAATACGTTTGAGCCGTATCTGACGAGAACTTCTGAAACAGAGATCCACGTGTCTGTGTCGCCAGGGAAGACAGTGGTCGAGCGAACTCGCCTTCCCCCGCCTGGTCGATCGTCTTGCCCAACGAGCTCAGTGCTGAAGGATCAGCCACGAAGAAGGTACTGGGCCAAGATGCTGTACGGGTAACGACACAGCCTAAGCGAATCCCACGAACAGCCAGGTGTTGGTGCAAGACGGATGCAGGGTTGTCGTGACGACGGCGGAGTGTGAATTCATACACGGGGGATTCTTGGGAGGGGTCTTTGGGTGTGGCATCCCCGAAAGTCTCCTCGTCGAAAGCTGCTTCGGGGCCGAGATCATGTTGTTCAGTTAGTATCAGGGGCCGCAGTGGCAATTGCTGTCTCCAGTCAGGCAACCATGATGGCCAACCGCTGGGATGCGTATTCCCCTTGTACACCCCCGCGGCACTCAAGATGGCCAGATCATTTTCCTTTTCGAGGCAGTCTCGCATCGCAGCCAGGTAGAGTTCATAGATATGGTCGTGATGGTGCCTATCCATGTCGTCGCGACTCGTCGAACGACGTATGTCCAATGAGCAAACCAGGCCTGGCATCAATCCCAAAAGTGCGTAGACGGCGTCTTCGGGTTTCGTGCTCAGCCTGGGCCTCGTGACCATCAGTAGGTTGCTCAATCTCAAGTTTCCTTTGCCCAATTCACTTCGGACGTCCATGATACTCTCAAAGAATCCCTGTGAATCATACAAGATGCTAGTGCTGCGGAGTTTTGAGGCGTAATGAAAATACCACAAGGTGAGATCGCTCCACGCCATCTCCAAATCACCAGAGCATATGATTGCCGCTTTGGCGAGTATGATCTCCTGAAAGGTCCATTTGCGATGAAACCAGACGTGTTGAAATATTGAGAGCACACTCCTCAGGCCAGGTGGCGTCTCGTGGCGTCTGTTCGTCGGCCGTTTTGGCGTCAGACTGTTGAGGCTGGATGTTGACGAAGCGAGACTCTCCCGTGACGACGATGCCCGCTTCGAGTATTTGGAGACGGAAGAAGCGGAGTTGCTGCTTGATCTGCGCGACCCGGAAGGCCTTTGTGGTGTTGCTGTTTGCGACGAGGGCGACAAAAAGTCAGAGCGCACCAGACTCGAGCTGACTGTCGTCTCCTGGAGGACATTCCATGCCCTTGTCATTTTCCTGTCGTGTCTACCAAGCCAGACGATTACACGACTGGCTGACGAGTAGATGGTGCCCATCAAGCAGACTTGCTTCATGACCTCCTCATGAGAGGCCTGATTGATCCCGAGCTGATCTACCCACAGTCGCCTCCAAGAGTCTGCGTAACGGAGATGGAGAAGCGCCGAATGAAGAGATTCCGTGACGGGGAACTCGAATCCGTTGCAAGATATTGAAGTCGACCGGGTCGTATCTCCCCACACGTATGACAGGGCTTCATACTGGCTGCTCTGCGGCGAAGGGATCACCTGCAGCTCGCAGACGATAGGGCTTCCCCTGGATCCGGGCTCGATGAGCAATGTGCGAATCTCGGTCGACTGCAAGGTACTGTACACGTCTTGGGGGGATGCGTCGCTGTCAAGAATGAACCCTCGGTCGTCCATTTTGTGTCTCACTCGATCCTCGATGGCTCAATGTTCTGCCCCCATTGGCTGGATGCGCACCAACTGCTCTGCGGCTCCTTTACTTTGGCAGAGAGTGTTGACTTCCCCGCGCAGATAAGGAAAGTTGAAGACGCGAACAATCATGTCGAAAATTCAAAAGCTCTCCAGCTGATATCAGATGACTTCCAAAGGGTGAGCTGAAGACTTTGGCCCCCAAATTAATGGACGCTGGGCATGCAGGATTTCTCGTATCGTGCAACATTTGCGGGGTGGGCTGAGCTTTAGTTGATTGACACGGATCGCGCGGAGGATGCGAAGTGTTGAACTTAGAAGATACAGCAGACTTCACGTGTCTCCTCTACCGTAATGAATTTCACATACAAGACAAGACATGATACTCTCTGACTTAGATTTGATTTGTTTTCACTTTTTCCCTGAGCAATCCTTCTTTCGTTTTTTAAAGACGTCTCATTTCTTCAAGATTATGCACGGGTTATCTACAAGATGCAATTTCATAGATGACTGCGACGCTACTGAATTCGCTATCCAGGGACTGATTGGTATGCTCGTGGCCTAGGTACCAGCGATAGTACGCCATCAATAGGACTTTTTGACCTTCCAGCCTGCGCCCATCACCCTTGCGGCCAGAAACATCGCCAGTGCCGCAGTGTAAGCGCACCCGGTAAACACGATCAAACCCCAGTATTTGCCATGGGCCTTGGCCACCAGCTGACCCGCAATGGGGATACCGGTCAACGATCCAAACGACACAACTGTATAGCAGGTTGCGTAATACCGTCCGTAGTTCTCCACTTTGCATAGTTGGCCGACACAGACGGGCGTCAGGGAGATGCCAGACCCGGACGCAAAGCCAAAGAGCAAGGCATACACAACGACGACCGGCACGGATCCGTTGGCGGGTAGCCACAGCGCCAACGTCGTGACGAGGCACAGGGTGATGGTGATGATCATCGAATTGAATCTGCCGATCTTGTCGGCCACGAAGCCCGGAAAGTACCGGCCGAAGCAGGACCCGACGTTCAGGATGGCGAGTATCTGGTACGAGAAGTCCGTCGACGTCCCGTAACTCAACATGTAGCTGCTGAGGTAGGTCAGCGGGACGAAGATGCCCCACTCGATGAAGAAGGTGCCGACCGTGGTCAAGGCGAAGACGGGGTCCCTGAAGATGCGGACGTCCGGGAGAATGTTCTCTTTGGTGGCCTTGCGAGGAGGCAGCCGCGCTTTGATGAACAGGTTTGCAAAGATGAGCAGGACCAGATCGATGAGGGCGACGACGCGCGTCGACCACGCCCACCCGATCTTCGGGAAGAGGGACTGCAACATTAGCGGGAAGATGATACCCCCCAACGAGCCGCCCGCGGCAGCCAGCCCTGTAGCCTGGCCACGCTTCCGGAGGAAGAAATGCCCCACGGACGCGATCGCCGGGGTGAAGATGAGCGAAGTGCCCATGCCGCCCATGACGCCCAGCGTGATCAAGAAGTGCCAGTACGCGTGACACGCGCCGAGGATCAATATGGCGGCCACGAGCAATACCGAGCCCGCGAGCACCAGGTAGCGGGGACCTTTGGCGTCGAAGATGGGTCCGATCTGGATGCCGAAGAAGAACGACAGGAAGGCGTAGATGCCAAAGATCCACCCGATCGTGCTCTCCGAGTAGTCGCGGAGTTGATGCGTCGATAGATACGCCTGGTACGTACCGAGAGTGTTCATCACCCTATTCGAGGTCGTCAGCAAGGTTTGGTTGTCCACCAGTCGCGCGCCATCTCATCGATATGGCGGGGCGACTACAGATTTACTTACCCAAGGGCAGCCACCAACCCGCAAAACGAACCAAAGACGCACAGCCAGGCCTCTCGCCCTCCTTCGGGGTATGTATTGCCATAGGCATCGGTCGACTGCCGACTCGCGTTTGCAAGGTTACTTGGGACGTCTCTCAAAGTCGACGTACCGCTCCCTTCCGAAGGGCGTCGGTGGTGTGCCGAAGATCGCGCCGATCCATGACGGTCCATCGGCGGTAGGCTGTCGCACAGATTGTACGGCGCGAATGGGGCGGCGGCGACTGAAGACAGGGCCGTGTTCTGTCTACTTCCCAGACCGGGTCGTCGAAGATCCTGACGCTCCGACGTCTGATTCGAACACTCCGTGGCGCCGCAGTCATCCTGACCGTCGTCCTGCTCGCCGCATTCAAGCGCCTTTTCGTTCTCGTTCCATGACGGTGTTTTCTCGTCGCCTCGACCCTGAGGGTGCTCGGGTCTAGCGTCTGGGTGATGAGATGTCGTGTGTCGGCTTTCTTCCTGGCCTGTTTCGCGCAGGGGAGTTCCGTGGGATGGTTTCTCGGTCGGGTCAAAAGTCATGGAATCAAAGGATCAAATATCCGATTCAGCCACGCGAGTTTCGCTTTCTTGACGTAGCAGCGTTGCTCAACGTCCTCACTTCAAATGGTTGTAAGGGAGGATGCTATGTGCAGAGTTCTGGGTTGTTGAGAGGATCTCTGTATGTATATATAGCATGTACCATGTGAACTCTTGTCGAAGCGGCGCGAAAAGGCTAAAAAAGGTCATATGTATAAACGAAAAAAAGGAAAAAGAAACACAGGATGCCCGTACAAGGAAAGCATGTCGAATCTTGAGCCCCCCTCCCCCATCCTCGTACATCAAAAAAAGGTGGAAACCATTACCACTGCACTTTTGGAACCTCTATTGATTGGTACTGTACGGAGTACTCAACCAAAAATTCTCCCCGCGTACAAAGTCCCTCCAGCGAGCGCGGCGAAGTCCGTCCACCCCCATTCATTTCCAGTACGAGAATGTGGGAGCAAAACCGAGCAGAAAACTCGGATACTTCGTACGTTGGAGAAATACCTCACGTCACTAACTAACTGCATGTAACTAGTTAGTCATAACAAGAGCGGGCTACCTTTTCTCGAATCGTGAGACTCGGGTACTTACTTCTCAGCGACCTCTTTCCAGCAAGTTTGACCTGTCTGCTACGATATCACGATATGTGTGCCATTGTTCCTCTTGGAGGCCCCTATGAGGATGCGTATTGCCCCAAATATTAGCCTTAGCTTTTTCGGGCGTCTGAGTGGGCTCACAGATGAACAATTCCCCCCCTGTTGGCCAACCGTGGTCAAGGCATAGTGCTCAGTTGTCTTAATCGATAGCTCCCGTTCTTGAAGTTTGCCGAAACAACGTCATCAACATCCTGGCGAATGGGCTTGGACGAGTCCATAGGCCCTGCGAGTTTTGATATGCCACTGGAGGAATACCAGCACGAACCAATAGAAGTAACTTCATGTCTTCTCTAAACACGGCGGGCATTGCTTGCTCTACAGCTACTTGCCGCAGTTGGTCCGAGAAATGATAGAGTTTGTCCCGGTATGTTGAAACGGAATGTTGATGGGTGACCGCATATGACTGTATCTGTCTGGCCCATACTCTGACCTACGTCGTTGTTGTTGTAACGTAGCCACGTTCTGACGCCGTACAGAGAATGAAATGCCCTCCCAGTGAATAACCAACCCACACCTCACTACCCCGAGCGCGAACGCGAACGCGGCCAAAGTGGTACAAACGCGTCTTCACTTCACACCTTTCCGACGGTGCTAGACATATTTAATCCGTGGATTTCCTGTCAACAATTCCACCATGGGAGACTTGCTATGGGTCTGCTGGCGCAGCTGGTACAGATCAGGATTCCTCTCTCCAGGTTCGGTGGTTTGGTGGGAAGGGGCCCCTAACCCAGGATCGGTGCATAGCGAGATAAGTTGACCTCAAGAGGAATCTTTCCACGGTCCGGGAGGGGGCTACAGCCAAATTCTCACTTCAAGTGTTTGCTCTTTTTTTTTTTTCTTTTCCGAATTTGGCAGCACTATACTGGGTAGTATCGCAGGAACAAGATATCATCTTGGCTAAGGGAAGAGGTCTTATCGAATAAGACGTGGATCTTTCGGTTACCGAGATTGTTAGATATCATGAACGCGGAAATTTCCCGTAGTTCCTTGACGGTCAACGAGAAAGAGCGCATATAGTACCGCATAGCTGTTGTTCTTCTTCGATCTGTTTGGTCCTCGAGGCATTCTTGCAAACGAAACAAGGCCGTCAGATCCTGATCAGATAGTCGCAAAGGGTCCTCGAGGAGTTTCCTTATCTTCCCCAGGGTCGGGACACTCGTTGGAGGAACGAGGACAGCAGTGCAGGTGAGAGGAACCTTGACTTAATGAGTTGTTTTGCCAGCCGTTCCTCGAGTACATGAAATAGTTCAATGAGCATAGGGACTGCGTCTTGGCCAACAATTGATTCAGTAGCACAATAGCGCTGGAGGCTGGCTATCTGAGTCGAGTTGATGTTAGACGACAGGCTAGAAGAGGGAACCTGTAGTCGCGAGATGAATTGACGAGTTTGACCTCGATGCTCTGTAACTGGGGTGTCGATTCCTGATAGATAGTATAAGTTTAAGCTGAAACAATTTATCTAACGGGCTATTTCCCAACTTTGCAACTTGTGCAACCCCTCAGCACGAGTAGAGGAGACGGACAAGTTGCAACAGAAAGCATGCCAAGAGAGTCAAAGTCCAAAGCGATATAGCATGCTGCCAAGAGAACTCAGGAGGTTTGCAAAATGTTATGGTACTATTGTGCCGCAAAGCTCCTCACGGAAGGAAACTTCTCTCCCTACACCTCCCCACAGGTAGGAGGACTTCATGCAGGGTTTATTTCCGTTGTGTTATCATTCTCGGTGGCTGTTACGGTGGGAAGAGAAACGAATTGACTAGGTACTTGGGAAGTATAGACAATCAAGGAATGAGTGATCGTTATAGGGCGGTTCCTAGTGGCCCCAGATAAAGCTCTATTATGGAACCACATTTGTACTCCGTACGTCACCGCAATTCCACGAAAGTCGGTAAAATAATCTGAGAGCGACATTAGATGTCCAGTGCGGCAGCTTTAGGATACTTTCACAGAATAGGCCTCGCAGATCAGGCTTCGTAGACAAAGGTCAGAGTGATTATGAGACTAAAAGGTACACAGGTACTTTTCATTTCTACTAGTGTAGAGCCATCGATAAAGAGGGTCTTATATGTTACCTTATGTACCAAAGTGGTGGAATTTTCTTCAAAACAGGCGTGCAAATGCCTTCTCGGGGGGCTGGCGCAACGGTAGCGCGTTCGACTCCAGTAACGGAAAGTTATCGAAAGGTTATCTGTTCAAATCAGGTGTCCCTCACAAATTTTTTGCCTTGACTCGATACCGCAACCAATCTACAGGCTTTTTTTTTCAGCCTCGCGTCTCTGTCATAGCGTTTTGTCATGAAGGTTCTTCCACGAAAACCTTAGGTGTATCTCTCGGCCCGCGGCCAGAGCACTGCGGTTTGGTCTTGGCATGTTTCTTAACTAAAGTGTATCTAGAATATACCCTGGAAAATTTGGGCTGAGACTTTGAAATTCCATCTCTAATTTCTATGAAAATCTTCCAAATATCTATATCTACTACTCTTTAATAGGTTCCAAGTGATCTTATAAAATTGAGATGGATCAAGTTACCTGAGGTTGAGAAGCAATTGTCTCTAACTAGAAGTGCCCACGTCATAGCCACTTTCCCACATACATATATTTACATTAGGACCACGACGCAGCATGTTTGGCCACGGGGGAGACAGGATGTGTTGATGGTGACTGTGCACACAGGTCGAACTAAGAACTCCCTGGACCACGCTCATGAGTCGCCAGGTTCAAGTCCAACCCAAGTCATTTGATTTTCGTTAGGATTTTAATGTCGGTGCCTCATCATCGCGTTCCCACGGTCATCGCACTGAGACTGATACTACTGCCTACAGGTGGTGTATAGCCGCGATCTAACTTAGGGGGCAAAGGGGTTTTTCACTCCTTCCGATCCGCCCCGCTTCAGGGCCTCAACGTCGCATCTTTATTTCCACGGGGAGCTCCAGAAGCGCTCAGTGCCTCCCCTACTAAATAAACCTCATCAGGGGACTCAATCAGGAGACATCGCCTACCATGGCCAACCGGTAGGTACCAGTGTTACCTACCAGCATATCTGAGGCGTTCGTATCCCGCTCCCTCGGAACGTCGTCGACCAGGCGCACCCCTCCTTGAGAGAGGAGGCGTGTGTGCTTGCTTCAATCGAAAGGTACCTACCTGGTAGTACCTGGTAGGTAGTACTTACTATACGCCGGTATCCGGTATCTCGGTATCAGAGACCTGATTATCTTGGGTTACCTTGGGCTCACTAAATTGTGACGGAACGAAAGACTGAATTCGCATCTTTCTTGTCCACAGTACCACAGAAGCGCAATACCGTGCATGTCATCACGGTTGCGTACAACCCTCGTACAGCGAACCTCTGCTTTTACAATGTGCAGTACCTGAAACGGTAAGAGAACAATCACAAGAGGCAAGAAAACCAATACCTTAATGATACTTTCCAAGCTCGTTCACGTCATTCATCTAGACTCATCAAATCCATCCTGGAAATCAGTACAACCGTGCGCTGTGTACAATCATATGATGCAAGGAAAAGCGCTCATGATACCTGGCCAATATTTTGGCACAATCTAGGACTCACTCTCTGACTAAAGTGAGGACCACTTGAGAGTGCAACACCACAGGACCTACAGCCAAAAACCCCTCACCCCCTCAGTCATGGCTATCTTGCGGAAACTTCTTCTCTCAACTTCGAGGGAGCCGCATTGCCACCCAGCTTGTTCCTTCTGCCCAACAAAGTCGAGTTGTCGAGGCTCAATTCAAACGGCTGCTTGTTTCTCCGGCCAACGTCCCGCTTGGCGGCAGCTGCAACGGCAGCGCTGTGCTGACCATAGCCTCTCTCTTGTTGCTGGGGTTGTTGATTCCGAGCAGGTGCCACCGCCGCAGCCCGAGCTTGAGCTGCTGCGGATGGTTGATTACCCAAATTCGTCGATCGCATCTTCGCTTCCATACTTGAAACATCTGTTGGCTGTTGTGCCTTGGGAACCTTGCTCGACACCTCCTCTTCATAGTCATCGTCTTCATCAAAATCGTCCTCATTCAGAGGGTTCAAACCCCCAGGCATACCGGCACCACGATATCCCTGCTTGAAGTTCTTTCGTCTCTTGGCTTCCTCCTCCTGCCTGTGCACAGCATAACCAACGTCAAACACTTCTCGCAAGTTGACAGCACCAGGGGATCGGAAATCGGCTCGTTTTCCAGGCGTTCCTGGGGTTCCGATACCGTAGATGTCTGCAGGAAGGTTGCCGGCCTGACCCCATTCCTTTTGCCTCACTGCAAGTGGAGTGGCGAGAGGAGGAGCATCGGCTGCAGCATACGTTGGTTCCTGCACATTTCTGATCCAAGGATGGGCCAAGAACTGTTCGATGGTGAATCGTTTATCAGGGTTGACGGTGAGCAGATGAGAAACTAAATCTTGTGCCGACTTGGAAATGTCATCCCACCATGGAGAAAGGAAGGTATATTGCCCGCGAGCCACCTTTTCGGTCAAGACCTGGATGGACTCATCGTAGAAAGGAGGGAAACCGCAGAGTAGGGTGTAAAGGACACAGCCAAGTGCCCACATGTCCACCGATTTGCTGTATCGTTCGTCTTTGACGATTTCCGGGGCGGTATACCCGACCGTTCCACAAGGCGTCATGGTTTGAGAATCCCAGATGACCTTGGACAGACCAAAATCGGCGATTTTGATCTGACCAATGCCACCGGCACCAACGCCAGGAATAAATTCACCTTCGTCCGCCTTGTCTTCGTCATCCGGACCTCTCGGCTTCGGATTTCGAGTGGGGACGAAGGGGACAGGGTAAAACAGTAAGTTTTCTGGTTTGATATCACTCCAAGGAGGTTAGCCGGGGCACTCTTTGACGGCGACAGGGGTGAATCATACCGATGGACCACACCACATTCTTCATGCAAGTACAGCAGTGCTTTTGCGACTTGGGTAATGACATGACGGCTCAGGTCCTCGCTGAAATATGTCAAACGAACGATTTGATGGAACAACTCGCCTCCAGGGCACAGCTCCAGGACGATATAGTAGTATTGTCTCGACTCAAAAAACTCAACCAGTTGGACAATGTTGGGATGATCAAGTTGTCGCATGATCTGGACCTCTTTCAAAATATTTGCTCGCTATTACAGAAGTCAGTACATGTATGTGGAGAGGAGGTATGGTTCGCAGAGGCAGGGAGGATCAGGTTCGAATACGCGGGAGGACGAAGGGGGCAAAGGTAGGAGTCGAAAAGCGCACCTCCACGCCCTTTGGTTGCTTCTTGAAGTTCGGATGCAGGTGTGCGTCGCCCTAGGGGTCAGAAAGTTGGTTGTGTTTTCGAGACAGAGCATGAGGGTGGGTGGGGATGCGGAAAGAGGTGCAGAGCGGAAATCAGAGAAAGGGACATTGGGGGCTTGTCTGGAGGTACCGAGACTCCGAGCATACCTGATTCGAGTTCATTTCGAACTTTCGCACCACCTTGATGGCAACTTCGTCGTGTGTCTGGGTATCTCTGGCCTTGTAAACGTTGCTGAAGGCACCGTCGCCCATCTTTTCGATCAGGATGTATCTTTCTAGGCCGGGATATTTGGGCATCTGTCCGGCCCTCTCCCTCTCTTCGGCAACGATGGCTTCGATATCTGACTTGTTGACCTTTTGCTGTTTGCCTTGCTGGTTGGCCGCCGCAGCTCCAGCTTGCGCAGCGACATTTCGATTGTCGACGGCAGCGGCAGAGTACTCGCCAGGATGCGGCTGCTGCTGATGCTGTTGGTGCTGGTGATGCCTCTGCACGCCAGCAGGTTCCGATACGCCATGGTGATATTTCTGCGGTTGAGCGTGGACGTTGGAGACGTTGGTGGTCGGTTGATCGCGGGGTGGCTCAGCCACGCGGGCCTGCTTGCCATGACGTATGAAGTTCTTGAGGTTCTGGATGGTACTCATGTTTAGTGACGTTCAGATAATATGACAAGAGATGTCGACGACGAGGCAGACACCGGGAGCGTCGCAGAACAAAGAGAGGCCGGTGGGATGACAAATGGAGGAGGAGAGAGGGAGGAATGATAGCTGAGAGAGACGGTCGGACGGTGGAAAATGCGCAGACACGAAAGTTAAGGTTGGACTGCAGTTTCTGGGAAGGCGCGGAAACGCAGGGACTGTCGAGTGGTCCAGATCTCGCCAGGCGATGATGAATAAGCGACGGCGCAGGTGGAGGTCGGATGAGTGTGCAGGATTAGTGGGAGCTGCTGTTTTGGGAAGAGAGGGCGTTTGGAGAGGGCGAGGGAGAGGGCGAGGGAGGCTGCAGGAGGAGGAGGAGCAGCAGCAGCAGCAGCAGATCTTATCGAGAAGATGCGGCGGGATGGAACTGGATAAGGCGAGACGAGATGGAATGCGTGAGTGAATGCAGGATGGAGGGGAAAAGAGTAAGGACTCGTAGGATGGTGGATGTTGGATGTTGGATGTTGGGCCATTAACGTTCGGCCAGGTACAATAGTGACAATAAATTCAATTCCCAATAGTGCGAGCCTCAGCGTCAGCGACGAGGGATGATGCTGTTGACGTAGTTCGGTGGGGGGGGGGGGCGATGAGGCCCGAGATTGGGATCGTCTTGGGGCACGAGTCACCAATGGTCACTGGTCACTGCACTTACTCGGCTGCACTGGGCCCTGTTGTAGGCGTGATGGTAGCGATGCCCTGGCTGGGAGGCATCCCCAGAGGCCCCTCCGTGGCGGTCCCCGTAGGCGTCCTCGTAGCGGCCCCGATTGGCGTCGTGATAGGCGTAGTAACCGGGATGCTCGTGGTTGACGCGCCCCCGTTCGCCGCGGTGGCGCCTGAGGCTGTTCCTGGCGGCGCCTGGAGCTGCGGCTGCAGCTGGACCCTGGAATGTGTCGCCGTGTCTGTTGACGTCATGACGGGCAGCTTGAGCCCGGTATTCGTGCTCGCAAGGCCGGGATAGTGCGCCATGATCGCATCGCCTGAATTTCCTCGTCGACGCCGGAGGCGAATAGGTACTCGTACTCGTACTCGCCTCCTGGAGTTCCAGCTCCCAGTCCAGCTCGAGATCGAAATCGAAGTCCACGTTGAATTTGACACTGACGCTGTCCGGGTGAAGCTCGTCGTCGAGGATCATCGGCTCAATCCCCAAGGCGGCGGGCACCTCTTTGTCCTCGTTCCTCCAGAAGTCAAAGTATGACGACCAAGCGTCGGTGGGTGTGGGTGTCGGCGTCGGTACTCGCCATCCAAACCGGGCCATGGTGCTGGCCGTTTGCTGTGTTCTGTTCCGTGCTTTAGGTAAGGTGGTAGGCAATACCGTTTGGTCGTCCAGGGACTGGCAAATAGTGGCGCCAACGTGGTCCGAGGAGTCTGAGACTGTCGATGTAGTGGTAAGAAGCAGTAGAGAGAGCGTGGCAGCAAGAATAGCTGCTTGTGTATTGTATTGTAGGTGGTGGTCCTATTCCACGACAGAATCAAAGGAATGAATGAATATAGCTGGCTCTGTGGACAGTCTGCGTAACACCGAGCGAAGGAGCGCGTCGAACGAGACAACTGATCGTGGTGTGAGGGTTTTCTATACTCCGTACAGCAGAGCCTCCTTTACGACTGACCAGGCTCATCCCAACCCATGTTCATTCCACCTCTTGCGATCGGCTTGCTAAATTCTCCCCAGGCCCGATACAGGCCGGTCGCATCCACACAGGAGCTACAGCAAAGCACAGACAGCATGTCGTAACTCAAAAGAGTGAACCGGCACCCGGCCACAGTTAGTGTGTGTGCCCCTTCAGCCACCCGACGATCGCAGATATCAAAGTCAAGGGGGCGCGACAGATCACCACCAGCATATCCACCTCCATGTCTCTTCCCACCCCCTGGTACTCGGGTCTCGAGGAAGACGTCACCTCGTGACAGGATTGCCATGTACTGTACCAGGAACTTGGAAGTCGACCAACTTTCCCATCCTTTGTGGAGGAGCATCTATCTTCCTCGTGCCGGACTCGCAGAGACAAGGCCTGTCAACCTCACGGGAGACACCCTCGTCTGTCATCCAGCAGCTTGCCAGCCGGCTATCTACATTCTTGTTGTATACGAGTTACGACTCGTGCACAAACTCATAAGAGTGTCTTGAAGCCTATTCTGTGCTACTCTTCACGTACATACGTCCAAGGACAGGGAAACGAAATCCCTCCATGACCATTTCTGCCACCTGGTGCAAAGCCACTGTCCTCAGGACTTCTCCGATGCGACCAGATATGCCAGACTCCACAAGATCCCGGGTACCTGTACGAAGTGCATACCTGATGGTGTCGTGGTGTCGCGTCCTGTCACCAACCCATCACCACCCGCACGCGACGGTGCTAATGATAATCCTTTCTCGATCCCCCAACACACTCCAGATCCCAACTTCGAGTGGCCATCCTAGTAGTGTACTCTATCATGCCGCTATTGTCCACTGGACCTGATCGCCCGATCGTCACCATCAACCTCGTATTCGAACCTGAAACCGGGAGCACTGCTGGCACCAAATGCAGTTGAAGCTTTTGGTGCCTGTAGTTCCGGACCCCAGAATGGGAAAGCTCACGCCACAAAAAGTGCTATTGTAGGCCTCTAGCAGGCATTTCCCGTACCCTGTACAGTAACCGTCTCTGCATGTGGCATTGCATCCAGCGTCGTACAGGGGTGAAATTGATGCGATGAGAATGAGAAAAAGGGGTCGCCCACCCACCTCTAGCCCTCGCCGCCTCATGACCTGATGGACAAGGGAGTGAATCTCGCGCCTCGACGTCGTGATGATTTTTGGACCTCATCATCTGATTCGTCCTTGGCTGGTGGCTGGCCGGCCGCTGACTGCTGTCAAGTGCATTCTGCCTGCGAAGTACCGAACCCGGCACATTCCATTCTTCGCCTTTCTGGTTCGTTGCGGATTCATCATGTTCCTTACTTTGCGGTTTACTGGTGCGAGGGCACCAAAAAAAACGCCTCCTCTGGACCGTGCGTGTGGATGGTGCACCTGAAACTTCTGCGCCGTTCTATAGATATTGGTTTCGAAGCCGAACTATCAAGACATACCAACAACTGACAAAACAACGATTTGTCCCTCTTTACCAGATCTTCGTATCATATAGTCTACAGGGTGACAGGTTTGAAGTGCTTGGTGGATACTTGTCTTTCATGCAAAAGCCCAGGAAGTTTGCTCCGGCATGCCAGCGGCGGTGGACTAGTTATCCTTGGGGCAGGTGTCTATGTGCGCTTGTTGGACACCTCTGACCAATGGTATAGCGAGCGCAAAGCATCGACCAGGCTTCACGCGGTCTACAATGCACGAGAATTGCCTCTGTTGTATTGCGCGTTGGTGTCCTTTGCGAGTGAACAAGAGCTTGAAAGATTCCCAGAGGGGTGTTATTGAAGTAGGTTGCCCCTAGACCGCGCGGCAAGACCGGAGTATGAGGTGGCACGACGTTATGGTTCGTTAAATGCCAAAAGCCCAGTCAGATAACAGCCCTTTCTTTGCACCGGTATCTGTCTACAGGTGCATGGCTGAGCTGTCCGCCGGAAGGAGGTTCCAGGAGGAGTGGAAGCGAGCGCATGCGGCACCGCAAAGTCTCAAGGCACAAACAGCCTCGTATGCTCGTGCGCAGGTGTCAGGAAAGCATACCAGGAAGTGATTGCGGATGTTACATATCCAATCCAAGTCGAGGAATCAAAACTACTCGTACTCGTAACTCAATTAGGTGGTCGGTGACAGCGCCAGAGGATGCGACCTTTAGATAGTCATGTGGTGCATGGAAGCACAAAAACAGCTTCTGAGTAGCGGTGCAAGGCTGACTTGGATCACAATTCATGATCGGAAGGTCTAGAATCTCTTCAACTGACTTGCCGAATGGAACGATTGCTGAGTTTCCGAACTAGGATTGTTGCACATCGAGCCGCCACCATGCTCAGCCGCGTGTCTGTGCAAAGAGAACGGATGTACAGTGTAAGTATAGAATGTATGCTTGTACAGAAACTAGTTGTGATATGCGTGCTACCGAGCTACCTGTTGGCTTTGATTGTGTCATTTGTCTGCTGGTGGATCCCAGACGAATAGACATTGTAGGGAAAAGAGCGAAGCGTTGGTGACCGGGAAGGTGAGTATATTTGAAGAAGTACGCACTGTCCAAAGGGGTTGGTAAGGACCTTGCACTAGTTAGAACCCATCACGGCACCTTGTGCCTCCCAATCGACGTGAAAAACTTCTATTCAACCTCAAGGTTTTCAGCCAAGTAAAATATCATACTGTCCCAGTAGTCGGCACCTTTCCAATCTGCTTCCCGACCCCCTGTGTCTTCATTGTGATTCGTGGCTCATTCATTATAAAATTTCTTCATAATCAAATGCAGGAACAAGTTGACATTCACCCGGAGCGCCCCCTCGAAAAATTCCATAAACTGTGTGTTGTTGAATTGTGCTTGCAAGAGATCGTCCAGCGGTACTTGCGCATTGGCGCCAGGTATCATCATGTTACCTGAACTGCCGTCAATGGTGAAGACGCCGACCTCGTTGGAAGAGATGGTCAGATCAACCCGGTCCCATTGAGCCTCGTGATATCCTCGCCACTCCACCAAAACCCCTTTGTGGTGTAATGTCCGTGCCGAATACTTGTAAGAGCCAAATTTGAAAGAGCGCCCAGATCGCTGCAACTCTCTTTCGTGGTCCCATTGCTTCGTGAATGGCATGACAAAACGCTTCTTACCTTTCTTGTTCTGCAGTGTTATCATGGCCTGTTCAATGTAGTCGTTGTACGTCTTGAGCTGCTGCTCAAGATACACTGCTTGCTCGTTCAGCCGTGCCAGAGTGGTTTTGACATTTTCAAGCTCCTTCTGTCGTTGCAGCCGGCGGCGATGTTTGGTACGAATATCAACAGCAATGGTATTGAGTAGATCCTGGTACTGGTTGGCTCGAGTCAGCCGGCCTATTGATTCGAGTTGGAGGACGTTTTCCAAAGCAATGCGTTTGAGGTCCGGATAGGTCAAAGTTGATATGTCAAGGTGTGTGCTGGCGTCGGCATATGCACCCCGTCGTCCATTTCCAGACTGAAGTTCATCTCGCACTAGTGCCTCCCATTTCTCTTCGTCTCCTGAACTGATAGGCTTCACTAGGATCTCGAGTAAACTGGAGCCGGACTGAATGCGGATAATGTAGAGAACGCATCGCTTCGTTTCGGTAAAGAGTGCCTTGACATCCGCATCAGGATCTTCAGCGTTGAGAAATTTCGGATTTAGTGTTAGACTGATTTCGCTTGAACTGACACCCTTCAATTCGCTCTCACTGCTTTGGACACTACCCAGCTCTCGAAGTGTGTCACGAAGCACATCATCTTGATTGGGGCAGATGACACTGATTTCCTGAGTGAGCAGTTTGTGGATTGAGAATATGTCGGCCATTTTGATGTACAATGTAGGCTTTGTCTTTGCATAGAGGTCGTTGAACTCGTCAATGTCGTAGTGTTCTTCTGCGGAAGGGATGGATATGACTAGAAAGGAATGTTTAGTCAAAACTTCGGGGTTCAGTGACGAAGAACGAAACTCACCATGTCGCCAAATCATCGCAAACCGGTCGATGGATTCGCGGATGTAGTTGTTTAGCGGTTGGAGATACACGTTGTCCCCTCCAAACTCACGGCCAGATGCTGCCTGGTTCAATACCTTGGCTATTTCTCCAAGGTTTCGCTTTTGTTCTTGGGTCATTGCACGATCTGCGACTCCGAACTTCTCTGGTTCTAGAAGAGCTGGTTGAAGATATGTACGCCACAGCCACTGTCCCACGAGCTGAAGTACGAAGTCATTGTCTTCGCCAGGAAATCGAGCAAGGAGGTGTTCATGTGTCTGTTGGACCACAAAGCGGACTCCGAAGGGCATGCGGTGCAGACAGTCTTCGATGCAGAGGAAGAATTGGTCGGTAATGTCCCTTAGATCCTGCATATGAGCAATGAACGTTGCTCGAGTCTCAGGATCGCGAATCGCAACTTCCCGTGGCACATTTGGATCTCGATGGCTTCGTCGCCCTGTCCTCAGCTCCTCATTGTTAATGGCTGACAAGTATATCTGCAAAGGGTCACTCTCGAGATCTAGGGACGCGTTCTCGATGATGTTCTCCTTCACCAAGGGACCCAGGATGTCTCTGAGAAACTTGCGGTCCCTTGGCGATTTGCTGTATCCACCGAAGAGTTTGTTGGAAAATGAATTCGTCCTCAGGTAATCTTGAAGCGACATGGAGCAGTCTACTTCTTCCTTGACGGAACGCACGATTAGCTTGACGAGGTAGTATTCTTCTCTTCGCTTTTGAGCATAACCAAAGAGTCCCATAACAAGATGCTTGATCCGATCGGATTCTTTCTCAGCTGTTGCCTGCTCTCTTATACGTCTGAAAAGTCGTGACAGATATTGAGGTTGTGTTTGAAGCAGGAAGAAGAGTTCTTGATAGTGCTCCAGTTTTCGTCGAGAATTCTTGTTGAGTGCTTTCAAATCGAACGGATCTTTTGATGCAATATCGGAATTGGGAAGCAGTGCACCAACATGACCGCCGAAGTGTCTTTGGTGCTTGACAACCTCGTCTAGAGTGATTTTGTTCTTGACAAGAAGAGCAATCTTGATGTCCAGCTGCGTGATGTATTGATCGGCCAGTTCGTTCTGTTGGACATGTTGTACGACTGTTTTGCGGAGTCGTTCAAACTCCACCTCTTCCTCGAAGTCAAAATCACTATCGTTGAGAAGATGGACAAAGCCTTTGAGTGTTCCAACTGGTGGATTCTTGCCGGAAGTAAGGCTCTTGTAAGCTTTACCTTGTATTTTTGCTCGAACGACGCTCTGGATCTTGACGACCTTTTCCATATTTTCCTTGAAAAATCGTTGTTTCTCTTGGAATCGGGAACGGATGGCACTTGCCCGGATGATGGCTTGCAAGTCTGTGACGATCCCATCATGAACATCAAGGTCGCCCAGCAAATCGGCCACGCGAACACGACATAGCATGGCACGGATGGACGATTGTAGCTCAATCGCATTCTCGGCTGTGTCCTCCAGCGCGTTGAGGATGTCAGCTACTTGCAGACGCAAAATGGCTCCTCGAGCCATCGATTGCAATCGGATCAGTCTTGAAACATGTCGATCCAATTTCGAACGCTGCTGCTGTAGCTGATGGCGCATGATGAAGCCACGCATCTTAGCCTGCAAGGGTATGAGTGCCTTGGATTGACGAAGAAGAGCAAGTTGCAATGAGCTATATGACTCTCTTGCATTAGCTCCCCTCAACGCAGCTTGGAATTCGCTGATAGATGTATTCTCCGCCCGCAGGCGTTGGTTCGTTTGTGCGATGTTCTTCCGTACTCGGGAGGCGCGAGCGTTGGCTTGTAGGGCTGTCCAGTTGCCAGACCACTTTTGCAAAGAGCCATGAGTCCTGGAATGTGCAAGTCGAGTGATCATCGATCGCGCATTTGCTTGTAATTTGGTGATGGTAAGAGCCTGCCTTTCGATCGCCAGTCGATTCTGAATCATTTGCTGCCGTAGCATCATACCTCTGATTGCAGCTTGCAGATGTAAGACCTCTCGCTCAGAAGTCCTGGTTGCTTCATATTGATCGATTGCATCTCTCCTCGAGAGGGCACCCCGTATGGCGGCTTGAAGGTTGCGGATGCCGGCATCATGTTGACGAGCTTGGGATTTTGTCTGGCGTAGGTCTGCTCGAGCTCTTGATGCCCTGAAAAGACTCTGTATCTTCAACACATCCATTTCACGGGACTTCCAAAGTTGTTCCTTGTTCCGTTGACGGATCCGAGCCAGGTAACCGCGGGAGGATGCCTGAAGATTTGTTGCAAAGCGCTGCATGTCTAGACGATAACCTGCAATTTGTCTTGAAAAGTCACCACGAACACGGGATTGAAGGTCGACAAGAGCTTCCTCTTGATCCCACAGCTGCTGCATCATGTCTCCAAGCCGTAAACGTACCAATGCCCCTTTCAGTTGCGCTTGAAAATCAATCACAGCAGCCTCCTGCTCTCGCAGCTCGCGTTCGATCCGCTCATCTTCCGTCTCGACCGGCTCTGGCTCTAGTTCGGCACCGAAGCTGGCACCCATCCCTGAGAAGCTCGGCATACTAATGCCCGACTTATCCAAGCCACGCTGTGTCTGTTCCAGTTCATGATGCTCAAATTCTAGTTGACCGACCAAGTTCCCAATTCGAAAGTCTACCATGCCTTTCCGGTAAAGAAGCCATGATAAGGCATGGATACAGTAGATGACTTTTGGGATGTTCTTTTTCTCGTATAAATCAATGAGCTCAAACCGGAAGAGATCTGGCAAGCCGACTTCTTCCAGAAAGCGGAAGAACATTACGATATTGTCTGAGTGCTTGTATTGCAGCTTGGGGTTCCGAAAGATCTTGAGATTATGACCAGGGTGGAATGCTTGGACAACTTCCGCAAGGGTTACACCGTTGCGCAGGCCCTCTTCAAGCTCCACGATTGGAGGTATTGGTTTGTGGATGATGTCCTCGATCCATTCCTTCGCTTCACCTATGTGACAGAGATACTCATAGGCCTGGAGGAATTGCCGCTGCTTGTCCATCCAGTTTCTATCTCCCCAGCCATAGCTCTTAGCTTTTGATCGTGACCCCGGAGCGACGGAATCGGTTCGTTTGAGCTGCCTTCGATTGTGTAAGCCGACGACCGAGTGACCTGTGCCTGTAATCCCGAACTCTTCGGCGTCTCCATCTTGTGCGAATCTAGACAAAGCTCTCAGGTGTGATGTTGATGACTTTTGCAGCTCTTCTATATCCGGCGCCTTGAATGTATTTCCATGTGGAGATGTCACAGCATGGTGGAGATGTGGCCTTGAATGATGCGATTCAAGTTGATGTTCGTGCAAGTGCTTGTCGACAAACGGGTCTTCGGTATGAATTTGGGGGAATCGATCGAGCGTCTGCGCCCGAACATGGTTACCGCTTGGGCGTCGTGGAGTCGCATTAGGAGACGGCGCTTGAGGTAGAGGTCGCAGCGTTTGGCGGACATTTCGGTAGACGTGGTCCGGACTATTTTCAACACTGCTGTGGCCTTTGTATGACCGCGTTGGGGTCATGTCTCCAGCTTCGCTGACTCCCCGTTTGTGATTAGGAGACGCCCTCGAGTAAAGGCTGGAACTGGTCGATGTCACTGTGCTTGTTCGGCTAGGAGGGAAGGCACTTGATGCAGCAGAATAGGCTGAAGATACTGTCGAGGCCGCCGAGGGTTGCCGTTGTGTATTGCCAGCGTAGATGTCTGTCTGCGTTCGCCGCAGAGCGTATTGGGACATCCCGAGGAGCGCGGTAATGGGTTAAGTGCGAGAAGCTCGGATACTTTGAATGTTTGGCACGGCGATTACATCCTCAGATGCGGCTGACTTTCAAACAATAATCCTGCATAAAATAAGTTGGTACTGTTGCAAAATCAACTGTCGTTGCGCCTGAGGGTTGTAAGGACAATGTGATGAAGACATTTCAAGGTGGTGAAAAAGGGCCTTTTGTGAATCTTTTGTTGACAGTACTGAATCTGGAATAGTCCAAGCAAGCGGGGATGGAGGAAAGCGGTTGGCTGGCGCGCAAAGAATAACCTGGGTCTGACGATGCGGATTTGTCCAGCTACAGACCCAGGGACCCTCCTCCCAATTCTGTCTGACGAATCGTATTGGGCGTTCTTTAGACTACGCTTATTAGAGCCTGCGATTTTTGTCCCAAGAGTACGAGTGCTGGTAGGCGTCAGCTGGAGAATCACCGTCTGCTCCGTATCCCGAATATCTTCTCGACTGGTGCAGGTACACATGATTGCCTCGTCCTGTCTGAGCGGAAGACTATCTCCACGAATACGTTGATTGATATCGTGCCGCTTGCATCCCTAAGCGAGGAGTTCGCTTCTGTCAGGCGCTGCCACTGATCCTGTCAACAGTCGCTCACCCCTCTCTACAAGACTGCAATGGTTTCGTCGGCCACATGTAGCCTCAGGGGATCCCCGGGCATGAGATTCTAATATTTGCCCGGTTGATCTCCCTTCTTTATTACGAGTACAAGAAATCGATGCGCCGTCTTCGTGCTCTGGCAGGAACACTGGTCACTGATCTGGTCGGGGCCTTTTCTTTGGCGGGGGTGCGCCATTCCCTTTTGGCTTTAGCGTATCTTTCCGTCCCTTGAAAAAGTTTCACACCGCGAATTTTCAACTCGTTCTTCTTTTTCTCGGGATACCCCTTCCTCTCCCCCAGTATCACTGTTTCATAGACGTGTACTGTCCTTCCGTCAGTCTGAAGATGCCCATCGCCAATGGAGACGCTGCCAGCAATGGCGTCCCTCTCAACCGAGACGTCGAGAAGTTGGACTGGCGAAAAGCCCTCCAAGTACTCGAGGAGTACGAGACTCGGGATGGTCTTGATGTCCACACCCTGCTCGACGCGAAGAAGAACGGTGCTCTGACATACAACGACTTCCTCGTCCAGCCAGGATATATTGGTAGGCATTTTTCGACGCGCCGATCTTTGCCATCCTGACGTGGTTAGGTTTTGCTGCCTCCGAAGTGTCTCTCGACTCTCCGGTCACGAAACGAATTTCTCTCAAGACGCCGCTCCTCTCCTCCCCCATGGATACCGTCACAGAAGAAAACATGGCTATTCATATGGCCTTGTTGGGTGGCTTAGGTGTCATCCACCATAATTGTTCTGCGGAAGATCAAGCAGACATGGTCCGAAAGGTCAAGAGATACGAAAATGGCTTCATTTCCGAGCCTATCGTCCTCTCTCCGAAAACTACTGTCGCTGAGGCCAGAGAACTGAAAGAAAAATGGGGGTTTGGCGGATTCCCAGTCACCGGTATGTCTACCCGTAACACGTCGTGCTCGTTACTATGATGTTCAACCATTTTACCCTTTAAACTTTCGTTCATCCGAAGCATGAATTTGCGATGGGGAATTTTTGGAGATTTCTGTCTGAGTCTACTGTTTCCGACTGTGTTACCTTGTCTCTTCTCTTTCATCTTCTGATTCGAGACTTGTTAGAAACCGGCGAACTCAAGTCCAAGTTGATTGGCATTGTCACAACTCGAGATATCCAATTCCATCCCCAGCCAGAAGATCTAGTCACCGAGGTCATGTCGAAAGACCTGATCACCGCTCCAGCAGGAACCACCCTCCTAGAGGCCAACGAATTACTGCGCAAATCCCGAAAGGGCAAGTTGCCAATGGTCGACAAGGACGGTAACTTGGTTTCTCTGCTCTCGCGCTCCGATCTCTTGAAGAACCTCAACTACCCTCTTGCCTCAAAACTACCCCACTCCAAGCAACTGATTGCTGCCGCTGCTATTGGTACCCGACCAGACGATAAGAACAGACTTCAAAAGCTGGTGGAGGCTGGCCTCGACATTGTCATTCTTGACAGCAGCCAGGGTAACAGCGTCTACCAGATCGAAATGGTCAAATACATCAAGGAAACTTACCCTGAACTCGACGTCATTGCTGGAAACGTGGTGACGCGAGAACAAGCTGCAAACCTGATTGCTGCAGGTGCCGATGGCCTGAGAATTGGCATGGGTAGCGGCAGCGCCTGCATCACACAGGAGGTCATGGCTGTGGGCCGTCCTCAAGCCGCAGCAGTCTTCTCCGTCTCATCATTTGCAGCAAGATTTGGGGTTCCTTGCATTGCCGATGGTGGCATCCAGAACGTGGGCCACATCGTCAAAGGTCTTGCTATGGGAGCCTCAACTGTTATGATGGGTGGTCTCCTTGCAGGCACCACCGAGTCTCCGGGAACCTCCTTTCTCAATCGTGAAGGAAAGCTCGTCAAGGCTTACCGAGGTATGGGCAGCATCGACGCCATGGAGGACAAGAAAGCCGGGGGCGGCGGCAAGGATTCCAAGGCCAGCAACGCCGGCACTGCCAGATATTTCTCTGAGGGTGATAGATTGCTGGTCGCCCAAGGTGTCTCAGGCTCCGTCCTCGATCGAGGCTCAGTCACCAAATTTGTACCATATCTCATCGCTGGTCTGCAGCACTCGCTGCAGGACATCGGCTGCAAGAGTCTCGTCGAGCTGCGAGAGGACGTTAGCAGAGGCAAGGTTCGATTTGAACTCCGCAGCGTCAGTGCTCAGGCTGAAGGCAATGTGCACGGCCTGGACAGCTTCGACAAGAAGCTCTACTCCTAGTGAGTGGAGTCGTCGATGCATCACCACGGCGAACTGGCGTTGAGGGGGACCGAGATACCGACTCAGATGTTGCTGCTGATATATGATTGTATGAGTTTTATGGCTACGTAGACGTACTAAAGCAAAATTCGCAAGAAACTTCCTTTTGATTATCTGATTTGCATCTTTCGTCGTTCATCTACTTTGATGATATAGATTTAGATGTGTCTAAACTGCAACACCGCCACTCGCCTCTCTATCGAAAGTCCAAGCTGAAATGTCACAGTTTGCCTCCCCTCTCCTGCTTCTGCGCCTTCAACTCCCTCTCGTCTCTGAGCACGTCCTTTCTGAACGCAACGTCCAATTCTCGGGGACCTTCCTTTCTGAACTTCACGAGCACAACATACTCTGAGTCGCCCTTCAGCCCGCTCCCTCTGAGTTCCGGGCCTGGCTTGTCGAGCGACAGGACCGTCCTGCCATCCTCCCGGCCGAACTGGAGACCAATAGGACTGATAAACTTGTGCGTCCACCCCTCGGTCTCGATCTTTCTCCTCAATTCGTCCCGTTTCGCGACGACTGCCGTCTCATCTTCCTGCGGTCCCACGCGACCCCGATCGAGAACGCCAGACACCAGATACAACAGCAGGAACTGCGGCGGGAACAGGATGATCTCCCCGGACCTCGCGCGCCGCAGCCAGTCACTCGCGCGGCGCCACTCGGGCGCCATGGTCTCGACCTCGTCGCCCGTCGCGTGGACACTGGGATTGCCGCTCTCGGCCCGGTCCACAAAGTACAGGTACATCTGCGTCGTGAAGCGCTTGGGCACATTCGGCGGCGTCACCCAGTGCGTGAAGGGGATGAGTCGGTTCGTGTCGAGCATCGCGGACGGCGACACGCCCTTCAGCCACTCCGCCAGCGTGACTGCGCCCCGGTGGACGGCCTCGCGCCCGCTCTTTCTCTGCTCCTTGGACACGGCCAGGAGCGACCCGGCATCGCGCGACGACCGCGCCAGGAGGATGCCCGTCTCCTCGAACAGCTCCCGTATCGCGCCCGTGCGGTACGCGATGCTGTCTTTGTGTCGGTCGACGTCCTGCGGGTCCAGAGGCAGCGGCCCGTCCGACGGTTCCAGGTTGCCCCCGGGGAAAACGTGCGCTGAGGGGAAGGCGGAGGATGTCTGGACGCGGTGCAGGAGGAGGATTTCGTTCGAGGGCGAGACCAGCACTATGCTGGCTGACGGCGACGCCGGCTTGGGAGACTTGTGCTCGGAGTAGCCTCGCACCTCGAACTTGGGCTTGGACGGCGCACTAGCCATGGTCGCGGTGCCTGCGCCTGTACGTTTGCCGGAGACGTGTGGCCTGTCGCCGGGTTTGGGAGCACCCGTCGAGGGTCTCGAGACTGCGTGGAGGCTGCGGGACTGAGACGATCGTCTATGAAGTCCTGCTGCACCTATTCTATGCGACCGGACAGGTCTGCAAGGTCGACGACTGATGCTGCTGGCCGAAGGATATTCTCGCAAGAACAAAGTAGGAGAAACTGAACTTGTGACACAGCCGAGCCTGGACATACAAGGACACACTGTAACCGAGGGAACATGCATTGGTATGAACGAAACGAGAGACTGCGGGAATATGTCATAAGCCAGTACGAGGTACACAGATGCTCACACGTACTCTGGCATTGACCTGGTCGCCAAAAAATTAACGAGGGACTCGATTGGAGCGGTTGCATCTCTCATGTTGACGTGGGGAACACGCGGTATGCCGAGGTCCGCGCTCGGCTTCACGTACATTATCGTATACAGTACTCCGTACCACTGTACCCAATGTATCCCCAGAGTCGACCTCGACCATTGCTACTCGTCTCACTTTCATGCCAGTGCTCAGACGAGATCCCCGCTTGAAATGCAAGTTTGTGTGGAGGAATCTCAACAATAGATCAATTCATGCAACCGTTTGACACCCCTCAAAGGTGCACAGCATCTCGTCATCATAATGTTCATAGTCCTCCACTGGGATAACAACACCTGCCAACGCCTCGCTAAAATGCAAATGTGCCTCGTCGAAGTTCAGAACCAAGAGAGAGTCCATAATGCAGGCAGGTTGGGCCACCTTTCCTGCCAGCTGGCCAGGATATCCGGCACTCTCTCATCAAAACTCTGCCGTGCAGCGCCACTCCCATTTTGCCAGCCGGTTGAACCATTGACCTGCCTCTCTTGCACCGCAGCCTCATTGAGAGCATCTGCCAACTCAAGGATTGCTCCGCCACCCACAAGTGCTTCTTCATGATTATCCTTAATGTCAATGTTGAACACATGTACTGGCCGATTGAGAGGCGCTCCTCTGTCTAGCAGATTGTCCACCACCGCATCCCAGCATCGCTCTTCGCAGGTGAAAATGACGTCGACCACACCTCCTTCAGTTCCAGCTGCGCCCTTGTCGCCCCGATTCAGAGCCTCCATTCTGGCGGCACCGACGACCCAGTCATGGAATCTTTCTGGTCCCCATTTGATGTTTCTGTTTCTGTCCAGCATGTTCAAGATGCCGTTGTTACGGTATAGCCTCGCATCCTGGGCATTTAGTTCCTCGTACATTTTTGTGTAAGAGGTTGTGTTGAAATTGTAGACTTGAGGTTGAGATATTGAAGGCCCAGGCAGTCGCACGTACGACCCGGTGCCGAAAGATATGACGGGGTATTTATGATCTGAGGTCGAGAGTCGCAGATGCGCTTCCATGCTTCTGTTGTTATTCGAGGCGCATACGGTGCAGAATTTGAGCTTGAAAGAAGTGTCGGGCAGTTCTGCAGGCGCCGATGCGGTTGCTGGAGTATCAACATTTCCGTCAAGCTCGGGAGAAGTCGGTTGTGAGGGAGGTACTGCTGCTGGGGTTGCCGTAGTTGGGGCAGCTGCAGGAGCTGGAGGTGTCAGTGGTTTGGGAGTGTTTGTACGGCCCTGAAGGCGCGCCAGTCGGGGATCGGTCGACATGGTAGGAAGGAGGAAATCGGGTGTGTCTACGATAGTATCATGGTGAAGTCTTGGGTCGAGAAAATTAGCAATGACCTTCTAAAAGCATAGATACACTGGCGACATGGCAGATGATTGCGTTCAGGAAAGTTGCGTAATAATAAAATTGTCCTCATTGGTGGACTAGGACAGCTCCAATATTTGGGATCATCATTGAATCGAGTTCAGGAATAAAGCAGTGAGCATACACGACTTACCGATATGAGAGTGAATCAATATTGTATGTCGACAGCACAGAATAATAATCCCTGGTAAGCGACAATACGAGAAGAAAAACGTTCGCCTGCTTGGAATGCAGGCGAGAGGGCACTAGGCCAGAAGCGGCTTAGACCAGATCGCCTGAAACGAGCTACTTCGGGAACTCCAGCCATAGAGATATTACTCCTGTCAGACCACTGAGATATCTTAGTGCACGCGTCGACGGGGTTTGGCCGTCCTCGAAGGTTTCCGTTCCCTGTACATTGCAGGAGTGATAAACTTGACCGAAGTGTATGGCTTGCTAGATACGGAGTACAGTCCTCAGCATAACAGAGAGTATCTGGTAGTCTGCTCCGTACTGTACTCGTGCTTGTCAAGGACTGACCCCAGATACTCGAGTGAGGCTCGCGGGCGGCTCATCGAGTCAGACGGCCCCCATTTAATTTGACCGTGAGCTCGCGACTAATGCAGTCTAGGGCAACAAAAGTCTCCGTACAGTGGCCACCCACCATGTCGACCCTCTGCCACAGCGACGGGCAATTCGATCTGCATACCGCTCACCCAGAGTCATGGGCATGGCTAGATCTTCACTATCCTGTCGCTGAGTCCAACCTTTCTCCTTGCTGACTCTGGACATCGACTATGTGCTTCTCAACTACCTTTCTCTCTCGCTCTGACTTCTGACGCTTCCACCTCTGTGTATCCAAAAATAGCTCCGGCGCATTCTGTCTTTGCCTTGCACCAACAACACAACCGCCATCGGTCCCAGCTGAATGCCCTTTTCTCACCCTAACCGACTCTACATGAACATCTCAAGCATCCTCGAATGAAGTCCCTTTATACCCATTTCGCCTAATAGTCCTTAAGCGCTCGCCATCTTCACCCTGTTGCGCCCGCTCGCCTCTCTCGAAGCGACTCGACCGCCCTTGCTAGCCGCCCGACTGACTTTGCTTGCTTTGCAAGCGCGCATGCCGAATTGCACGCTGTTTATTTCTTTTGTCGAATCCTCTTGTCTGCCTCGTGGCCGTTGGCGGCCGGTCCTCTTTTGATTTTACGACAATGGCAACCATCACAGCCTCACCTCCTACAATGTCACCGCCTTTGGGCGCAGCCACGACGAGTCCTCCCGCTCTTCCTCCTCTGATAACAACAACACCTACGCTGCGTAGGGCGAGTTCACAAAGACCGACATCGTATGTCGAAAGACGAATGTCCACATTTTCGAACCATTCCAAGGCCTCTTATCACCCGCAATCTAGACCATCATCACACGTTTTTCCAGTTTTCCATTCGAGCCTTCCTTATACCCTTGTACGAGATTTTGCATACTTGTCGACACATCCTCTGCATTATGGTCCGCCTCCGAACCAGTCGGGGCTATCGACCCCGGTTAGCGAGTCACGGAGACTGTCGGATCCTGCTGTTTCCACCTGGGAAGAAGGCAGAGGGCACTGGTCTGCAACACCCCCTTGGATGTCAGAGACAACTCCATCTTCGTGGGGGCGAGACCGACTCCCTGCAATGGCGTTCAAAGATGACGGACCCCCATACAGCGAAGACGATGATATTCAGTCGCCCATTGTCACGACGAGCAGACATAAAAAACACAAGTCCAATGACCGAGGGAGGTCCCCCGGCGATGCAGGACCTCATCGTGGGTATTTAGTCGACGTCACCCTTCCAGATGAAGTTGACGGGCCGGGCGAGGCTGTAGATACCTACGACAATCACGCGCTGCGATTTCCTGGCCAGCCGCAGCACCGAGATTCCAATTTTGCGAAACCACTGCAAAGAAAGCACTCGCCTATCCAAGTGCAAGAGCCGATGTCCGAGGATGAATATTCCGAAGCCGAGGACGACACGCGCTTTTCCAAAGATTATTCATTTACAATCGCCAGCCCGGACGAGGAAATGCACGGGAAAGCGGTGGCCTTATTTGATTTTGAGAGCGAACACCAAAACGAGTTGCCGCTCAAGGAAGGCCAGATAATTCTGGTATCGTATCGTCATGGCCAGGGATGGTTGGTCGCTGAAGACCCTCGGACAGGTGAGAGTGGTCTCGTGCCTGAGGAGTTTGTGAGACTCGTGAGAGATATCGAGGGTGGTTTGCACGGCCTGAATTCCGTGACATTGGACGACACAGAAGCCATGGCAAGCCCTGTCTCGACGGATCCGAGCACCATAAACACGCCAGTACCGAATAACCATGACTTTCCTGCCGAAAAAGCGACTGAGAAGCCGATGAATGGTGGATACGCAGGTGCAAAACATCCTCCCGTCCAGTCCAACTTTAGCACCAGCAGTCGAGACTTTAGCCCGTACCCTTTACCGGGGAAGAACGAGGACAGCACTCCGACCCAGACCACGAAGCCAAAGCATGAGGATATCTCTGACACCAGCTGACCCGCGTGTCTCGGGGCAGAAATGAACATGTCTCACCACTAGAATATTGCCTCAAAGTATTCTTTAATGTCTTGTACGATCAACGACCGACGCGGACGATGTTTCCTTGAAAACCATGAGACTTCTTAGGAGCAATTACCAAGATTCCACACCGTAGGGATGCAGATACCTCTTTACAATCACAATGTTGTCGTCCCTGGCTAATATTGTTAGCTAAATGTTATTTTTCTTCCGGACCCTTGATCTTGTGTTGCCCTGTTGGTGTCCCTGACTGACGGGTTCTTCGGGCCCTATGCATTTCCTTCTTGTCCATCACTTGTGTCTCCGTCAACCGTGGGCGAATCGAGGCTCTTTCTCGGACCCTAGACAATATTGCTGTCCCTCCAAGAACCAGTGTCAGACGCCATGTTATCTTTTTTGTGCCGTGATGAAAGCAAACCTCCGGGTTACCTACTTCGCAACGGTTGGCTTCCCTTGGCAATTGATTTGTTCTCGTCGTGGCTTAGAATTTAGTCTGGGGGTCTCTGGCCAGGCACGGAGCTGTTGTCTATCGTCTCATCCACCCACAACAACAATGTATTATGAGGCTACGGCACAACAGTTCCCTCACGGCCCAGCTTAGCGTCAAATCGATCAAAGGTGTGGCTATGTGGAGTATTGCAGTCTATGTACCTACATAGGTACAGGTCCCCAGGCCCATGGTGTCATGTTCCCCGCCGTCCCAACCGCAATTCCAGAGGCCAGGTCGTTGACACACCGTCATTTGCGGTGGTTGACTGGTTGTTGGGATGGGACACGTCGACGCGTCGTAAGACCTTCTGTATTTACTTCCAAGGCAGGCTAGGATGCGATTGCTCTGAGCTGGCAGATCAAACAAACATGGCTACGCTTCCCGTCTAATTTTCTTCTCCTACTCAAACCGCGGACTCGCGCGGGCGTAGTCAATACTCCTGCTCTTTGTGCCCGTCGTCCCATTCCTGGACCATTCTCCGGCTCCGACTTCTTTCGGCGGCGGCGGCCTGGCCTGTGATTTTGCGGGTGATCCTCCTGCTCAAGCGGCCGTCTTCTTTCTGTCGTCTCAGCCTCTCCACTTCCTTCCAGCTCGCGCCGCCGTTGTTCACGCGCTCGCTCCAGATGAGAGACCTGGGCTTGCCAGGGTAGACGCCGTTGCGGATCTTGCGCTTCCGGTGGAAGTAGGTGAGCGAGATGTAGAAGCCGTGGATGTGGGACGGTATCACGGCCAGGAGGAACATGACGCAGTTGAAGATGAAGTCTTCATTTGGCCCCGTGATCAGGAGGACGGCCAACGGCGGGAAGAAGACGTTGAAGGCGGCGATGACCAGGCGTTTGAAGAGCGGGATCCTCATGCTGGGGGAATCGAACGCGACACAAGCACAACAGAGTAGCAAAGCCAATTCTTCTGGTATTTCCTTGATCTTTCGTGTCTGGTTTCTCTGCTCACACGCCCGGGGGGTGTTGTGGACAGCTGCGCACCTGTAGATAGGTGGTAGTTATGAAGAAGAGGCGGGATTGCAATTTCAACTGGGATTGACGACATTCCCCAAGTCACGTATATGTATCCAAGCACACACGCGAACGCACCATACCTTGGCTTGCATGGAGGTGGCAGTGGTGGTGGTGGTGGCTGTAAATCTGCAGGGCCTGGAAAGGGCTGCCCGTTGTCTACCTACCGTATCCTACCTACCTGACCTGGTAAGGCAAAGTTGTACTCGCATGCAGGGATTCTGAGTCCCTCGCTGAAGCAGGGCGTCCGGTGTTTCGAGACTATGCACGTCTGGCTACAAAAACATGGAACGTGAATGTCAATCACGAGTGTGGAAGGTGATGGACGGGCAGAAGTCGACGTCATATTGCTGTTGGCGGCGTGGCTGATGTTGGTTGTTGGTGCCGATCGCTTGGTGGGTTGTGGCGTGGATCTACTGGAGAGAGAAGGACTGGTAATGGGACAAGGGGTTCTGGATCTGAACGGACGCGGTGATCATGGCCGGTACATGAGTACAGTACTGGGGGGATTGTCAATAGATGATGGGAATGTGAGTGTGAATGTCGATTATTGTGTGACTGTGACTGTGACAGTGGCAGTGACGGTGCAGAATACTGGTATACTCCCGTACTGTTAGGGACTATGGTCAAAGGTAAAGATGCCTTGGAGGGTGGGTGACTTATGCCGACCTTAGCAGTACCTTAGCAGTCCCTTAGGTACCTTGCCTTAAGTAAGTCCGAGAACCTGTAGGTACTCTTTGCGTGTGAGTCGCCTGTGCTGCAGTGCCCCGATTCCCCGCTGGTACCTGGAGAGTTGGCATGACGTAGGCGGCGGAAGTCTCCTCCTGTGAATTCTGCCCCCCGTCCGGAGTCCAAACTCTCCGCTGCGCCTAATCATGAACTCATTATACTGTACACCGTACTTATTAAAGTCGCCTACTAAGCTACAATGCTACTAGACTCCATCTCTCCCTCTTCTGTTCCCCACGTTTTCGAAACACCGCACTTCGTTGTTGATCGCTAAAGTTCATTAGAGCGCCTCCAAAAAAAGTCGTTGGGCGTCGCTGGTTCTTCCCTCCTGTCCAGCTCACACAGTGACATCCCGAACACCTCACACATCCCACTCCTTTGGGCATAAGCAATCACCAAGTTCAGAGTCAAATTCCCATTCTCTTCTTTCTTGCTCCCACCACTTTGCCAATAGACAGACTACTCTCTCCGTCCATCTTTCTTCGCTCTCCAACAATCACAAGCGTCAACCGTCAAAATGCCAAAGGTACTTCTGTCCTAGACACTCTTGCGCACCCTTGACCGCTCCTCTCGATTGCCCTTGATCCCTCACTTGCGTGCCAATTCACTGACAGCTCCTCTCGCTCCAGGTCAAATACGTCCTCCTCGACTGCGACAACACCCTCGTCTTGTCTGAGCGTCTCGCCTTTGAAGCTTGTGCCGATCTCACCAACGAACTCCTCGCCAAGTATGACATTCCCGACCGCTACAGCGTCGACTCCCTCCTTGAGGACTTTGTCGGTCAGAACTTCCGTGGCATGCTGGTAGGACTCCAGAAGAAGCACGACTTCCAGATGCCTCCGGAGGAGCTTGAGGAATACGTCAAGCGTGAATTGGGAGAAGTCATCAAGAAGCTCAGCGCCAAAGCCACTCCGTGCCCCGGGGTGCCAGAAGAGTTGGAACGTCTTCACAAGGCTGGATACCCCATGGCTGTCGTGTCGACTTCTGCCAAACCCCGCGTCGTTGCTTCTCTCGAGAAGGTCGGCATTGACCACTACTTCCCCAACGCCCATGTGTACAGTGCCGCCACCTCCCTCAACCCGCCGTCCAGCAAACCTGACCCCAAGATCTACCTCTACGCCTGCGAGCAGCTCGGTGTCAAGCCAGAGGAGTGCATCACTGTGGAGGACAGCAAGAGTGGTGCCACTGCCGCCATGCGTGCCGGAATTCCATTGGTCGGCTACGTTGGAGTCTATGGCATTGAGGAAGGCAAAGAGAAGATGGAACAGATGGCGAAGTTATTGAAGGAGCAATGCAACGCTGCTGCCATCATGTACGACTGGAAGGAGTTTCCAGAGATTCTCAAGAAGTTGGAAGCTGCATAGACATGAACCAGACACTCACTGGCCCCTGACGTGGTTATGAGAGACGAAGAGATTCCGGAATGATCTTGATACGAACCTTTAAACACAAAACCAAAAGAATGGAGACGCTCCCCCTTTAGTTGGGGTTGAGTAAGCAATGACGGTCCTTTTATTGACACGGAACATGGAAGCTTAGATTTTCTGACTAAGAAGAAATAAAAGATTCATGAGACGTGAAGAAGATGAAAAAAAAGAAGAAGGAGAAGAATAGATTTAAAGATTCTTCCATCATGGCACTATACCAGAGATGTCCGGTTGTGGGTTTTTTTTATTTCTGCGGTTGTCATTGTCACTGCAACTGTCGAAGTCTCAAGTCGCGGTGGGAGTTCAAGATTGATCTCCTCTCCTCGCCGTCTCAACCAACCGCGTCATCATTTCCCGTGTGGCATACTTCTCGCCCTCGTAGTCCATGTCGTACCAGTAGTTGACGGCGATGCAGGGGGCGAGTGTTCCGTCGCCGTCGTCGTCGTCGTCGCCGTCGTCGTCCCAGACCCCACACTCTTGACGGACGTGGTGGAACCAGCCCGACGGGAGGTAGAGGATCTCCCCTTCCCACACGGTGACCCTGACCGGGTGCGAGTACCGGTAGTAAGGATACCTGGACGCCACGGTGTCGGGGGGCAGTGAGGTTACGAGGTCGGGGTCAATGGGGATCCAAGGGATTTTGGTACCTTTACCTCTGCCGACGTCGTCTGTGTCTGAGTCTGGGTCTGGGTGTGAGTTTGGAGGTGGAGGACCTGGATGCAGCGGTGTGTGTGAGTCTTGATCTTGATCGTTGTTACTGTCGTCGTCGTCGTCGTCGTCATCGTCGTCGCAGTCGAGAACGATCTCAAAATCCCCATTTACTCGGTCACCACCACCACCATCACCACCACCACCACCACGGTCGTCGTCGTCAATGAGAACGTGATGGCCCGTCCGGACTTTCGTGGCGTGCAAACACAGTTCCTCGACGGGCGGGTACAGGGTGAATTTCTTACAGCCCTTCAGGACGACGTAGAGGTTCTCGTACGGGTCGCGGTGCGTGCTGGTCACGCTGTCCGACGTGCCTATCCAGATGTTGATCGCCTCCGGGTCGCCCAGGACGTCGTGCGCGAAGGGGAGTTGACGAGGGAGGTCGGCGAGGAGAGGCGAGAGGGGCGTGCTCGTGAGGTTACTGTTCTGAGACTGAAGATAGTGTATGCGGCGGGACTTTTGTCTTCTGGGTCTTGTTCTTCCGCTTTGGTCGTTGGGTCCAGTGTTCCTCGTATTCTTTTCATCGGGTTCATGTGTATTGATGCCTGAGAGGTGAGTAGAAGGTGATGACGCTGTTGATGTTGTTGTTGTTGTTGTTGCCGCTGATTCGGATGTTGGCTTTTCTTTTTCTTCTCTCTCCTCCTCCTCCTCTTCCTCCACGTCTCGAGGAATAAGCTTATCAAAAAGTGATGACAACGACATTGTGATTGTGGCAGGTTGAACAAATACTTCCTCGACTTCCTCCTCCTCCTCCTCCTCCTCCTCCTCTTGTCCTTGTTCCTGCTCCTGCTCACTGCTACAATTACCTTCACCTTCTTCATGACCATGACCATGACCACTCTGTTGGTCGTCAGAAGTTGAATCACCTTCTCGACTCTTCTTGGACGATCTCGGCGACGGTCGACGTCGGCGTCGAGTTCCAGACCCGGAGAATGCTCTCCGTATGGTATACAAAGAATCCGCTCTCCCGTCCGGCGTCACAGCCACGTCGACGTCCTCTGTGACCTTTTCGCACAGGGCTTTTTTGGTCCACGAGAAAGCAGGGTGCAACAGGACACTTTCCATCTCTGCACGAGCCTTGGCGTCTCGTTCCAATTGTCGTCGTCGTCGAAAAAATCCAGATCGTGACGGTGGAAGCCCATCCCCGATCCCACTTCCATCGACGTCAGGACTCCCATCATGCCTGGCTGGCTGGTTGTCAGGATCCAGACGGTATACGCACGGTCTACCTCGACTGACTTGTTTGCTGAATTCGAGAGGCGTCGGGTACGGCAGGACGGGCACCCCGCCTGGGTTGAAGGCGTGGTAGTCTTCGATGAGCTGGAGAAGAATGGATGCGGCTGACGAACTGGCCGAAGAATCAACTGGTGTGCGATGGACCATCATATGGTTGTCCGTTGGGTGACTAGGAGTGACGAGGCGGTACGTGAGTGGCGTGCCGTGGGTAATGTTTTGCCGTTAGAAAGAGATTTTCAGATAAAATAAATACTCCATACAGGCTTTGATCGAGTATCGATAGTTTTCCCTGTGCCACCCTCACACCTTTACCTTTTCCGTAATGGGTAAAATGACAATAACAATAACATTGACGGTACAGAGCGGCCGTGGACTAATCGCCTAGTTTCATCACGACGGCAGGTTCAGGATAACTCTTGTTGTAAGCACAGTGATTCGGTTGTTTTAGGTAATTTGTGAGCGTTCAAGAATTAAATCATATTCCCGACATAGATCTACATAGCGCGGGATTTCCGTACACTACACTTTCTCGCAATAGCACGTACTCGAAGCTACAAACAGATGTTCAAGAGAATATTGATCTTCAATTCAACCCCTCCATCATCATTCATATACTCACTCGTACCGTTTCACAGAGACCTCAGACTTACATCAGTCTTCGAATTGAACGGCCTTCTCTCAACACCAAATTCGAGAATGAACAAATCCACTTCTTTAGACAGACTCTCTACAATGCCCTTCCTGAACGAGGCGATGATCATATATACTTGACTTCCAACCTTGACACCAATGCTGTTTTCTGCCTTGTCCAACTCCGGAAGCTGAGTCACAATGTCGGTCCAGGTTGTGGTTTCCATTCGGTATTTATCTGCAAATGGGACGCTGGAGTGCGAATCATCCTCGTCCCATAACATCATCTTACACGACGGTGAAGGCCCACGGTAGTCGCAAAACACAAAGAACCTAACAGGTCTCCCGACAGACAAGTTTCCCTTGAAGCCCAGGAACAGGACGGACCTTGTGTGCGTGAACTTGTACGCCTTTGGCCGCAAAAAGACACGATCAGTGCGGTCCCACAAGAGCTCAGGAGCCTGCGCAGTCAGCCGAAACATACCAGTGGTCGGGACGTGGATTGCGCGCGACCGAAACGTCAAGCGCGAAATGGTCGTGGCCATGAGTGGATCAATCAATATGTAGTAATCGGTCGTGTCGAGGAGGTGGCGTTCGATGTACTTGCTCCTCCCGAATCCTGCCAGAGGATAGCTGCCATCGCGGCAATAGATCTTCGGTCCGATTTTCCGGAGATAGATGCCTCCGTCGGCATTCGTCGACTTGTCGTGGCCGAGATGCAGGACGTAGCGCTCCGTCGAACGTTCGGGGCCTTCCACGACGGGCGCCACGACTCGCAAAGGAGCGTCGCCAGAGATCAAGAGACCTTTGTTCGTCACGGAAAAGTCTTCGAAGTCGTCGGAGAAGGGGACGATCTGAGAACTACCTGCGAAAGCGGCCGGTGACTCCGCGAGGAGAGGGAGGGAGCTCTGTTCGTGTCCTGCCGACGAACTCCAGGCAAAAATCGTCAGGTCGTTGGACCGCTTGATGATTTCCTCTTGCAGTCGACGGAACGCTTTCCACCCCTCGCCGTACAACATCGGCATGTTGACGTCAAAGATGCCCAGGAGACAGTAGGCCATATCCTCGGTGCGAGTCGTTTCGCGCCGTGCAGTCCACGACATTTTCGCCGCGACAGAGCAGGTGCTCAGGGCCTGATCACCGACGATGACGGCTTCGGGAATCTCGGTGGCGACGGAAATGGCACGGGCGTAGTCTGCCTTGGTACCCACGAATTCCCAATGCATGTTGAAGATCTCGAGGACCTTCGGCGCAAGTAGCTCCTGCAAGGTCCATCCCCTGGTGAACCATCGGCACTGGGGTAATATAGCATTCTCGTCCAGTCTCTGGAGGTCTTCCATGAAGACGTAACATTTCGCCGCGTGCATGTACCATTGGAACATGGAATTGATGGCCTCTGTCAGCTCGGCACTTGACGATTTGTCGATGCAACAGGTGTCAACCCAGGCGTAGTCGAGCTTGTCAGCTCTTGCCAATTTACAGGCCTGGAGGATTTTCGTGAATCCTTTCTTGCGCTGTCGTTCTGGCGACCGCATATCCTGGAAGGAAACCTCGTCTTCGCCCCATGTGTGCGAGAGAATGGCATAGCGTGGGATGCGGGCGTAGAATTCTTCCAAGACCCATGTGTGAGTGTTGATGAGCCTCATTGTTGAGGAAGAGGCAGGGACACGAGTTTGCAATCAACAGGCAGATGATATCGAAGACGTGGCTCGAATCGTACAAGTACATTTTGGCTATCAGATGACTTACCTGTTGATGGTATTTTCGGGTGTGTTTGATAGGTGCATGATCTTTTCTGCGTGCTGCGATGTAAGCCACGTCCAAGACGGTCATTGGGCATGGGGACGTCAAGTTAACTTGGACCTGTCGAGGTACATGCACGAGCACATTAGATTCGCGATAGACGAGATATGCCGTGGATGAAGATCGTTGGGATGGCTGAGATTGGGTCCAGTGGTCAGGGAACTTTCTCTGTTGTGCGCGTTGTTTTTATTGTTTTTCGTGGTTGGATTCTGCGTGGCTAGGTCCAACGGGGTTTCCACGGTGGTTCTCCAGACCTATGAGGTATAGCAACAGTGTCTATCCTCTTCGGAGTATGGACTCTGTTTTTCGATCGTATCAGGTACTTGGGAGGTCCCGTCTTCCGACCGAGGGGAGTGCTGAGTCATAGCTAAGTCAGCAGTAACAACCCCCGGAAGGATTCGGAACGAGATCACGTGAAATGGCGCTATCAGATTTGGCGCAGCTTACGTGATTCTTATCAAGCCTTGCGGAATCTTGCCGTGGCGCACGTGACCAGGCAGCCCACGGCGACCAATGGATTAATTTCCCCATCGTCAGTGAGCCATGAAATGAGGAATTCTTATTCAATCTTCCTCAGAGATTCTGTGTCTTTCGGTGAGCGACACGATCGGAGCCAAACGCGCAATCTCGATGATTTGAAAGCTTCCTCCACCCGGGGGGGTTTCAGTTTCTCTTCTTTTTCACCATTTAGTCGTGATCTGTCGTAATCTGTGGCCTGTTGCCCAATTGCCGATACCTGTACAACACAACACACTCTGTCCCTTCATTTTTTCTTGCTCCGGACATACCCCGTCGACCTCTTCTTCCCTTGGGTCCCTCTTTTGTCTGTGCTTGTACTGGACCACCTTGGATTATTCTGGAACCTCTGTACGCGTCTGTTCCTGCTGTCGTGAAACCTACAGATACCTACCCAAAGGTATATATAAACCCTGAGCCATGTCTCTGCGACTACAGCCCGCCGCTTCTTCTTCACTCCGCAACTTGACCGCTGCTCGACTACTCTTAAAAGCACCTCGATCTTCTTCTTCTTCTTGTCTCTCATCTTCGTCACCGCTTCGTCTTCTACAACCTTCAACAACAACAACCTCACCGTCCTCACTTCTTGGTCAACGTCGTCGCTTTTCCATCACATCCACCAACATGTCATCCGCATCCACCTTCCTCGACGCCGTCAAGGCCCGACGCACCATCTACCAGCTCTCGTCTGAATCGACCATCCCGGACTCGCGCATCAAGGAGATCGTCGAGCAAGCCGTGCTCCACGTCCCGTCCAGCTTCAACTCGCAGTCGACGCGCGTCGTCGTGCTCCTGGGCCCCGAGCACAAGAAGCTGTGGGCCGACATTGTCAAGCCGGCCGTCAAGGCCGTCGCGCCCGCCGAAGCCTGGCCCGCGTCCGAGCAGAGACTCAGCGGCTTCGAGGCCGGATACGGCACCGTGCTGTTCTACGAGGAACCCAAGGTCGTCGCCGGCTTGCAGGAGAAGTTGCCCCTGTACGCCGACAAGTTCCCACAATGGAGTGAACATACCAATGCCATTCATCAATTTGCCAGTAAGTCACTCTCACAAGCACATGCACACACACTCTCCCCTTTCGTCTCTTCTTCACCCACCCTTCCCATTACGTTCCTCTTTCCCCCCCTTCCCGGAAACCTACCCTAGGTACCTAGATTACATGATCTGACAACCGTGCTCCCCATCCAGTCTGGACCGCTTTGGAACAAGAGGGTCTCGGAGCAAACTTGCAACACTACAACCCTCTGATCGACGAAAAGATCGCCGCCACCTGGAATGTCCCTCAGACCTGGAGCCTCAAGGCCCAATTGGTCTTTGGCAAGCCCGTTGGCGGTCCCTTGGACAAGGCATATGGTCCTCTCGAGGAACGTGTCTTTATCCACGGTGCCAAGAACTAAAAAGACTTCACAAAAAAAAAGGGTCCTTTCTGTTGTACGGGGATACTTATGTACCTAAGGCATCAGATTCCGGGGACGGTAGACTCAAGACACTAGACCCAAGACCCAAGACACTTAAACTGTATGTAGAAAACTCATCAATACAGCACTCGTCGACCTGTTTTTAGCGAACGCCAAATCACCAAGATCAAGTGAAGAGAGAATGAAATCACTTTCTATTCACAAGACAAAATGCCAAAGGTGAAGATCTTGAACACCTTATTTTGTTTCAAGTTCGTTACTAATCTGTCCGATTATGCACGCACCCGTACTTTCTTGCTAAGGATTCATGCATCGTCATCGTCATCATTGTCATAAGTATAGATCGTAAGCTCCACATCAGTCATCTTCGTAAAAAGATCAGCAACCTTTCCAGCTACTGTGGCAATCACCCCAGACTCCACCAAACGATCCGTCCCATCGCATCATCATCCGGACCTATCCTGACCCAATATCGACGTTCATTCTATACAAACCCACTCGATACTCATGGGTGTATTCTCGCATCTGAAGTTCATCTGTTCGGAAGCTTATTCTGGCTAAAGCTCATCTTTGTCCTTGGGCACGCCCACAGATGCATTCTGACCACCAACGGTGACGGTGAACAGTTTTGGATCTCCGGCGTGCACTTCACCACTCTGATCTTTCCCACTGGTAGGCTGGACATCGTCATATGGAAAGGCGTAGCCCTTGCCGTCGAGGTTCACGCCATGCACGATGCGACTGTAGTGATTGGTCACAGGGTCCTGATAGTACAAGCTCTGATCCGCGGGGAAGGTGTTGCTGACCAGTAGAGTCGATCGATTGAACGCCGCAGCAAGCCGAGGGATGATTGCGTTGGTCTCAGCATTGGCCCCTGTGGCAAAAGGCCCCGTCGAGCACGTAAAGATATCGCGCGTCGACGGCTTGGAGAATACAGAACCGCCAAACGACAACTTGCCCGCGGATACTTGTGCGGACACGGTCCCATACGAAGCTTGCGTGTCAATCGACATCTGCTGACTGGCATACTTGGACCATGCGCGATTCACGTAGTCGTCGTAGTACCCACTGAAGAGGTCGGGGTGCATTACCATGCCTTGATTGGGAGAGAGCGCACGCAAGTTCTGCCCGTTACGCGTTACGACCAACTGATCCCAGCCTTTGCCGTCGGTAGCGTGTTGTGCACGCAAACCACTGCAGACCTGGTCGAGGCCGTTGGCGGGCATGCCTGAGACGTGCTGGGTTCCACTGTTGACCGTAGTCAAGGTCAGAGCGATGGGGAGACCGACAAAGTCGACGTAGCTGATGTTTGCGTAGAGCTGATCACTGTTGAACGTGAACTCGGCGAAGCCCCAATTGATGTTCGTGTTGGGATCTGAGGGGTTCGTTACTGATGGTTCGACCAAGGCTGGTCCTGGGTTAAGAAGAAATGTCAGGGGTGACCCAACAGAGAACCAGATCCGCCCTCCAGCGATGTGTGGGATTGTCACATTCACCGTGTTTCCTGGTGGACCGAGTGCGATGGCACAATTCTGACTAAGAGCTGAGCCTGTCCCGCCAGGAGAGGTAGGATAGTAAGGAGTGTGCCCGTCGGAGGATAGCAGAAAAAGAGCATTGTTGTTGTCAATTGCAGTTCCAGTGACGTACGCATATACGGTGGACGACGTAGTTTGATTCTGCAAGGCGATGTTAAGAGTAGCACCTGAGGCCTGAGTATTGGACTGTTGTGGCGGTGTGGGAGCTGGCGCTTGTGAGTTTGGAGGAGAAGGAGAAGGCTTTCTGCCTCTTGCCCGTTGAAGAATCGACGAAAAACGCTTCATGTTTTTTAATGTTAAACACAGTGTCCAAAATTATGGCGCAACAGCTCAAGTTGAGTCCCAAAAGCAAAGAACTTAAGTCGCAGCTGGGAATTGGACCGTCCAGGAATTTTAGGTAAAATCCCCCACCAAGCCGGTCGACGTCATCTCGATCTGTTGCTGCGCATCCGCCTCGTCGTCGTTTCAGCTTTCATGAGTTGGCAACAAAAAATTCCATCATGCTGTCGCGTCGCCTGATGCTAGCTCACCAATAGAGTGCTTGATGTCGTTGATCCTGTTTCGGTACGAGGTCTTCTGGACCCTTTCATCCCGGTCGCACGACAGAACAAGAGTCGTGGCACCGACCCCAATTTTGGCGCCTCCCGCTTACCAGGGTTGGAGACCTTCCTATTCGGCGCGTACCTGAATCTGCAAACGAATGGGCCCATGGCAACTGACCAAGATGAGTCGTCTGATTCTTGATCAAAACTGTTGACGAAGTTGGAAATCTCTTGTGCATGCGAGAGATGTTCGACGCAGGAGCCACATCGCGGAAGTTGTGACCTGTTCATCCGGTGACATTGGAGGCTGGTAGAGATAGACCCAACTCCTAACAAGTTTGCGCTGGCCTCTGTGCAGGGTGTGTGTCGATCAGAAACTGCGCCCTTGTGAAGGATTTGTAGTTGTTTTCTTGGAGTGTCTTAAATCAACCGGTGATCAGGCCGCATACCCCTTCGAGCCGGACCCGAACGAGTCTATCCCCGACCTTCATACAAGAAATGTCCAGTAACTCGGAAAGACGAACTCCTCTTCAAAAATCTTTCGGACCTGCTCAAGAACAAACTTTTCCACCTTGCCCACATTCTTGAGCACTTGCTTGCCATCTTCTTGACGGCCGATTTCGCTCTCCACGAAGATCTCTCGTAAAGGTCCTGGTAGGTGTGACTTCGATTCATCCCTGCCATGGGTGGTCTTGTGCCGGTCTGGCGGCACCGTTTCCCCCACAAGAGCAGAAGCATCGTCGGCGTCTAGAAAACAAAAGTGCATCTTCCTCTTGATCATCGCGACTATTGCGACGCCGTCAAAGGTCATACCAGTGATAGCCAATTTGAGGGGAATGCCAACGAAGCTAGGCATGGGATAGTCCAGTAATATCTCGGCGGTCAGAGTCATACGGACATCTCCAGAGTATTTCACTCTCGCCACTACCTGCAGATCAGACGGGTTTCTGCTTTCTATTCGCATGGGAGATAGGGGTGCTACTGCATCTAATGCCGACTCATCATCATGATCTCTTTCGGGATAGTTCGCCTGCTGTAGCGGAGAGGAGAGCCCAGATTCGGATTCACGGGGGGACGAAAGGCTGTTCGCTGTGGAGGGTCTTGTGGAGGGATCGCCATGAACTTGAGTTTCTCTTTGCGCGTGCAGGCCATGGCTTAGGACTGGTAGGACATTGCTTTGGTGTGTTGAAGGCGTTGGAGGTAAAACGTTAGGCCATGGTCCGGGAGTAAACGGAGTGCCGCTCGCAACTGCTGCTAAGGGTGTCTGGGATCCGGACAGAGCAGCGCCAGGAAAATGAAAGTAGCTGAGATTCGAGGTACCTCCTGGTATACCGGGAGTAGTGCTTCTTGGAAAAGGGCCACCAAGGTGGTCGATGTTTGCAGTGAGGAGTTCTCTGGACGTGAGTTGATGGTGGAGATCATGCTGATTCGTAGTAGCAGCTATGTCTGCTAAACGAGGTCTTGACTGTGGCTGATGTGGAAGAATCGCGCTCCCATGATGATCGTCTGTTGCATGAAGATCCTCGCCGGAGGGTATATTCTCACTCGGTTCGTGGGCATCATTTCCATCGCTTTCGTCCTCATCCTCGTAAAAGTCCGGGAGCGGATCGCATATGTCCTTGATCTCGATCTCTGGACACGTCGAGCCGAATTCAAAGGCGTGGACATGAACGGCATTTATGAAGCGCGGCAAGGCAATTTGTTGGAATTTCTCGTGAACGAAAGCTCGAATCTTTTCGGCTAGCGCAGCTCCGTCGTCGCCGGAAGTAAATATCTCCCATTTGATATCTACAGACATGTCGAAGAGGGTGCCATACGGAGAGAAAGGCCTGGGATATAACGACCGCGAACCAGCTGGGTAGATACCGGACTTCTAGGTGATGAGGCGCTGCTGTTGGTCTCTGGAAATCGCGTGTGGCACGTTCACAGCTTCTCCATTCGAGCCTTGGCACAAGATATCGCTCTCGGAGACACATCGACGACACCGCCGGATCTTCCACAATACTAGCTGTCACGTAGTTCAGAGATCAGGATAAGAGAATCTGGAATGTGCCTGGGACGAACGATTGACCGTTAGATCGTGTGATATATCACGTATGCTGCCATCGGCACAGGGTCTAACTACCACTCTGGGATGCTTTAAAGCCCCAGGAAATCCGTCAAGTGGTTCAAAAATACTGGAAAGGAGTAAAATAGTCTGTAGCATGTGTATGCAGTGAAGAAGACATCTTCAATTCTACATAGCTCAGAAGAACCCCCATAACAACGTAGGCCGCAGCAGAATTCGGAGCAAGCAGGGCGGCCGCTGATCTGTGAAGGTCAATATAGGTCGCCGGGTAGGGCGTTGAAGCCTCTCGAACGAGTATACCTCCCTGTTATAAGCGACTCTTCGACTTTGCCTGCCTTGAAAATGTATTCCAGTGATCGTCCGACCGTAACTCAACTGACCAATTCAGCATAATGCTGTTGTGGGCGTATGCTGGTACGTCACTTGTTACCGTTCCACACTCCAGCCTAACAGAAGAAAGCTTGTGGGTATGCGTATATTCCGAGGTCATCAAAAATCAAGTGAGTGTCCTGGAAGAGGTGACTCGGACGACAATATAGGAGGCAGCTCAAGCCTGGATGAGTTTAGTGTCTGACTGGCGTCCTTATCCACAGATAGCGAGTGCTCGGCATGAGAAAGCGATCCGAGGCAACAAGATGAAATGCAAGCAGGGGAAATCACCAAAATCTTCCTCGAGTTGGTAGTATTGTACATATCTGTTCTTCCTTGAAGCTGCGCTTGGGCTTGTAGAATGCGATCCCAAACTGGGAACAAATTGCTGCCGCCCTTAGCGCGCAAAAACTCCCTATCTCAAACAGTTCTTATCTTTCTGGAGGTACTGTACCTCCTCCTTTAGATGTACCTTGGCTTACCCAGAACATACCTCAAGCTGTTCCAAACTCGAACCCTGCAGCGATGCAAAACTCGCCGGACGCCGCCACTCTGTTCTGTTGCTGCCTTGAACGTGCCTCGAAGCGCAGCTTGCGGCCCTCGATGATGATGTACAGGTCGAAGACAATCTCATAGTATGTGAACACCCTACCCTGGTCATTTTTCGTGCTTTTCGGTTGGATGATATTCTTATCCCTCAGCTCCGTCATATCGGCCCTGATGGTGCCAGCGAGCTTGCTGCCTAGTTGCAGAAGCTGCTTAGTGATTTGCAATAAAAGCCGCGAGTAATGATCTTACCACGATTCGCTGAATGTGTGGCCTTGAAGCCTGACGCGTGCTTTAAGCCCGAGACATACAATTTCTCTTCGCACAACAGTCTCGGCTCATCCACTTTGAATACATGGGTGGCTTCGTGCACTGGGATCTCATGCCTTGCATCCAGAAGCGTATCCTAGACGGCTCAGTCAGCTGGACGAGATGGTTGCGTCCGGAAACAATTCTCGTACCCTGTCAACGACCCAATGTATCGTGTCCTTGATGCATATTCTACCATCGGCAGGATCTCTCCAGGTGTGAGATCGCCTATGGTACGCATTGTTCTCGTCATAGGGGAGATTCAACAGCAAACCATAACTCCATCTAGATATTCTTTCTGGTCCATCCTGCTTTCTCAAAGCCCTGAGAACAGCGCCTCGGGCCACTGCAGATTCAACAAGTTCCGGCCGAAGAAGCTCGATTTCTCGGCCCAGCAAGTTCCTTTCTCTGTTGAGAACTTTCTTAAGATGTTTGTACAGGGACGGCGATTGTCCAAAACCACCGATCAAGACCACTGTTTGCACGTTGACACCTTTTTCCCGCGCCGCATTCAATTGGTCTTTCATCATTCCTGCAACATCGTGAAGGGAGTCGCTGAAAACATAACGGTACAGGTCGCTCCGTTTGATGAACATATAGTTGGGACGAGATCGAGATTCCACCATGTCATTCTGAAGTCCAGGTACATAGACCTCGAATGTCAGGCCTTGGTCCAGTACGTCTATGTTCCTCTTCAGCGTCTCGAACTCGATGACTTTGGCCTCAATGATACTCTCAAGTGGTACCCCATTATCGACGATCGTTGCATTTTCGAATCGGCTGCTCAAGAGGTCACGGAACCTTCTGTTCAAGAAGCAAGACCCATTCGAGACGCCGTCAGGTCTCACAGCTTCCTTGTAACGTGGTGGGTTTGTCCTAGTGAGGGTACAAGCTGTGAAGTCTGCCGTCCCTCCACCGGCGTCAATGATAAGCAGAGACTCATCTCGTACCATTTGAGACGCCCTCCTGTCATTATCCAAGACGTAAGCAAGGGCGGCCTCTGGCTCAGCGACCAGGAACAAATCGAGACTCTGGTTATCTTCAAGCTTGATAATGCCCGAGGATCTCACGGCGCTGGCCAGTGCTTTCTGCATGATCTCGCCGGCTCGCCAATCCCAGGCGGCTGGTACGGAGAGGACGAACTCGACAGTGCTGTGCTCGTGGAACCCGTATGCGCTTGCAAGTTTGGATTTGGTATGTCTGAGCAGGTTTTCCAGGTAAGTTGCGATAATTTCCTCTGTATCCAACCCTTTCAATGGTTTCGTAACCGCAACGCTCTCCCTGAGAAGCGCTGCTGATCTGCCACCATCCGGATCAAGACGAAGTTTGAAGTTGGTAAGGTGGCACCATTCTGAGGTGCTGTCGGGCTTGAGCAGTTTTGAATACACGCCCCATCCCCACGCAGCAGGTTTTCTACGTGGGCCTCCTTCGAAATTGGTTGCAACATCAATACTCGCATCCATCTCTTCTTCCAAGCTGACGGTGGATGACGTTGCCCAGAACTCATCTAGAGAGATGGTCGATCCGGTCTCGACATCGGATGAATCTGTGCTTGATCTGGCTGCAGGAGTCGTTTTGCTCTCCAGAATATCGTACAGAAGCTCTGTGGGTACTGTTGTTGACTTGGCCAGAAGATTGGCATCCGTGACAGGGGGCATGTTAGGGTATCTGTCGATACACTCAACGAACTCAGCTCGAATGTTTTCTGGCAGCGTGTCATGGTCAAGGCGAATGAACGCGACTGATGAGTAGGTTGTGCCAAAATCGATCGCGATAATGTATCTCGGAGATGCATTGTTATGGTTCGGTGTCTCAATGCTCGGCATGGGTTGGGAGCTTGCGCAATACCCTGTCACATCCGAGTATGCTTCTTGCGATGAGTTGGTGCTATTTCCCTCACGTGCCGACACATAGTGATTCTCAGGAGTCTCGATATCATCCTGCATGTCTGCATCTCCCCCGAACTCCGACGGAACAATCCTGCCGAACTCCTCCTCTGCATACTCCGCCATTCGCGACTGCGTGCTGCCATACAAGTTTCGCATCTTCTGCTGCCACAGGAGGCCGTCATGGCTGGATGGAGCCTGACTCTACGCTTTAAATAGGCGTTTTTGAGAGCTACCAAACAGGCCAACACAGCGACCGCCGACCAAGACCTTCGCCACCATGGATAGACGACAAATACGCCTTGCTGCCTGTCGAAAACGCCCTAGTCGAGGATCGGCTTGCACTAAAACATCATTGCGACATTGAATTCGACATTGATAGACGGCCCCATTTCCCGGAACCGCCCTTCTGGCTATGATCCACCAAGGAAGTTTTGTTGGCAGTACTTTTGTACAATGGTTCTCTTCGTATCTGTACGGTACTTGTACCATGCATTGTCAGAACCCTACTCTCACAGATAAGTACATGACCAGGGAGGTAGCCTAACTAGTCTACGACTGAAACACTAGTCTGCAAATTCCTGAGGGGCACATAATCCGTGTTACGCTTATCATCCTGCTCTTTCACCAGTCTGTCTGCTCTTTCACCAGTCTATCTGCTCTTTCACGAAAAAATCTGGTCCCAGCCCTCTGCTCCTGTATACGATGAGGGCCATCCCCATGCGGTGTCGTAAACCACGTTACGATGGGTCTGGAATCATCAAAGAATCCTATCACGAGGATGAATACTTCTATACTGGCAGCAACCTTGAGGTACTGGCTTTCTTCGAGTATGCTTCTTATCACAGACTGCCAATCAAGTCCCGGGTACCTAAGCTGATCTCTCATTTCAATAAACACCTTCATCTTACCTTTTCAGAAAAGGAGATTGAAGCCAAGCTCATGCTTTTTTGGGAGCGTGGATCTCCAGCAGGTTCCGCAAGGTCAGGTTGGCCCGAGATAATTGCCCGAGGTATCAGTGCTCTGCGGCGTCTTCCGCAGGAGAAAATAGATCGTGTGCATAAGAGAGCTCGCGAACTGGAAGCAGTCTTTGCTCATGACCACAATCCGAGGGGGTTAAGACGCATATCGCGGCCATCTAGCGCTTTTCGCACTGGTGCAAAGAATCAGAGACAGGACGTGGGTTCATTAGCTAGCGTCGAAGATCGACGCAGCCGAAGACGAAGGAAGAGACGGGACCCATGGACAATGACACGGAGGAAGAATAGGGCAGTATCCGCAGTATGTGTCTTGGAATGTAAAATGAGAAACCCCCGAGATGCTGATGAATGACGTTCCTGCAGCCTGCTCCATCTTTGGATTCGAATGAAAGCCAAAGCGAGGAGATTCGAGATAGCGAAGAGCCCTTGTCGACTGTGAAAGAGTCGTTCGACTGCGTTCTGCTGGCTAAACACCCTCGGTTAGGAGACAAGATAGAAGAATCTTCCCAATCTCATCAAAAGGACGACACCAACCCTGAGGCGGCACCGAGGCCCGTTCAACATGAACCACAGTCCCAAACCCCGGATTCGCCTGATCAACAGTCCGTGATTGCAATGCTGCGACTTGACTTGGAGGCACAACGTATCGAGAAGGCGGATGAAGTACGACTCTGGAGAGATCTCTACCTCGAAGAACAACGACGTCGGAAGAGGCTTAGCCAAGACCTAGAAGTGCTGCAGGCGGCTCTCGACAGCGGCGCAAGCCGGAAGGAAGCAAACCTCCAAGATAAGATCGAATCTCTCCAAGCATCCTTGAATAGCTCGTTGCTTGTGCGACGCTTCGAAGCTCCATTCTCTTGGGACTTTCAGGCAAAAAATGCCCTCAAAATCTCGGAGGATTTCAACAAGATTATTGTGATACTCAATAGGGTGCCGTTGCACCAGTACAACCCAGCCTTCGGTATTGACGTGACAAAAGTGGCCCGCCCGCTGGAACTTGTAAATCTCTTACAAAGAGCTTTTGGAAGGGTTGGCGACGAATCTGTCATTGATTCTTCGGTCGCTGAACTACTTCGTCAACGGGGATTGACCGAAGTGCTCCTCTCTTTGGTCGGAGCGGCCATCTGCTCGTGGGTTCTTGAGCCCAATGCAGGCGGCCTGTTCCAGGAGAACCACCTTATCTATCCGAAGCTTCGAGGACTGTTGACCGCTCTTGGTAAGGCACTTGCACTTTTTGATTACCCTCTAGTGTGGTTCTCCCATGCTTACTCGCTTTTCTCTCAGATAGCAGACTCGCCAGCAGTTTGGAATTTGCTGCGCACGAGGAATTCTTTGACGATCGCCCCATGTGTAATCTGGTCGTCTCTCGAAGGGCTCGTGCGTTATCCCGGCAACTGATCGCCTGCGTACTGCCGCTTGTGGAGGACCACGAACGTCTCGGAGAGCAGTACGCTCAGATTCGTCGTGGATGGTGTGAGAAAGAGGACGACTTGACAAGGATTTTCCAACTGGCTTTGAATGCCAAAATTCGCCTTTTGCTGACGCCTGACCTATACAGATGCGTATTCCCTCTACCGGGGAAGGAAGTAAAGGACAGACTGATGAAGATTGGTCTTGGTCTGGTACCTCGCCATCCCGATCCTGGACAGAAAGCTGTGACGAGAGTCTCGGTTATCCCAGCATTGTTGAGATATGCTGCAGCACGTGAAGACTTCACATATGACCGCTTCTTGTACAATGCTGAATTGATCAAGAACATAAAGCCGGACGTTCTGATACAAGCACGGGTGCTCGTCTAGGTTTGGAGAGTGGCTCAGGTTGACACGATGTCGACATAACGAGCAAATCCAGGAATGCAAAAAGGTCTCTATCGGTGATACCTTGGCGACAGTATTTCGAACAGCATTCGACTTGTGGGTGGAGTCTACCATGATACGAAGTACTATCTAGCCGCCGGCATTATCAAGGATCCACAGGGCGGTGTCAGTGGGCGCTGATAAAGACATCCGAGACAGAAGGAAAGTATAGTTAATAGGTCCTGCTGGCGCGAGTTATCATGTCTTCGTGAAGGACTTTGTGTGTAGCATTGTGTGCAAAGTACGCGCCAAACTAGTGTTTCAGCCGACATACTTCTAAGACATCCCCTACCTACGTCCGGTCAGTACCTGTCTGGTCATCAAAGAGGCTGTAAGTTGTAACACTCACGTCTCCAGCTGTTTTCGCCCCTTGATTGTGCGTCCACAAGATACGACAGGGGTCGAGTACACTAGAAGCTGTGAGGGTGCCGTAACACCCATTTCCTTGAGTGCAGGGGTAAGTGACATCGCCTCTGGCCGCAAAAGCGGCCGCAGCAATAGTTAGTGGTTGCCTTGCGTTAGCTGCATTATTAGTGTTGCTTCCGACGGCCCGACGTTCCGTCAAGAGCAAAAGACCCTCGAAGTACTGATAGGAAGGAAAGGAGAGGGATGGATGTCGAGTATGGATGACCATTGCCCCAGAAGTTGGAACTGGTTGCCGGGGCAGGCCTCAAATCTAAAGCCGGAGAGGTCACGACTGCCTACCTCGCTTGGTCTTGCACCTTGGCATGGTAGACATATTGTAACAAGAATCACATTGGTATAGGTGACCATCTTTCTCATATGTACAATACACCACACACTCTCATTATCGAGGCTGCGTCGGCGTCAGAATGAAGGACCGCGATGTGGAAGAAGACACGAAACTCACACCTGAAGAATACCTGCAACTGATGGACAGTGTTGGTTACAACATCGAAGGACGTACGCAGCCAGGACTCTGGGGCGCTTATTCCTCATTGTTTCAGGACATTCGTCAAATAGGTCGAAGTAACCAGGAATACTTTGTTAAACAGTTCGAGCAGGACGACCCATACATCGTCGCGAAGAGGATCCAGGCCAACAGACTGATTGAGGAAGCATGGAGCTGCTTCACGAAACGAGACAGTGAAGCTGGATGGAGAAAAGAGGTTGAATATAGAGCCTTCGAAAGCTTCGACTCGGAAAGTGTATGGTGAGTAAACAAACAGACTCGTTCTGTAAGCGAAGGCGCTGACCCAAGGTTAACATAGTCGTCGCTGTTTCAAGCGGTTGTCAAAGGCCAAGTTCGAAGCCAGGCCAGTAGACCCCGACGCAGCGGAGGAACTTCGACGCAGAAGACTGAGGAGGAGACTGTGCACCTGTACAGCTCTTCAGCGGGCAGGTATCGACAAGTTCGTTTCTCCTCCCCCCTCTTCCCCGTGGAAAAGGTACAATCAAGATCTTGTATGCTGATGGCTGATCACAAGCTAGCAGTGACAGGAAGGAGAATGTTCGGATCTTCACACGAGAGATTGACAAGAACGTTTTCCATGAAGACATCACACCACAGATGAGGAAGCGGCTGGGAAGGCAGAGACCTGACCGTGTAATCGGCCTTTACCCGACTCGTACCTTCAAGCGCCTACTCCCGTCACTCAAGAAGAACTATTCCCCCTACAAGAAGAAAGATGTGGTGTATCCATTCATAGTCGTCGAAGCCAAAGCAGCCGAGAACAACGGAAATGCCAGTTTCGGGAGCATGCTTCGACAGACAGCGTTTGTGGTCCGAACATGTATGCGGCTGCAACAGAATATGCAGGCTGAGACCGGCCGAGAGCATCAATGTCTAGTGTGGGATTTCCTCATTCTCGGAGAGGAGTGGAGACTGTACGCAGCTGTGCCAGAAGGAGACGGAGTGGTGAGTGTTTAGGCATTCCCCGATCATGTTGGTCCAGTGCGTGTGCTGACGAAGTCAAAGCGGCTCTTTGATCTTTGGCATGGATCAATGCTCCACGAGGACGGCGCGTTCCAGCTCCTCCTCATCATTGACTATCTATGCGACTGGGCGTGTGATGTCTATCGTCAGAACATCCTTGCTTGCCTTGCGGGTGGGCGAGCAAGACTCAAGGGGATGCGTCTCTCGCCAAGCGGCACGGAAGTCTCCTCGTCGCAGAGGTCGGATAGAGACATGTCCAATCTTCGGGGGATATCCCTTCCCCTGAGATCGTCTACCGCTCCGGACTTTGGACCCACTGCAACAGTTGGGGATCTTTTTGCCGCCGAAGTGGGAAATTCTCCAACACACGCACTTCCCGACTGTGCTGTCTCGCTGATGTCAACAACAAACACTGTCGACGCCCACCAGTGGCGAAACTGGGAAGAGGCAGATCCCCACCAGTATCCTTGGGCGACCCTGGCCACAATCCGTCACTCAAATGTCGTGAAATATAGCAACTTACAATTGACTCTGCCAGCAGGCAAAAAAGAGCTTGAAATGTGTCTAGATGCTATCTTTCCGGAGATGAGGGCGGAAGAGGCAGCTGGGCGACTTCTGAGAACCATGTGCGATGACACTATGACGATCAAGACCTGCTGGAACTCCGGTACAAGACGGATGGGTGAAGAGACTGAGCCAGACATTCCGGTTAGAGCTTTTGTTTATGCTCAGTGCGCACTGAACCCGGAGAGTTGGCACGTTACTCGCCGATTATTGCTCATTCTATGCTGTGAGAGAGCACTCCAGCATCTAGCTGCAATTGCGCACGTGGCCTTACCCGCTCGCGTTGTTGATGATAGTGTGGACAGTAACGTCAGTTGCCACCAGGTGTTGCAGGCTGTCGACAATCTCAAGCTCTGTACCGGAGGACCGTCAGCAGGATTGGCCATATTCCGGCGTCAGTTGTTCTTGCGAGCGACCGTCAACACATGCGGCCACGAGGAGCTCGAGTGGGTTCATCTTTCCCATCCACCCACCAACGGACCAACCACGTGGGAACTCGGAAGCATCCTTCCAAATTTCAGCAAGAAACAAGAGGTGATGGCCCCAATTTTGACTCCTTACATCCAGGCGGAATCGGCGTTGCAGATCATCCCTACCTTTCACAAGATGACTAATCTGGCCAAGAAGGAGGTCGATATATTTAGGTTCAAGAGTCCAGGCATCCTGATCAAGAAGCCAACCACCTGGCCTGGGAAGACGCCAGAGTTCTGTCTGTTGGTAACAGAACAAAACATCCACTTTGATGACAAGGTCAGGCTTGGGGACATGATCGAAGAAGCCAAACGCGTGGATGAAGTGTTTGGCGTCGTCAAACAATCTGCGAAATATGGCTCAAGAGACATGGCGTTTTTCAGTCAGTGGGCCAAGAGCATGAAAGAGGGAGCTCAATGAGGGGGTCAGCATTGACCCTGACACACCTATTCAACCGCCGGCTACAACTTATATCGCTATGAGACCGGTATTGGGCAAGGAGAAGGAGTTTCGGAACATCATCTCAAAAAAGTGACGGGTTTAGAGCTCCCCTGTCGTGTCCTCTTGGTACGACGACTCAACCTGGCGACGGGCGTCCCAGCTATCGCACTTCCCGCTTGGTTCCCTGTGGACGAGGCTGCGCGTTTCTCTTACCTGCCCGACTGTACTCTTCTTCACTGCTGTCATCGCTTTCGTCACTGGGTACGAACGAAGGAGCCCGCCCGTCACGGCCACTACGTGCGGATCGATGGTAAGATTGCGTGTGGGTTCTCGTGCCGCTGTTTCGCTTGTCGCTTTCGCGTGTATTGCTGCCGCTGTAGCTGCGATACTGGGTGTGTTCAACGGAACGGCGGACTGTTGGATTAACAGCCGACATGTTATCCCGCTCGACGGCTTGATTTCTCGAAGCGGGCTCGCTATTACCATGGCTGGACTTGGTATCGTAAGTTGAAGGCCGACTCGTGTACCTGGGCGGTTGATCGCTATAAGTGGACGGCTGAGTGTTGTAGCTGGCCGGTTGATTCTCATAAGCCCCGTGCTGGTTGCTGTAGCTGGCTGGTTGGCGATACGAGCTCGTCCTTGCGGACTGTGTCTGGATATTTGCTGCTGTGCCAATGCTCAGATCTCTCATGTTTCCCAGGATGGTTCCATCACTGAGAGATGATGGAGCTGTTCGTGCGACCTCCAATGGGGAGGACGGAGGCATTATCGGAGCCGACCCAGGGACTTCTTGGAGCTTAAATTCGATGATCTTGCCGTCCCCGGTCACGTAGAAGAAGTGATCTGTCCCAGACTCCCTTGTGGCTTCCTCCTGCAATTTTGTCATCTCCTGTGTCACAAGTCAGCGGGGCCAAGTCAGAGGGTGGCAGACACTGAGTACTTCGCATGTGTATGTTGGCAGGCTGGCCAGTTTGACCATCTCTTCGCGCAGCTCGTTTGCTCGGCGAGTGATCGCTCTCGCCGCAGCACTTGTATCGCGCTCGTTTCCAATAGCGCGGTTGAACCACAATTGCCATTTCAGCCATTTCGTCTTCCCCGTAGGCTTAGTCTCCTTTACGCCTAGGATCAAGCCGAAAAGGAAAATGGTGTATCTGAATCTGCGACCCTCGAAACCAACAACACGCTCACCCTGTTGTAGAGCCACAATCAGAACTCTGGTACTATTTGCCGAAGACCTTCAGCCCTAACTCACTCACCTGATTAATTCTGGTAGATCTCCATGCTCCGCTGCTCTCATCCACCCAGCGTTCAGCACCCGCACCCACACGGACCTTGTATATCTCGACCTCAAAGGAAACCCCAGCATTCGCTTGCAGATCTTGCCACGCCACCGTGAACGTACCCCTAGTATTCCAGGTGGTAGTGACAATGTAGAAATCGTTCAGAAGAACCTCTCCGAACTGTCGTCGCCGCTCTCTTGGATTCTCTGTCGCCCAACGATAGGTGGCATGTGCATTTCTACAACTTCTTTTGGTCACGTCGGTCCTACACACAAGCATCGCACCAGACTCGCTGTTTGTTGTGTATTTCGCCTGCAGCCGGATTACACCCGGTACATGTGTTGGCAGAGGTACCCTTTTCCTCGAGTTAGCGTAGACTTGAACGTCGCCAATAATGCAACATACCCGGCATCTCCCTGTATGTTTATTTTCTGGACTCCTTGAGACACGCATTCCCCCCATGCCTCTCCCTCGTTTTGAAACCTCGCCCCAGCATGTGCCTCTGGAATCTGCTCCAACATGTGCCAATTGCCACTACCATCGATGTAGCCAACTGTACCAGGTTTGATTTCATCGCTTGGCTCCGGACTGTAGAAGGCATGGGTGGGAAGGGGACCCCTCAATCGACTGGCGTAGACCTTCCAGAGTGGTTCCATGCTGGTACGGCTGCTTGATTCGACAAAAGATCTCTACAATGAAGATGGACGACTCACAAGGGGCTTATTATATATACCGTTTTTGAATTGGAGCCTCACCACTCTCAGCATACCTCCCGGGCCCAGAGGAAACCGAGTTCAGAGAATGGCCATTGGCGCAGTTGAGAGGGATAGGACGGCATTGGAGGATGCGAATGCTACCCAACAAGCGACGCCATGCCTCGGTGTTACAACATATCGTACGGCTGCTGGGTTTAATATCATGCAGGATGTCAGGTGGTCGCACATGTCAGGTAGCAACAATTTCGATCGAGACCGTGCGACACTTGGGGCGCTTCGTTACATGCGCACACTAGCTTACTGCTTCAGGACAGTCCTCGTTCTCAGTAGACACAAATAGTAAGGTAACCCGCAGGGATCAGTGGTACCAAATGCCAGGACCGAGGAGTTAGGTCCCTGGAAGAACACACCCAAGAAATCGGGCGCAGAGGGCTGCAGCCAATCTTCTCCGTGGTCATCGTTAGTGTCAATAATGGAGGCATACCCAGGCAAAGAAGCATGTGGGGGAGACAGTGTACAATAATTGTAGCTAGCTCCAGCGGCTAAGGCAAAAACATATCTGCTCGTATGCGTGGCTTGAGGCCATCTTTGTCATCGAATTGAATGTCATGGGGCCGTGGGCTGAAACCGGTGAGAAGCATCCAAGAAGTCATGAATGCGAGGTCGAACTAGCTCCGCGTACTCGGGCAAAGACCAGAGGCGAATCAGGATGTTGCTTTGGCATCTGCCGACGGACGTTAGTTCGCATACCGCGAGCTCGCTGTGCGTCCGTTGATGGAATCGCTGGCAGGTTGAAAGAGTGAGGCTCAAGTACGGAATTGCTAGCAGTAGATGAGATTTGGCAGTTGCTGCCGCCAAGACTTTGGTTGGTCGAGATTCTCGACCCCAAGTGCAGAATTGTCCCGCAGGCTCATCCAAGTCATCATGATATCTTCACAATCTTCCACCAGGAACCAAAAGCGGCAGGAAGAAGTCTATTCACGCATTCTTCGGGCAGAAATGACCTCGGGAAATTTGACAGTCCGGTCAAGACGAGTAAGTTTTGAGCACAGAGAGGAACCAGCATCGCCATCTTCGCGACAGCATGCTATGAACCGAGATATTGATCGAGATATCAAAAGTCTCTCGAAGCCCGAGGATTATCGTACTGGCTCCATTTGTGTCCATGTCAATTTTCATGATGACGGCGAAGATCTACGGCGACAACACAACGAGAGTGCAAACTCCGAGACCGGGATTCCGATGTGACGACCTCTCCGAAATACGAGGAGATCACGGAGACTCCAGAAGCCTCAGGAAACACTCGTAGGGGCACTAATCCACAAGCACTCAAGGCACATGCGTGTTTATCAGGTACGATTCATCAGGCCTCAGCAGCCATGGCGTCACCGGCGATTACGAAGCATTATTATTGTCAGTAATCCTCTTTGCGGACATCCATTATCCCGTAACTGGCCTATGTGTGTCCCACGTCCCACGTTACACGACGTCACAATTGCACAATTCGAGCGCCTCGACCCTTGAAGCAATATTATTCTCAGCACAGGATTACGAGGCAGTTGATATGCTGGCAGGGAAGAGTCGACTGCCATCGCATGAGCAATGTCATGGATGTGTTGATAATCATGCCACACTAACCGAGGTTAGCCGCGGCCTGACACGGGCATTCCAACTCTCCGCCACTGAACGGACCATATCTCCAGCATCCTGAGGGCAGCCAGGACCGTCCTCCCGAACCATATCCAAGGCCATATCTCGTATGACCGGTTTGCTCCGGGATCAACATGGATGCCATTGGCCATCCTCCGTCGACATCCCCCGTTGGCAGACAATAGGTGTGCTGACTTGGACCCGATCGAGCCTAACCACCACGTCCCTCGGGGTCTCTGACACAAAGGCAAAGGTCTATAAGTATGTTGCACACAGCCTTCCGCTCTTCCACCAGCTCGTCCTCGTATCCAATCCATCTTCTGTTTTCTCTTGCCTATCGGACGTTTTTGAATCTCCTCTCTTGCTCTTTCATTCCCAATCCCCTCGTCGGCATTGAGCCAACAGGACAGCCCTCAATCAACATAACCAGAACTAGGAAATACACATCCGGACGCTCTCGTGATCTCCGTGCAACCGAACAACGATCAATAAATCGCCTGATCCTTGCGTCATTCAGAGACAAAGAACGTTAGTGTCGTGTCATACAAAGAAACGTCCGAGCTCGCTCCCAACATATATATCCAACTTGGCAAGCTGTTGCGACCACAATCCCGCACTTTTCCACCATCCGGATCACCATCTAAACACATTTTCTCTACATCCAAACAAGATGTCTAGCCCGGTCAACAACAACTTCCTCCAACTCATTCCCGCCGCCCACCGCGTGGCTATTCTCGAGACTCCCGCCGAGTCCGAGTCATTCATTCCTGCACTTCAAAAGGCTCGCCGATCCAGCTCTACCACGAGCACCGAGTCGAATGCTGCCGAGGAACCTACCGTCCCCGTTGCCGACAAGGCTGCGGTCGCCGCCTCTCCCGTTGACGATGCCAAGGTCACCGAGTTTCTGAAACTGGGCCACTAAAGTTTACGATATCGTATCTGTTCCACCACACCCCCAACTCTTGACGAATTTCTTTGATTAGGACGTGGGCCCGCCTATGTATGTATTGACGGGCCACCATTGTCGTTTTTCTCTTTCGATTCAGACCGTGAATGTCTTCTTATCTGCGATGCTATGTTGTGCACAACTACGACGGTTTTGACGGGCACTGGCGCAAAGCAATTTTCCTTCCTCTACGACGGAGTTTCGAGTTTCTTGGTTTCTTGATCTCCATTTCACACCCCTGCCGATCGGAGGCAGTTAACCAACAACCAAATTTTGGGACCACCCACAACTACACAAAAAGGACAACATCATACCGCCGAGAGAATCATCCCCTTTAGTCTGGCCGGAGGGGTAAAAACAATCACGCAACCGCCCAGGTTTCCTTATGCTCTTTTATTCTACGGTTTCACATCATCCGGAATCCGTCTTCTGTGTGTGTTTATTGTCTCGAATACACCACCGCCAGCAGCAATCAACCAACCAACCAAAAGCATTAGGGTTCGGGGGAATGGAAACGAGAACGGAAAGGGAAATGGGGAATGGGGAATGGGGAATCGCGCTGCTACGGAAATGCAATCTAGCTTTGGGCTTCGCTTTTGGTTTGGCATCTCTCCAGACGCGCTAGAGAACGGAATCAGGATGCAAGGGATGTGGGGCTCGGGAGGAAGGCAGATCAAGCGAAAACGACCGGCCGGTATCGAAAGCGGAGGAAGACAGGAATCGGATCAGTGGAGACGGAGTACCGTGTTTTTGGTGGCACAACCACAGTCCACGGTTATTGTGCATACATACTTTCAGTATCCCTGGTAGAAACGGGGGGGGGGGGGGGGGTTGTGTGTACGTGTCTGTGCGGAGAGATGGTCTCACTGTCGGTCGGTCTGTCTGTCTGTCTGTCTGGATCGCTCGCTTGTCTACTTGGCTTTTACGAGTATGTACCTACCCTAGGTAGATAAGCACCACAGGGCCCCTTTTACATCACCCAATGGATCTCCGTGTGTTGAACTTACAACTGTCCTTTTGCTGTTGTCGAAACATCTCTCCATGAGGATGAACAGTTCTCGGTGCCCAATGTGTTAGATAATAATGATATGGTCACTCCATTCATTCCCCTTCAGCCCTCCCCCACCGGGGCCAGGTCTGACTGTAGGCGACTTGGACCCGTACTAGTTAGACACAGAGCGTTATTGTACACCACACGAGCTGAGAGGTGGTCCCGGAGGGGGGGGGGAAAGGATCCTCGAATCTGAACCAGAAAATTCAACGGGGGCCGTCCTCCGTCTGTACCACCAAGAGGTGAGACCTGAGAGGTGACAGGGTGACGGGGGAATCCTCTGTCTGTCTGTGCATTGTGCATGAGACTTCTCCCTTTTCGCGGTATCGGGGATTATTAACTTAGCGTCTTCAGTACTCTGCTTTTTCCCCGGCCACCCATCCGTGCAGTGTAGATCCTGACATGTCACTTACTGACTGCACTAATAGCCCCTGAATACCAAGGTTGGCCACAAGCCGGGTCCCGCGATCGTTGTCGTCTGACCCTGACCCCGATATTTGTAGCTCCGTAGACGTGGCGGGGTAATAGATGGCACGACAGCACTTTGGCACCCATTGTCAGGGGGCACGTAGGTACGTAGGTTAGGAACGCAATCACGTAATCGGCCCGTGTTCTACTACAAGTCAAAATACAACGCAACGGGAGGATCTTTGTTGATTGTGTCTCGAGGTAGAGCGACACGTACTATCCGGTTTGTTGTATCTACCCATCCCAGTCCCTCGATTCAGAAAATCGGACACTCTTGACGCGGAAATTAAGGAACGTTCCTGTCTAGCTCTCCCCTGCTCTCCAAGCTGCTCTTCTTGCAGCACAGCTGGCGACAGTAGCATGGCATAGAAATCGGGATCGAGAGCTTGTGCGACACTAGCGATGCCTTTCAAAGGCTCCAAAAACTCCTGGATTGTCGGCATGCTGTTGTTCTCGCAGCTCAACCTGAAGTATGCTGATTCATTTGAGACAAGCGCAACTTTGGCAGGTGTCGGTTCCGGAATGCCGATACCCTCCAGTCGGGACATCTGGATATCGTCGATAATTTCGGCACACGTACCGTCGAAGGCTTCACCATGTGGATGACGAAGCTAGACAGATCAGCGACGTAAGACAGCGAATGCGGATTGGACAATATAGATACCTTCCATGTTACATCTCTAGCCTTGTCGAAGCCAAAAGCGGCCCGGATAGAGAAATTGGCTTGAGAGAAGCCTTCAGATGCCCCAAGGACGTTTGGGGACAAGTCAAAGACCAGTGGCGGCGACGATTTATCTGCGAATTTCCGTCCTTTCCAACCGATTAGACGGGGTGCCAACGGAGCCAGGTAGGCGCCATCTTGGCCTTGTGAAGATCGAATGGCAAATCGACAGAAGAACACGGAGTCTGGAAGTTGATTTCAGTAGCCATTCAGATATATGCTCGGCAATACTTACTGTCCTCGTCGATGGATGAAGGGCCGATCAACTTGACTTCAATCCCCTCGCACTTATCAACCGAGATGATGTCTTCAACATCAATCATCTCAGCGTCAATTGGTGTTCCCATCTGGTCATAATCGTCGAAATGTAGGACCAGCTCCTTGCTGTTGATGAGTTGTCCGTCTGCCATCGTTTTGAAGGCACCTATGTCTTCCAGGAAGGAATACTTCGTGCTTTTAAGGCAGAAAGAAGAACCGTCATCGGCTTCGTGTTGGCAGATGTGATGAATTTGTATGACGTGGCGATCAGAACCATGATTCAAGTGAACCAGAACGGTTTCGCCCCTCTCAAAGGTATGATCCAAGTGCTCGCATTCGAGCCCACTAAGACTCGTTCCGTTGAGCTATTGTTGTTAGTCTGAAGTCCTGGCAAACGCCCACAAGAATGCTGCTTACCGTAGTCGCAGTGCGGCCTGGAATGAAGCTATTATACAATACAGGAAGTTTTTCTGAAGTCCACAGATCCCATGCCCGACGATCCTGCTCTTGGGCCATGCCAGTATCATCGACGCGGATAGGGCTCCTATCTCGTGGTCTACGAGTGACTACCTGTTGTTCTCCACCGCTCGTATTTGAGGACGAGTCTTGATTTACAGGCGGAGTGCTTCCGTTCCGCCACGGGTGAGGCATGGACGAAGCATCGACGGGGCAAGGCCTAGGGTCAATTGATCTCCTAGAAACTCTCGCCTGCTGTTCACTTGCCGATTTTGAGTTGGAGGCTTGAGTCGTAGGTGGTGACGTAGAAGGAGACTCTGATGATAGATCGGTCCACGAGTCGATGGGTTCGGTGATGGAAATGTCACACATGTCCATCTCCAGATTGCGCTCACTGTTCGTCCCACCAGAATTCGGCATCGCCGGATTTGCGCTTGTCAGCGATGCTTCGGCAGGTTTAACTGGTACCCGTGGCCAAGCGTAGAATGCTCTATCATCGTCTCGACATACCATGGCGAAATAACTTTCACTAGAATCAAGTCCTCGGAAAAGAGTTTGAAAATTGTCTCCGGTGGTGATTTGAAGAGGGCATCCACAGGGCGCAACCATCTGCGTCGTACCTGCTGGAGAGTCCTGTCCTGCTCCTATTGAAAGATTAGCGAAGCAATCTGATCACGCTTATAGAACTCACCACCGGTATAAAGAAGAGCGTCCTTCTTGGTTTCGCATGTGCTCATCTTATGCAAGGTGACAGAGTAATTCACGAACTCTCCGTATTTGTCCAAGAACGCACGGCTCTGCGCTCCTGCCCATGAAACAAGGAGCTCATCACGATTCCTTGTACTGCTCACATGCACATCTCGAGGCATCTCCTGGAGCTTCGTTGCTGACCTACTCCTTATAGCTTGATATTCCTCGTGATCGAGCTTCAGCGGACCATGCAATTCTCGAAGGAACATTTCAATTAGGTCGTTAACTGCATGATCGCACAAGAATATGTCCTCTGAGGACAACTTGCCATTCTTGGCTTCGAAAAGGCTGCATTGCCTGTTCTGGTGGACTTTAGAATATTCAAGCCATTTGTCATGGATTCTGAGGAGATTGTTGTCGTTCTGGAACAGCACATCAATACTCAAAGATTCACCCTTTACAAACTGAATTTTGACATTCTCGAGTGCTCCGCTGGATTTTAGAGCACATCTGAGTGCTCTCTCAAGCTGAATACTAAAGGCATGGCATTGGATCAGTGCTGGTGGCGAATGGAAAAAGAGGAACACTCTTTCTTCATGCGGTGTTCGCACCAGTGAGTACTTCTTGAGAAGCTTCCACAGAACGTTCTTGAGCTTATAAGGACGCTTCCCGAGGTCTTTTTCGATAATAGCATCCTTATACAGCGGTCAGCATTCAGTTCATCCACACGGAGTGCTTATTACCTGAGTCACAAGGTGTGACCTCGTGTTGTCTTCATCCGAGAAGAAGAAGGAATCGGGAAATTGCACTCTCAGATGTTTCCACATTTTGACCATTGCCAGTCTCGACACGGTTTTGTAGGCCAAAAAGGTATCACTTGGGTTTTCATAGTTCTGAAAGAGCTTGAAATAGTGCTCTATCACTGTGTGCTCCCATGCGTCAAGACACATAGCCTCTTCCCAAATTGCTGCAACCATTTGTGCTTCCTGATCTCGATACATCATTTTCTCTCGATCACGGTTAATTTTGCCTTTGTGAAAATTGTAACCAAACTGATAGTCCGTGGAACCAGAACGGTTCTCTTCGAGTTTCAAGCCGTTGAGGTAAAGTGCACCTTTATGAGCGTTGCTGAGAATGAGATCTCCAGTTTGGACGTGTATGATGTCGTTTTCCTTGAACTCCTGCAGGTCAAGAGTGACTGTTAGCCACCCACGGAAATCTTCGCAAGTGATTCCGCAGTTATTTTGCGAAAGTGCTCCTACTTTCACCGTGGTATCTTCCCAAATGTTCGATGAAAGCCGAGGACGAAGAGATGACGACCTCTTGGAGTTCGCAAAACGTTCCTTCTGCCTGCATAACGTCTTCTCTGGTGCGTGTTTGAGAGTGCACTGCAATATCTCAATCCCATCTTCAAACTGTAATTTGAATCTCCAGTGTTGCGAGTTTGACTCGTATTTCATACCATAGCCATCCCGCACCATAATAAGCGCAGCAAGCTTGAAGCCTTCGCCGTGGAAGCCGGCAAGTTTTCTGTCGTTCCTCTTAGTGCTGTGCCCAAGAATGAGATGGTGTCTCTCCAGCATCGCCTGGAAGTTACTCATTATAAGTTGCCCGCTTTTCTTTTTGAAGGTGATGAAGCCGAGTAGCTGTGAACCTTGATTGCGACGAGAGGTGCCAGGCGTTGGTTGAGGAGCATGGACAGTAATATTGATGGATAATTTGCTTTCCTTAATGATAGGCTTGAAGAGATTGACATCCAGTTTGAACGAAGAGAGAATACCATCTTTCCTGGATATTGTTAATGGACATTATCTTGACAGCAGTTTCAGAGCTTACCAGTTCTGATAGAGCTCTCGGAATGCATGTTCAGGTCCCCAGTTTGGAGTGTACTCCCTGCTCACACGAATTTCTATGGTATTGTTTTGGGGCCTGCGACGGTCATCATCTTGCTGCTGAGGATTATCATCCTCATCGGCACTGACGGCGGATTCTTCATCGTCAGAATATGTGTCAGATAGACTCTCAGAAGATGTGTTAACAGATATTTCTTGGATATAGGGTTGGATCGAGAATGGCACTGCCATATTGGTCTAGATTTGGGAACCACACAACCCCATCGAGGGAGACGGCAGCAAATTCAGGACAGTCTTGCTAGCCTGGAATGGACATGCATTATCCTGAGAATCCTCTTTTCTAAGTTGGAGAGGAAAGCCTTGGGCCGAGGAGATGATGTAGCTGGTGAATTTTAGACGCAGATTCACTTACACAAGAGGCGGTGAAGTGAGGAGGAAGTGAATAGGTGCGGGCTGTGAGCTGGCACAGCTCTTACGAGATACTGAGGCTTGAGGCTTGAGGTTTGAGGCTCCGCTGGGTGATATAACAGGGGTCTGCATGTGATATAGCAAGGGGCTGCATGAATGGGCCGGCACCTCGCATGGTCATTGAATGAGCGACCCGGGGGTGCCGGCCCGTGGATGCAACCAACCCTCTTTGTACTCGTCCTTATCTCCCGCTCTGACTAACTTAGTCTGAGTCGCTCGAGGTCTAACCCAGTTCGCGTAGGAGTGTCAGCAATTATGACACGTTCACTGAGAATATTCTGCTGTCACAATCGCCCCAGGAAAGTCGTAGGAAACTTCATGAGCTAGAAACTCATTTTTAGCTGGATGTTTCAACGCTCAATTGTATCACGGTACACATTTTCATTCTCCCCCTCGTGCCTCAACTGCTCGACCAGGACAGCCTGATCTCATTGAGGCATCAGCCAGAACATATGTAAATTCGAGGACCAAGTGTTCTCGACTAAAAGATGGCGGGGTTGTACCGTGAAGAAATCCTTCGACTTGAGCGGCGAGACTTATAATACAAATTGCATAGTACGATGCCACAACCCAATTCAAGTCGGCCATTTCTGATGAAATGTGTAAGGCTAGGGTATGTAGCTCATATCCTCCATACCATACATTTCAAGGTCGTCAAATGGGAAGTCCTGCTCGAACCACTGCAAATAGGACATTCCGGCATCGAAAGTTCCAGCCTCCTGCCATGATGGCAGACTGCCTGCAGCAGCAGAACTGTCAAACCAGCTTGGATTCTGCTGCTCAAGGGGAATTTGGGCAGGTGCATCCGGGATTGCATAGGACGCCTGTGATACCGAATGCAATTGTTCCCCAGATGCAGCGCCGACTGTAGTCGCTACCCCGAGCCGTCCTGTACTATTTAACGCGATGCCCGAGTCCCGGAATCCTTCTTTATCGAGCTCAGTGTCGATTCTGGGTAGCATGGCTGGACAGTTGGCGAATAATGAAAAATGATGTGATTTGATGCCATGTTGTTTTATCTGCGTGATAACCAAGTAAAATGCGCGAGCCACCTGGGAGTTCGTTTCTTCATGAATTCTTGCCAAGAGACGGATGATTGAGGTCATGTATTCCTCGAACTTCAGGTCCTTGGAATTGATCGGGAATTGGCCTGTCACGGCTCCTTGATGTTCACAAATATTGAGCAGCTTCCGAAGCGCTCTTGCGGCGTAGCCCGTCCGAACGAGGAAGAAGTTTGGTAGCGTGACCAATGTTGATATATCCATTGACAGCAAGGCATCGAAGCAGTGATGTATAGCAGAAAGACAAGTAAACAGGCATTCAATGCGAGCTGGGGCAAACTGTGAGTACGTCGAGGTTGTCCCGATATCTTCATTACTCAACGCGTCGTTGGCGGCCGTTGGACGGGGAGGTAAGCGTAATTCGTCGATGTTATGTTCCGAATGGATCGCAACCTCATTGACGTATAAAGCTGTTGCAGCTTCAATGTGCCGTGCAAAAGCTTGAAGGTGGTTGCTACTGTTATGAGCATTTCGGCGCCACTGTTCCAGCTGTTGATGGAAGGATCTAATGTGGTATTGAGTTTTGACATCCCTGAAGCTGATCACGGATCCTGGATCGTCCATTGAGAATACCATCGAAGCATCTTCCGCGATATGCTGAATTCGAATCAAGTCGCAGAGCCATCGGTCACTCGGTAAAGCACTGGGTGCGCAAGACAGAACGTCAAGACATTCTTCAATGTATACAGACCAGCGAACAGACGCGGGATGGCGAAGGGACATGGCAATGCTGCATGATGGGTTAGCAGGAGCGCTGAGAGATTCGGATCGAAGACGTTACTTGGTGACCAGATAATAGCAGCCCAGCCACGCTCGTCTACCTGCCAGTGACTCGAGTTGGTGAGGGTCATCAGATTGGGCAGACTTGTGCGATCTTCTCCCGAGACCAATGTCCAACCCCATTGCACAAGCGACATGTCCCATCTGATTGAAGTTCAGTTCTCGCATTTCTTTCCCTCGCGTGTACCAGGTAATATGGATGAGGAGGACTTGAACTAGTTCGAGGGATCTCTCAGCTCGGTACATGATGCGTAGGGCTAGGTCCCTGGTAAGCATATCCCGCAGTTCAAGATTAACAGGTCCGCGCATTGTCGGCAATGCGACTGTACAAATAGCGAAGAACAGAAGTGGCTGCTGCTCCTTCACCAGAGTTGCATCGGCCGTAGCAGGGAACACAACGAAAGGAAAATAAATGCACATTTCCTCCCGGTAACGATCGAATGCTTTGCAAGCAGTTGGCCAATCCAGTAGTCCTCGGCTTAGAGCTTTTGCAATGAGTGTTTGGGAGTCGTCTGCAGTTTCCTCTGGATCCTGGTCCTTGCTGCGACTGGGAGCCCCCTCGCCCCCAGAGCTTGGAGATGGGTCAACAGAGTTGGGGGGTTCGTTGGAAGCTAGAAGTGCAGTTAGAGTGTTGATTTTCCGTTCTAGATCAGCCACCCTTTCAGTGGTCTTCCGCTTTCTTCGCCGAGGAAGAGTTTGCATGATACATTGTCTTCGCGCTCGAATGCATAGTTTACATGCTGATCCCAGCGCCTCGTCAATCTCGCATCGTGTTTTCATACGTCGACATGCCACACAGGCTCTGCTCGATCTTGGTTTCTTTGCATTCTGCGGGAATGTCTCCTGATTCTGTTCACCATCACTATCATCGCTGCCGGCGCTGTGAGATGCTGGGTCGTCGGAAGGGCTCATTCTGTAGATTTTATTTTCGCGACCAACGCGTCGCTTAGATGGCGCCTAGAGTTCTAATCCCAAATTTTCCATGGTGGTTCGTGGTGGAGGGTTCAATGACGCCGATTACAGTTGTTGCCTATCGCGGTGTCGGTGAAAACTTCAGCCGTTCCGAGTGGCTGACAAACCCTCGGTATCGTGAAAAACAGCTATCTCCCACAAGAGATGGTTGATATCAAGTGGGATTATATGATCATCTATCTGTTCATGAATAATGAACTCCTACAGGCCACCGTCGACTCAAATCGGAAATTATTCAGTCTTCTGCCCCCCATTTCAGTGGTGATTTTCAAGCAACAAGCTCCTGATCTTGGACATCCTCACTCTGTCGCCGGTGAAAATCAATCTCGAACATCGTTGGGATAAGAATAGCGGCGCTCAACAATACCATCACCCCAGCCATCAGCGTAAAAGTCCAGCCAACGTTAATCCTCCCGATGAGTGGCCCAACAACTGCTGAGCCTCCGGCTCCCATGAGGCAACGCATAAGGTTGAGAGAAGCCGACGCTGATGCGCTTTGGCTGTGATGAATGTCTACCAGGTATGTCGAGACGGAGCTCTGTATCGAAATGGCTGCCCAACCGAGTACGAAGAGGCAAATTATCGGGACTGAGATATGAACCCCATGATCGACTGTCCACCCGAAAACTAAGACAGAGACGCACTCCAAGGCGCTCCATATCCAGGCTGTCCTGAGCCGGGCCTTCTCGATTGGAAGATCTTGCTCATTCCCAACATACTTTCGTGCCATTTTTTGGTAATCATAATCGAGGAGTCTGCCTATGGAGAGCGTCCCACCGATTGATCCGATGCCGTTGGCGAGGAAAATCAATCCAATCTGAGTTTCAGTGGTTTGGTATGTGTCTCTTACAATCGTCGATAATGCAGTGAGGACGCTCTGCCAGACTGTATAATGTACGGCCACAAGCAAAATTGCGCCGAACGTCTTTAGGCGGAATAGGATTCTCACCGCGCCCCACAGATCGATGGCCTTGCGTGATCCCGGGTCTGTTTGTGGTTCTGAAAGCTGCGGCTGGGTTCGTAGATACCTTCCACGCTGGTAGGCACCGAGAAATGACTGTGAAATGCCCTTGACTCTCAGTGATCCGTTGCCAGAAATCGTTCTGAGGGTTTCAGGCAGGAGGAGAGCGACAATAGTCAGGCAGACACCCCCATATATCGTGAGGAACCAGAAGACAGCATTCCATCCCAACTTTCCCGCGAGAACCCCACCAATGACTGGTCCGATTGCGACTGGCATCAACAGTCCACCTTGAAAGAAGCCCATATAGCCTCCCCTTTCTTCTCTCTTCGTGATGTCACCAATCACACCTGCTCCCAAGGCGATAGTACTGGCGCTTCCAGTGCTTTGAACACAGCGAAGAACCATGAGCGTCGCGAAATCTTTTGTCTCGGCAAGACCGATACAAGCCCCGAGAAAGACAACCAGGGTACAACAGTACGTCACGCGGCGTCCCAAAGCATCGGCCACGGCTCCCCAGATGGTCGGGGACAGACCCTGGAAGATCATATAACAGGTTACCGTGAGGTTGACCAGATTAGTACTGACAGATAGGTCTTTTGCGATTTGTGGAAGACTGGGGAAATAGATGTTTGAGGCAAAGCCGGACAGCGTGGCGGCCGTCGAAACAATAGCAACGATGAGTGTTCTTTGGCGTGTGGTATAGATGGTGTATGGTTCTAGGGTGACGCTTTCAGTGGTAGCCTTGACCTGTGACATCTTGTCGTCGTATATATTAGATTACATAGGTCGTAAAGCATGAAGTGAACGGGGAGAGGTATATATGTTTCTTCGATGGGAATGCATTCGGAACTCCGAAAGGAATTCCGACTGCAACTGAGACAGGAGAGTTCAGCTTGTCATATGAGATAATCGACCAGTTGAAGCAATGAACGGATAGTCGTTTCAAAATAGTCATAGTTAGTTGGAATTTCCATCGAACGACAGTGTTTGTACATTTGGGCAGACATTTCATCGCCTAGTTTGCACTGTCTGGTGGAAATTGTATGCGAACTCTGAGCGTAGAGTCGCATTTTGGGAGATGCCTATCCGGGGGCAGATCAACGAAGGCGACGGTCCCAGAGAGATCTAGCATGATGGCTGCGACGTGTATGCCGATGCACAGGTACCAGTACCAGCAGGATATGAAGTTGAGGGATGATGAGTAGAGGCTGGAATAGCATGGTACCGGATTATTGTTAGATACTCTGGACGCTACGCGTAGAGGTGCCTGTGCTAATTGGCTCTTTGATGAAGCCCATCCTTACCTAAGACGCGCACGATCTCATTAACCTCATCTCAATGTCCCTCGCTCTGGCTTGTTCTACCACCACCATCGGTCTTCAAAACGAGCAATGACTGAAACGACCGCTGTGCCTCGTAAGAAGTCGTGCAACAATTGCTCCAAATCGAAGGTACGTTGTGATCTGAAAAAACCAAAGTGCACTAGGTGCAGAAACCGGGGTATAAGCTGCGAGTATGTCTACAACAGGGCTGTAGACGGTCCATTGGCCCTCACACCTGCAGTCCCTCCTAGAGCCATCCCCGTCGTTGCCACTTCATCTTCCTCGCCAGACAGGGAAGAGACGCTCGACTTTAACAATGCCAGCCTCATCCGAACCCTGGATGATGCCCGGATTCGTGCGCGATGGCTTGAAAGCGTTCTCCCTTCAATAGAACAGACCCCGAAACCATATCAAGCGTCGACCATGGCGTTTCTGGCTAGTATTATGAGGTCGTGGCCCGGCATCTTCTTATACGGCCAAGCCGTTCCACCTTTCATACATTGGACCCAAGCAGCAGGAACAATACCGACGCCACTCTCCAGCTGCATGACGCTATGTCGCACCTGGAAGACCCAGACCCCTGGCAGCGAAAGCATGGTCTGCGATATCATTGAACGGGAAATGCATAGTCTCGTCAAACAGGGAGGTTCTAAGTCCCTTTTTCATCGTATAAGACTAACATGAATGAAAAGTCGGCCGAGGCTAATCATATGGACCTCCTCGCGACCGTCCAGTCATACCTCCTGTATGCAATAATGCTGTACTTCACACCAAGGTCTGGTTCAAACTATATCGAACAGGACACCCTGATTCAACTACAAGCGCTGGCAGCGGATCTGGCAAGCAAGGGTACCTTATGCTGGGCGGAAGCTCATGGCAGCCGTCCAGAATGGGAAGCGTGGATAGTTGCTTCAGCCAGACGACGAACACTGTTCGCAGCATACCTGTTTGACAATCTTGTCAACTTCTACCTCGGCTCGCCTTCATACATTGCCAAGGAACTCGCCGGTCTGCCGGCTCCGGGAAGTAAGCAATTATGGGACGCACCTACACGGCATTCATGGAATGCTGCATATAACCAACAGCTGAGTCAATGGACCGATGGACAGCTTCTCATCAACGATCTTTGGCCTCGTGCTGAGCTGCCGTCAGACTCTTTGAAACGAAAGGTCGATCAGTGGCTTTCTTCGGTTGACGAATTTGGTATGATGCTATACTCTGTCATATCGCATACTTATAATCGCTGAGTTTGAGCTGAGCTTGAGTCACAACCACTACTCCGAAAGGCTACAAACATCCCTCCTCCGAGGCAGATCCCCAGTTTAACGACCCTTCTGCTCTTGGGGGGTAAGAGAGATGCTCCCAAGGAATGGTAATAAGGCTAGACCGACAAGAATTCTAGCCAAGGCAAGACCAAATCCATAATGGCAGTCGTTGGAAGCCTTTCAAATCAGACATATGGTATTCTCAACTGCGCAATAAGGCCATTGTGGCAGGAAAATGCGGATCCCGGCACTGCATTGCGACCATTACAATCCATTACAATCCATGCTTGTATGGATTTACCCAGAGCCCCACTTGCGCTGCAACACTGGAGGTCTTCATGGTGAAGTATACGGACAACATATCATCATAAACCTGATACTCCGGGACCGAGTAGGATGTTAGAAAAAACCCATGTAGCAGGTTGAAGGAGGAGGGCTGAGATGCGATTTTGAGGCGGTGGGGCGACTTGGAAGTTGGGAACCACTTCACATCTCCTCTCGCCACAATCATTCTTCAGCATACTGTGCTCTTATCAATAATGGAGAGCGCATGCTCAGATAGGCAAATAGCTGCAGTAACAGGTGCGGTTGGGAAGAAAAGCGAAAGTTTGGGTGGCATGATAAACTCGCGCTCGGAGTAGTAATACGATTGCATTAATTAGGTGGGCTTAAAAAAGAGAGAGGCTCGGCTCAACTTCCTTTCACGCCTTATCCTTATCGTAGTGGGCCTGAATTTTTCTGCGTTGGGAGCCCCCGCGGTCTGGCCATTGACTCAGTTATGGGATGATTCCCTGCGTCTCTCTTCCCATTCAAGCCTTCATTCCCTGCACATCCTCCAGGTCAATATGGGTGTAGGTCTTTTGGTTTCCGTTGATCCAGAGGAGATCTTAGGGTCGAGTCCCCAAGGTCTGACCCTCGACCAAGTCGCCTACTTTGGCAAATGCTTGGTTGAAATCACCCCCGAAAACCTCGCGTCGAACCTCGCTTTTCTCCGACAGAACTTTTCGAAGCTCGCCATATATTTCGACGTGCGTAAATTGAAAAGCTGGGACAGTGTTATAGACGTCCTCAACAATGGGGCTACTAAGATCTTCGTCACCTTCGAGCAACTCAAGGTTCTGTCGCAAGAGCAGACCATCTCTCCGGACCGCCTCGTCCTCACGATCTCTCTTGTGAACCCGCAAACCGACCTGAACAAACTCAAAGCTTTCCTCGAAGGCAACCCCAAGTGGAAGACGACCGAGTGGGCGTTTGATGGTGGGAAAGGAAACGAACACCTGGACGAAGTTTTGAAGGATGTTGGCAATTACCCTCCTAGCCATGATCAAACAATATATGTGAGGGTAACGAGTGAGGTGGAAGGCACAAGTGTGCTCCACGAATATCCCGGCAATGCCTTGATTGTCTCGTCCAAGATTTTGACGTTCAATCCGGCCGGGAAGGATGAGAAGCTCATTCCCGCGGTCGATTTGGTCCTTGCTGGAGCTACTCCGGACAGAAAGACAGGATTGTATGCGACTGTTGTTGTCGACGAGCGCGATGTCGCGTTGGGTCTCGTTTGGAGCAGCAAGGAGAGTATCGCAGAAGCGCTCAAGACCGGTAGTGGTGTCTACCAAAGTCGCAAGCGAGGTCTGTGGCACAAGGGAGCTTCTAGTGGCGACACCCAGGAACTCATCAGCATCGGCTTTGACTGCGATAAAGACTGTTTGATTTTCAGAGTCCACCAGAAGGGCCGAGGTTTCTGCCATCTAGGTACAATGTCATGCTGGGGGAAAACATCGGGTCTGTCGCGACTACAGAGAACTCTTCAAGAGAGGAAGGTGGACGCTCCAGCTGGTTCCTACACTGCTCGACTCTTCAACGATCCTAAGTTGGTCAATGCAAAGATCAAAGAGGAGGCAGACGAACTATGTGAGGCCACAACAAAAGAAGAAATTGCCTCGGAAGCAGCGGACCTACTCTACTTTGCTCTGACTAGATGCATCGCCGCCGATGTCACGTTGGAAGACATTGAGAGAAACCTCGACCTCAAGAACTTGAAAGTCAAGCGAAGAAAGGGTGATGCAAAACCACAGTATGTCGAGGAGAAACCAGTTCAAGTTGAGTCAAAGGCCAACGGCTCCAACGGCGTCAATGGCCAACAAGACGAAGAGATGAAGGAAGCTGCTTCGGTACCAAAGTCACCCTCGGATCCTGCTGGCAAGACAGAATCGGGGCGAATACAACTCAAGCGTTACTCTACCTCGCAGGCATTCTCGGATGATGTTCTCAAGTCAGCTCTGCAGCGCCCTTCTCAAAAGTCAAATGAGAAGATCATGTCTCTTGTCCATCCGATCATTGCCGATGTTCGGTCCAATGGCGACGCAGCTGTTTTGAAATACACCCATAAGTTCGAAAAGGCCACAAGCCTCAAGTCTCCTGTCCTGAAGGCCCCGTTCCCTGAATCGCTTATGCAACTACCTGAGGAAACCATCAAGGCCATCAACACGTCGTATGACAACATCCTTAAATTCCACTCGGCCCAGAAACCCACTTCAGATCTTGTGGTCGAGACAATGCCGGGTGTTACTTGTTCGCGATTTTCTCGTCCGATCGAAAAGGTCGGCCTCTACATTCCCGGTGGTACGGCAGTGCTACCGTCTACGGCGCTGATGCTGGGTGTCCCTGCTATGGCTGCAGGGTGTAAGAATATTGTTCTTGCATCCCCTCCACGATCAGATGGTACCATCACTCCGGAAATTGTATATATTGCTCACAAGGTTGGGGCTGAAGCTATTGTCCTTGCGGGTGGAGCACAGGCGGTAGCAGCAATGGCATACGGCACTGAATCCATTACCAAGGTCGACAAAATCCTTGGCCCTGGAAATCAATTTGTTACTGCTGCAAAGATGATCGTCAGCAATGATACGTCGGCTGCCGTGTCAATTGACATGCCAGCGGGACCATCAGAAGTTCTCGTGATTGCGGACAAGACGGGAGACCCAGCCTTTGTTGCAAGCGACCTTTTGAGCCAGGCCGAGCACGGAACCGACAGCCAGGTTGTTCTTATCGCCGTCGATCTAAGTACAGACGAGCTTCAGGCCATCGAGGACGAGGTGCACAAACAGGCACATGAGCTTCCTCGCGTCGAAATCGTACGAGGCGCAATCGAGCATAGTGTAACCATTTCTGTTTCGGACTTGGAAGAAGCTCTCAAATGGTCGAATTACTATGCACCCGAGCATTTGATCCTGCAAGTCGCCAACCCCCGCTCTGTTCTTCCGCTCGTTCAGAACGCGGGTTCCGTCTTCATCGGTGGCTGGACACCGGAATCTGTTGGTGACTACTCTGCAGGCGTGAATCACAGCTTGCCCACGTATGGGTATGCTCGACAATACAGCGGTGTCAACTTGGGAAGTTTCATGAAGAACATCACGAGCAGTGAAGTCAGCGAACAAGGCGTCGGCGAGGTTGGATATGCTGTTGTGGAACTTGCCAGATGTGAAGGCCTTGATGCACACAAACGTGCCATGGAATTGAGGATGGAAAAGCTGGGGTTGCTGGTGAAGGCGCGGCCGTAGAGGACACAGTGTGTTAGATAGTCTAGACTCGAGCACAGATGCAATTTATGATTTGTACGGACCACCATTAAGAGTGCTGTTAGAAAGCCATCCGTTTGACTGCCTCTGCAGTGTCAAACCACCAACAACTCGTGACTGTATTCTCGGTGATGCAACAATGCTTCCGGTTTCGACACCAAGTACCGGGACCCGCCCCCACACCCGCGATGTTAGAACAAGTCGCGTCACTCACGATGCGCGTCTCTTGTCCATCACAAGTTCAAGACCACCATGGCGACAAGACGACAGGCCTCGCGGGAGGCGCCTAACAAACGGGCCCGGGGAAAGGAGTTGACTCCTTATCAACGGGCAATGATCATCGGAGCGAGGACTGCAGGTGCCTCGTACGGAACAATCGCCAAAACGTTCGACCTTCCAGTGACGACGGTGCGCGGTACCATTAAACTAGCCCACAAAAGAGCCGAGCAGGTATCACAGCCGCGCTCGGGCAGACCTGAGATAACTAGCCCTCGCGATAAACGCCAGATTCTGCGTCTTGCCAGGAGTAATCCGAATTGGTCCTATCCCAAACTCCTTCACGAGCTACATGAGTCTGGTATGAAGATCGCCAAAGACACGGTGGTCCGACTCCTGCATAAAGAGGGGATCGCGAAGCAGAAGAAGCGCAAACGCGATCCGGACGCCTCAAGTCCCGTGGTGGTCAATGTCAAATGACGGAGGACGTCTCACATTGCGACATCGCCGTCTTGTAGCGACTGGTCAGACAGACGCTGACCAGGAGCGATACGACAAGCACGGAACGAGCTTCGTGGGTGGTTTGCAAGGATATGGAAGTAATGGCCTCTCACGGTGCCATCATTCAGTGATACAGGACGGCTTCACGCTTCAAACGTGTCACCATCAATCAATTTGTCCCTTTGACGACCCTTCCTGGCCCACTCTTCGAAGTGTCTGGCTCAGCAAGAACCATCAAGAAACCCAGAAATGGGGCTGTGCTGCAAGAGGCAAACCCTACTAGTTCTTCTAGTCGAGTTGCTGGTTTCGCAGGGGCCTGTTTATGGCCACGTAGTCCAGAGTCTCATCAACATAGAATAGGACATGTTATCCAAAAATGGCACAACGTCCCGATCCCCGGTGGTCGACAATCGGCTGGCAAAATGAGTTCGAATCCTTGAAGTGAATCTCGAGCACAAGGTGAGATGAGTGCACTCGATAACACCAAGGGAGGACGATGTGAACATAGGCAGTAGACAGATGGTCCTTGTGCTTCAGACAATCGCTACGCTTCGTGTCCTGATACTCCGGTTGCGTACCATCGATCCTCAGGTCAGACGGTGCATTTCCAACAATGCGGCTCCCAAACACCGCTTAAGGTCTCGGAGGATTGAGTAGAAGCGAGTCCTCTCGTCTGGTCGGGGTCTTTAGACACTACTTTGAAGGATTTGGGTAAAGGCTGGTAATAAAAGCGGCACCGTGATGTACCGCCAAAAACTGCACGCTGCTTTTGACAATCTGCGGAATCACTCTCACCCACCAGATTTGGAGTCATATGTGCGGTGCGAATTCACGAATGTTGGAAAGCCCAACTGAAGCACCTTGAATTTGTCTCTGCAGCGTTTTCTTTCCGTCCTCTTTGCACCTTCGAAGTCAAAGTCACAAAAATGGCCGAGGATTTGAGTTCCCAAGTTCTGCAGGTTCTCGCCTCTGCAGACGGACCGGTCCTCACCTCCGAAGCCTTTCCCAATGCCAGTTTCAGTACCGTCAAGGCTGCCCTCGACAGATTAAGATCACGAGAGTACATCCAGGTCGAGCAAATAGACAATTTACAACTTATTCTGACGGAAGAAGGCAAAGCAATTGCTGAGAAGGGTAGCAACGGAGCAAGGGTTTTCGAAGCTGTACGAGCGGCGCTAGAAGGCTTGAAATTGAAAGACCTAGCCACTGCGGTCGGTGATGCAAATGTCGCAAAATTCGGCTCAGGAGATGCTTTCAAACAGAAATGGGTCAAGAAAGACGGAGACACTCTCAGAGCAACGACAGACAAAATTGTAGACGAAGTCCAACAACAACTCCAACATATCCGTGAGAAGAAGTCGCTAGACAACCCCAAGGTTGTGGCAGATTTCAAGAAGAGGAAATATGTTGTTGATCAAAAGACGGTGACTTTCAAGATTACCAAGGGTCCAAAATTCTCGACAGAGTTCGTAAAAGAAGAGACAGACTTGACTGCGGAAATGCTGGCTTCGGGTGCGTGGAAGACTGTCCAACTCAAACCGTACAACTTCAAGGCCAAAGGTGCTCCAACACCATCTGGTGCTCTACATCCTCTCAACAAGGTGCGACAAGAGTTCCGAGAAATCTTCTTCGAGATGGGCTTCGAGGAGATGCCAACAAATCGCTACGTCGAGACTGGTTTCTGGAACTTCGATGCGCTTTTTGTGCCACAACAGCATCCCGCTCGAGACCTTCAGGACACTTTCTACATCTTAGATCCTTCAACAGCCGATCCTCCAAGAGAAGACCCCATTCCACCTTCTCCTGGATCAAAAGAGCTCCCTGCAACTCACAAACGAACAAAGTCGAGAGAGAAGACGCTGGACTACAAACAATACTGGGAGGACGTAAAGGCTGTTCACCAAGAGGGCAAGTTCGGCTCGATAGGTTACAGATACCCGTGGTCTGCAGACGAATCTCTCCGACTTGTACTTCGAACACACACTACTGCCATCTCCACCTACATGCTACACAAACTGGCACTGAACCCGAGACCTGCACGATATTTCTCCATCGATCGTGTCTTCCGCAATGAGACCGTTGACCAGACCCATCTGGCAGAGTTCCATCAGGTCGAAGGTGTTATCGCTGACTGGGGGTTGACTCTTGGTGGTCTGATTGGTTTCATGGAGGTCTTCTTCGGCAAAATGGGTATTCGCAACCTGAGATTCAAGCCCGCCTACAACCCGTACACCGAGCCCAGTATGGAGATTTTCAGCTACCACGAGGGGTTGAAGAAGTGGGTGGAGATTGGAAACAGTGGTATGTTCAGACCAGAAATGCTAGAACCAATGGGTCTGCCCAAGGACATGCGGATATATGGTTGGGGGCTGAGCTTGGAAAGACCTACCATGATTAAGTGAGTTCATCCTACCAGAATGTGGATCAAAACAGCTAACAGATATCAAGATATGGTGTGAACAATATCCGCGAACTGCTCGGCCACAAAGTCGATCTCAATTTTATTGAGACCAACCCTGCTGTGCGACTAGACAAGGACTAACTATCTGAGGAAAGACTTCCATGAGTTATGATGATGAAGCTGCTATGCAGGAGCAGAGGAAAATCCTAGATCAGTTGACAAGGAAGAGAAAGATCACTGGAAATGCGAAACAAAAGAAGCCTAGACATGATACCCATATGCTTCTGTCATTCACACGCAGACTTACTGAAACCCTTTTTATGTCTCCGCAGCTCCTCACGTCCCGACCTCCTGGGTGAACCGTTTACCGGCACATCAAGGCTTCCTCAGACCACTATTCCACGACTGGGGAAGTAGAAAAAAACATTATACATACAAAGCCGAACATCAAGACATGAGCCACCTTCTGAAGAGCTGTGACTATCCGAGATTAAGAGTCAGAGCACAGATACGGGTAGCACAATGGACAACACTAGAGGCAGGATTCGTAATACGAAGACACTGTGACTCTGATGTCTGTTGAAGTAATGTTGTTTCTTTTTTCCATTTTCAAGGCCGTACTTGGCGACTCGGCAATCTACGTGTCGAAATCCATCCTAGCTAGCTCTTGAGCATGAGACGAGCTGCGCCGAATATCCCTGCATTGACGACATCCCTGCGTAGCAATAACACCGTTTGTTTCATGTCCATGCAAGTTTGACCATTCGATAGTGGTGATCGCATCACTGGACACAACTTTCCCCAAACCGATCCGTCCCAGCGGCACACAACAACTCTCCGTAGGTCACATATCCCCTTGTACCGCGCCGTCACATCATCCACCGCTTATCTCGTGGGCTGTGCGCTCCAGACGTTCTTGAGGAAACCGTCCCGTTGGGCGAGTCTGTTCAGGGAGTCATCGCTCTCGGCTCTTGATCGCACGAATCCGCAGAGGGCGTAGACGTGGTTCTCTCCGGTGTAGCGGCCGTTCTCGTCGACCTTGCCGACGCTGATCTGGACGCTGGCGTGGTCCTTGGCCTTGATGATACGGTTGGTCGCGCTGCACTTGCGTGGGACGTAGCTAGAGGAGAGAAGAAAGACGAGTTAGACATTTTCAGTTCACGTTGCCCAGTTTTGTCCTTTCGGGAGAGGGGAGGCACGAGCAATCGCTGATTCCCGGCGCGGAGAGGTTGCTTACAGATCGACAATCTCTCCCTTTTCGTTCTCCATGGCTGCTGGGTGTCGAATGTGACGTGGAATTCGGGTCTTGAGGAGGGAAAAGGTTGGGCTGGAAAGAAGAGAGTGTTGCTGGTTCGAGGTCAATCGTCGTCTGCGTCTTCTTCTCTGGATGAGCGCAGTTTGAAAATGTGGGAGTCGGGAAAATTGCGGCGTGTTTGTCTTGGCGGAAATCTTGGCCCGTGGCTCACGGCAAGGCTACGAGTACCTAGGTAATGTTTGTACCTCATTGTACTCGTCCCTGGCGCAAGGCTGTGGCTGTGGACATGGACTCATTGCCGCCGCTTTTACGGTTTGCTTTATCCATCACCCTTGCGGTACATCAACCCGTCCTTGACAACCGTCTTCTCAGTCTTTTACATGTGCAAGGTATTGCGGTGTATCATTATGTTTCTTTGCCTGGTGAATGAGAACAGCTTGGCTGTCAATCATCATCCAGATCTCGGATTGCTCTGCCTCTACCAGTAAGGCCGTATGTTTTTGCGCTCTTCAAGAGCAATCCCCCAACAGCTTACTACTGTTTGTAACCCTCAGTTTTACCAGTCACATCTCATGCAAACTCGTCTCCTTCTATGGTTTATGTACACTTTGAGAAAGAACGTGATGGCGGCCGTGGCACTGTGTTTCTTTGTTCCGGCTTCCTTTGATGAGTTGCGAATCGTCATCTAGTCACAGCCAGCAACAAACGAACTTTCCTTCTTCTGTGGGTTTGTTGGCCATCACCTTGACAGCCGACTCCTCCTGAGGACGGACTCACTGAGGATTTCCTGTTAAGACTAGAATCTTCAACAAGCTCCTATGTCAAACTGGCACGTCCAGTTGTGGTCAACATCTTCCCCAGGCCCTCTGGGAAATTATTCTGCGGCTGAATGGCTAGCACGAGCAAACTATCCTTGCAAAGTACACGAGTCACTGCAGAAACACACAACAGCAAACGGCAATTGTCACAACAACGACAACAACAGCCTAGAGCGGCAGCTGTCTTGGAGTATTGCAGACTCAAGCGCTGCCTACTGTGCTCATGCTACTGGAGGCACCAGCAGTTTCTATCCTGTGTTACCAACCAGCTACTCCCTGCAACTCACTTCGTAGTCCTCCGAAGCAGGCATCCACAACATTGGAACTCCTACTCGATTGCGGTCTAATATTGAGGGGTGGGATGCAGAATCGGCCGCCTCACCCTCTGTCTTGGCCACCCACCAGAGAGACAAAGATCACTTCAACTTTCGGTGATCATTATCTGAACGGTTGACCTGAAGTGAGGACCCCGATAGGTTACATATCTCTCAACACGCATGTGGCAAAGCGCCGCCAGAACAGTGCGTCATGCTTTCTCTGGCACGAGTTGGAAAGCCATATACCCAGAAGAGGGGCGAATGAGTCATCACAATGCTCGTGTATTAGCAAGGAATGAAGCAGAACGGCCACCTATGGGCAGCAGAGCGGAGGATCAGCTGCCAGGGCTGAGCGGCAGAAGTGGCTAAATGAGTGGCAAAAATCATCAACTTAAAGCTCGTCCAAAGAACAATATGATAGCAAGATTTCCAGATCATGAGGATACTCACAAGAGAATCTCTTCTGGCTTTTTTGAGAATCACCGTACAATGCGAGTGCTTGTCCTAGCCGATTCCCCTGCCATGTTGCACTTGGCGGGTTGATCACCGAGTGAAAAGTCATTTCGATGCTTCCGCGCGACCTACAACACCAAGCGTCACTATGGTCCAATGACCCTTTCCACATTTGTTGTGGGAATACCATTTCCAATTCACCACGCATGTCTGCTGAGACAGCATCGAGATTTGTCTCAGTCGCACCAGAGCACTACAAAAGGAACTAAAGTGCACTTATTTGATTTTACACAATCGGAACAAAACAATAAAGGTGAACGAATAATCACAACAAGCATCAACAGAGATATTCTTAACTCCAGGGAATTGTCCCTTTCTACAGGCCACCTCCAGTCAATGCGGTCACCGACATATTGCATTCACCACTGCTTGTCCGATTCGAAAGCATAATGCCGCTTTGTTGGTCTGTCATATCTATATATATATATATATATGTTTGTCTACATCCCATCCAGCTATTCCGCGTCTTGTTACCCAATTTCAAATTTTAAATAACCTCATAAAATGTCGATCGAACGAAGGAGAATCAACAGGTTCTCTGGTAGAGCCGTGCGAGCGCTTCCAGTGGCCCCAGTCTTGACGCCTGACCAACAAGCCGAGGCCGACATGGAGAAGATTATAGTCGGGATCCGAAACATGACAATTGGTAAGTTTCACTCGTCTACAATTTCCCATTCCTGATCTGCACACTGCTAACTGATTATTACAGGTCTCGACTCTTCAAGAAATCCAGACCTTACCATACCGCCCGCCGTGCGAACACCAGCGCATGCACAGGTCTCGATCACCTTGAATGACCAGGGCGGGTTTCATTTTGGTGATGCCGTAACATTTTCTTCCGCCTCGACCACTCATCCCGTGAGAAAAGCGAAAGGCGTGAACACTAACAGCTCACACAATAGGGGCAAGGCACCGACCAGGAGCGGGCGGCATGCACCATCGCACGTCCCGCCTCCTCTCCAGGATCTTTCCAAAATCCCCGCCAGGTTTAACCCGCCCACGCTATCATCACTTCCAGCGGAACTTAACAGCATCATTGTGTCATACCTTGACGCTCCTTCGGCTGTTTGCTTGGCTCTGACCTCGCGCCGGCACTACGATCGTGTCCTTGCGACCTGCCGTGTCGACACTTTGCGCGAAGTTTGCCCAATAGATGTTCGCGCCATGATACCTAAAATGCTCCAAGCGTACAACCTGTTTTATTGCAGAAGAGTCACAACCGACGCAGGGGAAGAGCTTGTCTGGGAACTTGAGAACAAGCTAGAAGTATATCCAATTTTCGGCATGTTCTTGTTCCTGGCATTGCAACGATACGAGTCATGGTATGATTACCCGAATTTTTCCAGGGATGCCCTTGATTGGCGATCTGTGAACCGTCCTGCGGGGCGGGCGTTGGACGCTTGGTTTTCCAACCACTTCTCAAGCCAGCTATACTGGACCTCCACGGTGATGCCTCTTTCAGTAAGGCATCAGCTACACCGACTCGCTCTGCGCCCGAGAACCCCTAGCGCGGAGTGGGAGCTCTTGAGACGGCGGTTGTCTTGTAGTGCAATTCTGGACAAGTACCAGTACTGCGAAATCCACTGCAGATGGTTCACCTATGGTCGACCTTGCACAGATTACGACATTGTTCTGGCATGTCTTGGAATAGTGAGGGCCGAACCTGAAGTCAGCTGAACGTCTGCAGAAGTATGAATGTGACTGTGTCTAACGTCTTGCATCACAATAAGTGTGTCCTTTCTTTTGCGCTCAGGCGCCAACAGAAATACTTGGCCATCCATGGAATATCTCGTTGGATCAAAAAAGCAAAAATAAGGCTCGTCAAGTTTGCACTGTGATATATATCTATATATATATATATACTTGAATTTGAGTCATGTAAATATATCAATTTGCATCAATGGGTGTCTGTTGAAGTTTCCCTTTCGCGACGACGCTGAAATGAAGGCAACTGTCCCTTGCGACCAACACCAAGGAGAAGAATGGTTCAAGGTGTGCAGACGAGAAGCTCATCGCTGCCATTCAATGCCTCCTTACCGAATCAGCTTATGAGTTTATGGCGATTTCTATCGATCAATGCGAACTTTGTCTGCCATCATGATCATTTTCATTCTCAATCTGAACTACATTCTCAACCAACCCCAGTCTCAATCGCACATCTGAAGCATACATACCATATCATACCATACCATACTCCATGCTCGCTATGTCCAGCTAGCAAGCGGGCTAACTAGATACGTCCAGCTTCGACTTCAGCCTTGGCTTGAGTCAATGCCTCTTCGATCTTGATTCCACATCTCATCCTCGCCATGGTCTCGTTCACTATCGCTCTGTACTGGTCGTCCGTGCAGACATGGTGATCTTGGACCTGTCGTCTCCCTGCTGCTGCTGCTGCTGCTGCTGGAAGCTGCGCTTGCGCGTCTTGCAGCAACATCCTCCCGATCTTGACCGCCGACAGCGTATAGGTCGCATGCTGAAACGTCACGGTCCATTCAGGCGATTTCATCAGCACCGTGCTGACCTCCTCGAGACTGTCGCCGCACTTCATGTTTTTTATGGCCTGCTCGAGCTGTTGGATCTCGACTCTAGCTTGCCGGAGTCGCGCTCCTTGATCTTGCTCATGCTCACCTGTCGTGACCTGACCTCGAGAAGAGGCTTGAATCGAGGTATTACCATGCCGATGGAAAGGAGTGAGTGGGTTCCTTGACATCAACTCTCTCCCGGTAGGCATGATGATTGTTGATATCCTTGTGGTTGTTGTTGTTGTTGTTGTTGTTGTTGTTGTTGTTGTTGTTGTTGTTGTTGTTGTTGTTGTTGTTGTTGTTGTTGTTGTTGTTGTTGTTGTTGT